GTCTCAAAAAGGAAAAAAAAAATCTCCCCAAAATGCTCTAAAACAATCTACTCATTAGGGAAAACAACAGAAGCTGGGAAATGGTCACAGGAGGCTGGGGCCAGAAGATCCCAAGTTCAAGCCCACCTCAACTGAGTGATTTAGCAAGGGACTTTCAAGGGGATAAAGAGGGTTTTTCTGTCTGGATGACAATTGGGAAAATGTATGCATCTAACAAGGTCTTGAAACCTTAAGCAAAATAGAACAGACACAAAGGAAAAAATAGGCAGCTTCAGAATCACCTGACCCTACCTTTCTACAAGTCCATAGACAAACCATAAAAAAAAGAACAGATTCACTGACTCTAACAAAGTAGCAGGATCCCAGGCATCACAGGGCAGAAAACAATGTAACCAACTGGTGGAGAGGAAGCAACAGTCACAAAAGCAGACTGTGTATTAAAGCCACAAGAAAATCTCCAGAGTTCAAAAGCACCACCCATTAAGTATTAGTAAGTCTTTTCACTATTGGTAAATCTTTTTTTTATACTAATCTTTTTTTTTTTTTGGTTTTTTTCATTTTTATCGGTACCAGGGATCGAACTCACTCACGACTATCTAGAAATCAGTTTATAGTACTCAACAGTAAACAGTGAGGAGACAAACAAACATAGCTAATAAATATGTAAAAATACATTATACCCATTTATACAGGACAAGTACACTTATGTAAAAGAACTATAAATAGTCTGAAAAACTATATGCCAAATTTATAATACCAACAAAGGATAAAATTTGGAAGGTAGGTGAAAAATAGGTATTAATTTTATATGAGAATATATTCTACTTGAATTTTTTTGTGTGTGTTTTCTTGTCTTTTTGAGACAGAGTTTCACTACGCAGTTCAGGCTGGCCTTGAGCTCACTTTATAGCCTAGACTGGCCTCGAACTCACAGCAATCATCCTTGCTCAGCCCCCTGAGTGCTGGGATTACAGGCTTGAATACAAGTTTTATAAGCATTATTTTAAAAGAAATAACTACTGATGTCTAGAATGACCTCAAGGAAATTCATAAAACATGAATGGAAGGCACAACCCCAGAATTCTGAGTCCCCTATATTTTTCAGGAATTTACTTACTCTACCTTATTTTTGTGGTGATCATGTCTATGCTGTGCATCTGTGTAAGCAGGCAACAAAAAGCCCGCTGCCCAGGTCCAGGCTCCCCACTCCCCTCAAAGTGAAATGGCACAAGTGAGGACATCCACAATGACCCTATAAGCTTGGGCTCCCCATCCCATGGGGGTGGTGATGACCAACACACCCCCCGCCAAGAGTGCAGGGATCCTTGACCCAGGAAGCACTGGGGGACATGCTATATCACCCTGCAGGAAGACCTACCCCCCAGGGGTGTGTGGTACTGACCGCGGCTGGGGGGCAGCAGGCTGCTCAGGTAAGGGAAGCTTGCTCTCCGAAGCTGATCCAGCTTCTCTCGCAGCTTGCGCACCTGGCTGTCAGAGCGGCTGACACGCTGGCGCAGGCTCTTTAGTTCACCATTCTTCTTTTCTACCTGCTCTCGCAGGCAGCACACCTGGCTCTTGTTCTGCCGCGCTGAGAAGCAGTAGGAGTGTAGTGAGTCAATGAGCTTACAGGCCCCCGATGCTGACAGGATGACTTCATTGATGGACATGGGGCTGGCGTCACTGTGCTCACTCTGCACAGCTTCTGCAGCTGGCTTTGGGGTGACGTCAGTCGGAGGGGCCGAAGGACCCTGGGAAGGCTTCTGTGGCGTGGCTGTGAGTGAGGAGCTTGGGGGACTCTGGACTGAGCTCTTGTCAGGCCCAAGGGTGTTACCACTGCAGCTGGGCTCCACATCTCTCTTTAGCCTTTTTCGGTCAATGGGCTCGCGGGGGACAGATGGCCTCTCACGAGTGTGTTTGGAAGAGAAGCTGTAAGAATGGAGCGATCCAATAAACTTGCAAGCCCCAGACCCTGGGGGAGTAAAGTCATCCACAGAAATGCCACTTTTGTCTGCCCCTGGCCTGGGGCTGGAAGTAGCAGCATTCTGGTCATGGGAGTCTGAAGCAGGTGCCTCTGCCTCACCTTGGCCGCCTGGCGTTCTTTCTGGAGACCCCTGCACCTGTTCCCGACCCACAGTATCTGGGCCAGCCTGGGGCACTGCTTCCCCCTGCAGAGCAGCTCGCTTCAATCTGCGGGACTCAGGCTTGGCCATGGGGCTTCCACTCAAGGGTGACGAGGAACCCAGGGCTGCTTTCCCCACTGCTGTGCTTGACTGACCCTTCATAAGCCCTGAGGTCTTGCTGGCGTCCTTTCTCCTGGCACGGCCATGACCCCCAGCTGCTCTCTTCTTCTCAGTCAGGTGGAAGATGGAGGGCACAGCTGTGGGCTTAAGCAGGCGGTGCTGGTCCTCCAGTCTTTTGGAGAAGCTGTCTTTGGTAAAATGCTCACTACAGAGGAACGAATACTTAGTAGGGGTCCAGTTATCCCTCTGAACAGCTTTTAACCACTGAATCAGGCGTTTGGAGTCCTTTAGGGGAAACCTGCAGGATGAAAGACAAAGAACTGAGAAATAATTAACAGCCTTATCCTGAAATTATCTACTACAAAAGGTAACTTTTTGCAATCATTCAAACCTGTACTGATTTCATATGCTTAAACAGTTTATAGAAACATAAGGACCATCTATTTGCAAGGTGTCAGTTGAATAGAAGGCTGTATGGCCTACTCTTGACCCTTCAGGAGCCTGCAGGTTGTCAGACAGATAGGAATGCAGCCCTCACTCCTCCTGAGTTGTGGCAAATGCCCCATGGTATGCAGGATGCCCAGACCTGTGGGCCACAGGAAGCTGGGCACTGACTGGCTGTGCCTGGAAAGTAGGACTTTAGGCAGTAACAGCATGAGGATGGCTTATGCCTGTACTAAGAAACCATTCAGTATGGGCCACAAAGGCCAGGAGAACACCAGATGCCCAGCAGGATGCCTGCCTCAGTTGTGATGGAAGGAGCTGAGGAAGTGGGAACTGACTGCAGTTCTGTGCTCCTGCACACTCCATTACCAGGTGCCAAACTGCTCCCTCAGGAGTCAGGCAGCCCAAACTTTGAGAACACTGACGAGTTAAAATACACCAGTCACGAAAACACTTAAATGATTATACAAATACTACATATGCTTGTTAAGGTAACAAGAGTGGTCAAATTCATAGATTAAGTAGAAAGGCAGTTGCCAGAGAGTGAGAAGAGAAATGGAGGAGTAAGTTAAATTTGGACAATTTCAGCTCTACAAAATAAAAAGTTGTGGAGGTGGATGTTGCTGCACAGTAAGTGAATGTATTCAGTACCACTGGCTCACACACTTTAACAAGGTAACCAATCCCAGAACATGCAGAATAAGAGATACTTAAATCACTTCTTGTTGACTGTGACACTTAGCAATCACTTCTTAAGATCCATACTGTATTTAAGAAAACTCAGACCAAACTGTTACTTGTGCTCCCTTGAGGGCCTCCAGCCCACCTGAGACCACAAGTGTGTCAAGATGGATCAGGAGGGTCTAGGGCCCAGGACCACCCCTCCCTTCTTAATACACTGGGAGCCTCTAGGAGGCCCCCCAAGTTGGGCATCTTTACCCCACACAGCGTTGGAAATGATAAATGCAACCAGCTGCTTTCCTGACAATACGCTGTCTCCTTGTCAAGATCAGTAACACAACTTCTGGGACACGTGCTCTGAGGGAAACAGGACAGCAGCCGGCCTCCAGAAGTAATCAGTGTTACCAGCTCTTTAGATAGACTGTAGCAACTTCGGATTCAGGACAAATCACTGTAATGCTGTAAATAACACGTGTAGTTCCCATCAGCCACAGAAACAGCCGCATGTGCAGGGTGCCTTTTGGGGCACGGTCCCCTGATTTCATGTTCTGGTCTCTCCCCGGGAAATTGACCGAAAGACCCACGGAACCAGAGAGTCAGTCCCTGGTGTCTTCGGCCTCTACCGGGCGAGGAGTGCGCAAGCCAGGCCTCCGGGCTGTGAGCGGGCGCCGACCCGTGAGAACTGCTCTCGAGGTGCTCCGGGTCCGCATTCCCGAGCCGGAGAACCCGGTCACTAGAAGGCGGACACTCGGTGGTAGATACGCGTCTCCGGAACGCACTGCTGCCCCGGCTCGCGCTGCCGCCGCGGCTCGCGCTGCCACCCAGATCGATGGGCGCGGGGCGCGCGCCGCGCGGGCGGACCTGGTAGACCTGGCCCGGCGTGGCCGCGATGGCCCTAGGCGCGGGGCCCAGAGACGGCGGCCGGCCCAAGGTCACACAGCGCCAGCTCCCGCCGCCCAGCTCCCTTTGGCGCTCAGGTCGGGCAGGCCCCACGCCCCTGCCCCGGCCCGCTGCGCCGCCTCAGTTTCCCCGCCGGCTTGGCCAGAGCGGGGGCGTGGCGGCAGGCGGCGGGCCGCGTACCTGTGGAAGGAGACGGCTCGTTTCTCGCCCTTGCCCTGCCGGTTGGAGCAGTTCACGGCCGCACAGCAGATCACCATCGCGGGCCTCGGCGCAGCGCCCACCAGGCTCTGGCCTCACAGCCGGCCGCCCGCCGCCCGTCCCGCCCCGAGGGAGCACGGCGACACGGTCAAGACGTGGGCCGCGGCTGCGCCGTACGACAAGATGGCGGCTCACTGCCCTCCGTCCCTCTCCTCTCTTTGGGCTCCCCGAGCCGCGGCGGGGTCGCGTAGCGTCGCGGCACCGGCGGCAGCAGCAGTAAGCGGGCGCGGAAGCCACCTGGCCGGACGAGCACGTGCGGTGACATGCGCGCGTGTGGTGACATGGGCGCGTAAGGTAATCTGCGCCAAAGGCCATCCGTACGGCAAGATGGCCGCACAGGCGCGCGCTGGCTAGCCGCGCCCCCAGCGTCTAGGTGGTCTGAAGGACGGCACCGCGCTCGGTGGCTGGGTCCAGTCGGTGCGCAGCGAGCCGCAGCCCTGCTCCCCCTCGCTTCTGTGCTTGGCCCTTGCCGCCGCGCCGCCGTACGCTGAGATGGCGGCCCCCGCGCTTCCGCCGCACCCTGCTTGGCCCCCTTGGCTTCCCGTCGCCGCGTCGCGCTGCGCCCGTCGGAGCGACGCCGCGGCCAGTCGGCGGCCGGACGGGGAAGATGGACGCAGGTGAGGAGGGCAGGTGCCCGGCCTTTGTTGGTGGCGTTACCCTATCAGTACCCGGCTCGCTCGGGGTCCTCGGGACGGGACAGCGCGCATGGGTGCGCAGACGGGCGGACGACTGGACGGGTTGCCTCCGTTCCTCCCCACCTTGTGAGCTGCTGACAGTCACTGGGTCAGCCGGCGCTCCTCGGCCCATGGGCAGCGCCCAGGCTGAGGGCTGGCTGGAGGGCAGCGGGCGAGGGGGCTTGGACCGTTAGGGGCCGGCGGAGGGGGCCTGCTGTGCGAAGACTCAGAGCTCAACTTCCATGAAGTTAAGGCGGAGCTTAGGGATTCGCAACATGCGCATCTTTTATTTTTGACTTTAGTAGCCAGGAGGTGAGCCAAGCCTTTTCTGCGCCTGGAGAGGCCGTGAGTCTCTCTCACCTTGGCTTAACTTCCCGAGGGCTTAAAGCCGTGTGTTTGGTGGTGGTGGTGGGGGTTTGTGGTCGCAGTGTCGTTGCTCTTCCCTTTCCAATAAGGTATCCGCTTCTGGGGGGACAGGTTCTTTATTTCTGCTGGGGAGATACTTTATAGACTTAAGTCTGTGCCAAAAGCATCGTTTGCTTGTAGCCCTAAAATATTTGGGTTCTGTTGTTCATTCTTCAGCGGTTTTAGGTCATTTCTGATAGGCACTGCTTTCGCTTTCTTTAAGTGTCACCTTATCTGTAAAAAACGATTTTAGTCTGGCTTAATTCTACCTGTCATTCTGAGTGGCATTGCATTTGGTTTGTTTTTCTTCTACTGGCAGTTGAACGTTACAAAAATCTTTACAATATGAAGTTACTAAGATTTTGCTTAGGACTAGGTATAGTTAGCGTTTTAATGATTTGTGGATCTCATCATTTCCATGTGTCACATGGCTGGAAGAAGCAGGGACGCTGACTACCTTGGGGCATTGTATGTTTTGTGAAGTTGTTGAATGAGTATCAGACTCTGGCACTGTTTGCTGTGGGGGGGGGAGTGAGGAAGGAATAGAAGTATTTAACTACTTTCTTTTTAGATACTATTGTTGGATACCTAAAGCTATTCATATGATCAGATTACCTTAAACGTGAAAGTCATCATATTTAAGAATACAGTTGTATAGTCACACAATGACACAGTACACAGAATGCTGGTACTTGCAAAAATCAAAGTAGAAAAGTTGTTTGCTTTTGAAGGCCTCTGTTGATGCTGAAAAAAACATACATGATGTTTTTAGGGTGTGATGGGGGCAGTTTTCCTTCAACCATTCTATTGAATGAGCTTTTAGGGATGGTAAATCCTCTGCCCTCCGCTAATCCTTGGAGTCCTTGAAGATTCTGCCATTCTTTTTTTTTTTTTTTAAGGTCTTTCCTTTTTATCGGTACCAGGGATCGAAGTCACAACTGCCTGCTTGCAAGGCAGGCGCTTATGCCGCTGAGCTAAATCCCCAGCCCCGATTCTACTATTCTTAACCTTGTGTAATATAGTTCTTGGTTGTTATTATAGTTGTTCATTCCATAAATACATTTTTTATTGAGTGCCAGGTGTGTGTGTGGGGGGGTGTTGTTCTAAATTCTGAGTACAGCTAATGTTCTTGAGGGGAGAGCCTTGGGTGGAGAACCTTGGGGCATGCTGAAGGGAATTGGAATTATATTCAGGACACCGGGGAGAGATATCACTTTGAAGGTTACATTCTTACTGACACTGACAAGCATGGCAGGAGAAAGGATAAGTGGGCCATCTGGGAGCAGCAAGGAGGTCAGTCTGTCTAGGTGTAGGACAAGAGAAGCAGGAGCTGAGGGCAGAGAGGTGTCTTGGGCATGGTCCTGAGGCTTTGCTAGATGAAGACATTGGCATTTATTCTGAATAGGATGGTGACCCTTGGACGCGTTTTGAGAGCAATAACATGATACAGCTTACGTTAAACAGACTTGCTGTGGTTTTCTTTTGAGAACATACTGCAAGGGGACAAGAACAGAAGAAGCAAGGAGACAATTTCAGTAAACCTGGCAAAGGGATGCTGGAGACTTAGTTCAGGATGGGGAGAAGAGGTTGATTCTGATGTGTCAGGAAAGTCGAGACGTAGGATTTGTTTACAGATGGAAAGCTGGGAGGAAGTAGCAGAGCAGGAGGAGTGACTGGTACCAGGGTTTGTTGGTTGAGTTGGGACCAGCAGAGTGTTCATACACGGTGGATACACCTTTGAGGCCACAGGCTTGGAGCTAAGATAATAGTCCTGGCCAGAGATGTACAGGGAGCCACACTGGATGAGGTTCTTCCGGGTCTGAGTGTGGATAGATAAGAGGAGGCCAGGCAGGGAGCCCAGGCTGCTGGCATGAGGAGGTCCAGGAGGTGGGAGGCAGGGACAGTTTGGTTGTATTCTCCACTAGTACCCTAGCACTGTCTGTTAAAACATGCTTCTGGTTCAAAGCACTCTCAGGTACTGGTACCTAAATAGTCACCCTGTTCATTCATTGTCAGCACCAATGTTCTATGTACCTTGTGTCTGGCACATGGTTGGTAGTCAGTGGAGCATAACTTGAATTAATTTACACATTCTCTTGCTACAGGTTGAGCATCCCTAATGCAAAATCCAAAAACTTTTGAGTACCAGCATGATGCCACATTCCATACCTGACCTCACGAGACAGGTTGTGGTCAAAACACTTGTCTTTTTTACTAGTTTTATTATTTATACAAGTAGTTTTAGGCTGTGTGTCTGAGGTGCATGTGAAGTATAAATGAATTTCATGTTTTGATTTGGATCTCACAAGATATCTCATCATGTATATGTAAAATACTCTAAAATCTGAAAAACCCAGAATATGAAACACTTCTGGACCCTAGCATTTTAGATAAAAGGATACCCAGTTTGAGTAAGAATTTCAGTTTGTAGGATTGTACACAGTTGAAAGTCCAGTCTACTGGCATATATTATCAGTGACTGAGAAAGTCTGCTTGCTGCAGAGCAGGGGCTTTTAATGTAGACATTCCATCCAATTTGTTCACAATGGAACTGTTTTTTACTTTCTGACATAACTAAAGTGTTTACTTTCTGTTTTTTTCCTTCTGCACGTAAGCTGCTATCTTAAGCATAGTTTTCTCAAGGAATGGGAGAACCTTTCTGCTGAATTGATTTATCATGTGGAGAAACTTTCAAAATGAATGCTTCACAGTAAGAAGAACTCTATTGATTGGACATTTTTTGGTAGTTCTTCCTGCTTGAATAATAGTGTGGTTAGTACTGAGTGACTAGAAGTTAGTTAAATTCATTGAGGACAATTCTCTTTTTGTGCCAACCAGATTAATAATATTAAATCACATTGTTTTAAAAAATCACATTGCTAGGGGCTGGGGATTTAGTTCAGCGGCATAAGCACCTGCCTTGCAAATAGGCGGTTGTGAGTTCGATCCTTGGTACCGATAAAAATGAAAAAGACAAAAAAAAAATCACATTGCTGTTTTTTCTTAGAATTATCCATATTATTAGATACTTTCTGCTTCCTCTTCCAGTGGTGATGACAGAAGTTCCAAGAAGAGGGTGTAGAAGGTTAAGCCCCTTGGGTGCCGCTGACCACGTAGGGACTCCTTCTAAGGAGTGTCTGTCCTTCCTTTACTGGAGGTGCCTCCCCGAATGTCATGCTTCTCTTGCATGTCATATATTATCACACTATCATCCTTGTCTAGGAGTCAGGAGAGTGATGTTGTGTCTATCTCAGGAACCATGTGTACTGCTTCATAAGTGACTGGAGGTGGCGTGAAAAGATAATGAGGTTATGATGAGGCCTGTGAAATGAGACTGGGGAACCTCTGAAGAATTGCAGAGGCTGCTGACTGCAGCCTGATGGGACCTGAGAGAATGGTGTCCTCGTGCTGGTCAATCTCTGAGTCTCTGTAAACACCAGTGTCTGTGAGCTTTAGTTTTGTAGCTGGTCAAAACTGCTGGTATTGCCCCATTTCATGGGCAAGGAAAGTGTGGCTAGAGAAGTTGAGGCTAGCAAGTAGGCTATCTTCAGATACAAGCGTAATAGAAATTAGAAGTTGTGTTATTTTGAAAACCATCTCCTTCCTACTTTTAAAGCAAGACCCAGAATGTCAGGAAGCTCAGTGGCTTGGCCTCAGCCTGGGTTGTCTGGGTGATGCCTCATCCATGGCAGCTCACAGTGTATCCCTCTTCAGTGGGACCTGTGGGTATGCCCTGCAATGTGAGCCAGCCTGTGCATTGCCTCCTATCTTCCAGAACAGTTAGCATTCTTGTGGGCACAAAGCAGTGAGAAATCTTGTGTGTTTTTCCAGTTGGAATCACTGCAGGCCTCCAGGTCTTTGTTGCTCCCTGGGGAGTGAGCTCAAGGACATCAGAACCTACCTGAGCAGTGGCACGGCCAGCTTCTCTAAGTGCAGTCACACAGCTCAGAGGCCTTTAATTTTTCCTCCACAGGGTGTCTATGGAGCATGAGACTCCAGGCAGTTTCTCTGTGTCCTAGACTATGAATGGATGGGTACTGTTGCTTTGCTGCTGCAAGCTCTGGTGGCCTCTGGGTAGTATGGATCTATTGTGTTTCTTCATCCCCAAGCTGGCTTTTGGTTCAAGAGGCCTGTAATTTTCAAAATTAAAGTAAGAGATTTTGTGATGTGTTTGAGTTTAATGAGACACCTCTTATTACCTTCACTCTGAAGTTGGCTTCCTCGCCTATAAAGTTTGTTAATAAGCTGAAGAAATGTGCCTGCTCTGCATTGTGGTAAGGGTAAGGAGTCTCAACTTCAGAGGTACACAGAGACTCTGACCCTGCTTTCAGAATGAGCTATTCTCTTTCTTATCTATGTGTTGTCTTTTATTATTTATATATTTCATGTGGGAAGCTGAATATTATAGTTTGGTTCGTGATTCTGGTAACTTCTTTTCCTTGATGACAGATGCCACATCCTGTGTCATGGTCTCAGAAATGTCATCCAAAGCACTCCTGGCCGTCTAGTACTTAAGCAGATAAAGTGGCTTTATTTAAAGCTTTTAGCGTGGTAGGCACTCAGACACAAGGAGAATGTTCCAACAAGATTGGACTTGCTCTCTTACAGTGTTGTTGATTGGAATTTGACAGGATTTTTGCCTCCTTTTCCCATGAGAGTAACTTTCTGGGTTTAAGTCTACATATTAGATAAAGCCTAATTGAGTGTACCTAATGGAAAAGGAACAATAGTGATTTCTAAAGACTTGAGATAGTTTAAGAAAGTAGGAATGTCATGATGTGTTTCAGCTTCTTGAAAAGATAAGCATAAACTTTAATTCATTCCTACTTAGTTGTTTGTTTTGTTTTGTATTGTGTTGTCTTACAGTGACTAAGGATTGAGCCTATGGCTTTTGTGCTTGCTGGGCAAGCAAGGATTCTACTACTACACCAAACCCCTAATTCCCTCAATTTAACTTTGATAATCATATGCAAGGAACAGTCTTATCTAAAAAACAGGAGAAGTAAACTTGCACTTTATGATCTCCAAGTAGCCCAGATGACACTGTTTCTGAATGTAAGGGTGGAGCTCTTGAACAGAACCCTCTGACCTAGTCTCAGTGACCCTCAGGGCCTACTATGGAGCTTGGGAAGCCTTGGCAGTGCTTCAAGAGAGGCACAGGTGGGCCAGATGCCCCAGGAGTTGCTGGGGGACACTTTCCAGTATGTGATTGGAAACTACTTGTCACCAGGTAGGTCTGCTGGATGTAGTCCCTCATGGGTCTGCATCATGGATATAAATGACATCAGCTGACATTGGTGCCCCCTTCTGTCTGTAGCTGGGACCTCATGGAAGACTTTCTGGAAAGCTTCTCAGTCATGTGGTGAAGGTATCTTGTCATTATTCCATTTTATGGATGAGGGATCACCACACTTAGAAGTTAAATAAATGATTCAGGGACCTGTAGCCTGGATTTAAACTCTGGCCAGCAGTGACAATAGGTGGCAGCCTGCTGTCTGCCTTCCTTGGGATGCACACCTTGGATGCCATGCCTTGTAGTCCACAAGGGATACGTAATACCTAAGTTAGCCACAGTATCAACTTACTCAAAACCAGTAGAAATTGGGTGGAAAGCTGTGTTTTTGTGTAGAACAAGAGGAAGAATAGCTTGTTTTGTTTTCTTTTGTTTATTTGCAACAGGGTCTCACTGTGTAGCTCAGGCTATCCTTGAAGTCTGTGTAGCTCATGATGACCTCCAATTTACTATGATCCTTCTGAATCCTGGGATTATGGATATGAATCACCATGCCTAACCTATAGTAGTTTTTAAATTTTGAGACAGTATCTTGCTAAATTACCCAAACTGGAGCTCAGACTTGTGACCCTCCTGCCTCAGCCTCCCCAACAGCTGGGATTATGGACATGTGCCACCATGCCCAGCTTCCTGGGTTCTTTAGTTGAAACTAAATACGTACGGTGGCACTTAGTGCTCATTACAGTGGGTAGACATCGTAGCTCTGTGGCCAGCTCTCTTCTTACTATGGGACATTGTTTTGTGGGGGGTGGCAGTAATGATCCCTTTCAACAGTCATGACAAAGTGAAAACCTGGTCCAGGCTTTGTCGTTAAGGCTTTTGGCACCTGGCTCCATTGGGGACGTCACAGCAGGGTCTGTCCCTCAGTGTCCCACTGGAGTAGTGCTCTATCCCTCTATGGTTAATGGCTCCTAACCAAGAAAATAGAGTGGACTAGAATCCTTGTTTCCCAGGAGCTCAGTGGTTCTCACCTTTGTCATAGCACCCCTAAACATGCTGCCAGTGACAATTAGTAGACCATAAAGTGCCGTGTACATCTATGGTTCCCGGGTCTACAAAAACAACAGTGTGACCTCATTTTACTTTTGTCCCTTAACATTTAAACATTCTAGATCTAAAACACTTGAATTGATGAGTTAGGTGACCTCTTCCTTTTCCCCTCAGTAAGCAGCTGTCCTCTGACCATTCTAGGTGCTTACAGGGGCTTAATCACTATGGGAACATGCACCCTTCTTGGGAAAAGTCTATTCCTGCACTCTCCTGGACTACAAAAATGCAAAGGTTGAATGTTCTAATAGTGTTCTATGTAATTATAAAAATCGATAGATGTGTGTCTTTGATTTCCACAGCCACTCTTACCTATGACACGCTCCGGTTTGCTGAGTTTGAGGATTTTCCTGAGACCTCTGAGCCTGTTTGGATCCTGGGCAGAAAATACAGCATCTTTACAGGTATTGGCTGTGTTGGAGAGCTCTGTTTGCCTACTGTATGCTAAGTCCCCTGTGGTGTCTGGCTTATGAACTGAGGGCTTTGTGTGTCTTCCTCTTTTTAACAACCCTAGAGAAGGACGACATCTTGTCTGATGTGGCATCCAGACTGTGGTTTACATACAGGAGAAACTTCCCAGCCATTGGTGAGTACCCCATTGGATGGCAGGAAGGAGGGAGACTTCTGAGTGGCAGACCCCTCGTTCTAGTCACCTCATAAGTTGGCCCAGGTCTTGCTCCCAGAAAGCTCAGCTGGTGGACTCACACCCAGGCAGCTTATCCCAGCAGGAGAATGCATTTTCTCCTATAAGTCAATGTTCCATCAGAGGTCATGGCTGTATTTTATGGAGTTTGTGGTTTATCTTTGTTTGTCTGTTTATTACTGGTGCTGGAGGTAGAACCTCAGCCCCATGTATATTAGACAGATGCAGTAACCACTGTGCTACATCGTCAATCCCTGCAACAATTTTAAACATATACAAAAGAGTGAAGTATGAAACAACACAAGCAACCTACTCAGGAGACCTCAGGCAGTTTGTAAATTTGGATGTGTGACTGTACACTAGTCTTATATAGATTTGGAATATCAGAAGCCTTACTGTTCCTCTGTCTTTTCTAGCACGTGCACACTTGGCTGTGGGGAGCCAAGGACGAGGTGAATTGATGTTTTTCATGTAAGCTGATTCTTGCTGTGTGCCCTGAAGGTGGCAGAGGTTGGGGACCAGCTCTCAGCCTTGCCTTTGTACTCAGATCTTAGGGACCAAACTGACATTGTGCCACCCTGTGGCTTGGATAGCATGTCATCCTTTTCTCACAATGAGGTGGAAGTGAAGTAGACCCAGCAGCCTGGCATTCAAGGAAAGTAGGACCCACAGCTGTGTGTGATGATGTGATTTGTCAGTTGTGTTTCTACAGGTGCACAGCTCACCCTTCTCTGGGCCTCCTCTCTGTGTAGCCCTGGCTGAACCTCAGGCTTTGGGCAGGGAACCATTGTCTTAAGAGAAACCTCCACCATTTGGCCCACTGTGGAGAAGAGACTGAGGATGAGCCACTGTGGGTAGAGCTGCTTTCACAGGCCTGCAGCTGAACATGGTCTGACCTATAGGGTGTTTGTGCCTGAGGAAAGGTGTGGGGAAGGTAGGCTTCTGCCTGGCCTTGGATGTACGCAGCTCCCCTGGGTTAGAGGGCAGGGCTCCAGGTCCTGCCATGTGCAGAAGGGGCTGAGGTCCCCCTGTTCTGACTGTTGCCTCTGCCACTGCCTCAGGTCTTCCTCCTGGTTATGGCAACACCATGCTGTTATTCCACTGGCCTCTCTTCATTATGATAGGTTGTTCCCCAGAGGTCCATAGTGCTTGTGTTCTTGTTTCTCTGGGCCTAGTAATAGGCATGAAATGGCAGGGCCTGGGCAGGAGTAGTTCTTGACCACTGTTGCGCAGCCACCGCCTATCCTCAGGGATACTAATGTCCTTTGAATCTTAACCCATCTTACGGCTGGGAAATAGTTCTCCTTGTTGAATGTGGTGGTTCTAGATTGGCCGTTGGGTACTGCCTGTTGTTGTGTTTTCAGACATTGCTGTTGCCCTATGGGTGACTTGTCCCCATACTCTTGCCCATCTTATCAATCTGAATCTTCAAGTATGTGAATCTTGAGACCGAATGACATATGAGGGGCTGGTGCCCCTCGTGTGGAACACCTGTGGGCTTCTAATGCTGACTGCCCCTTTCTCTGTCTGCCTTGACAGGGGGAACTGGCCCCACCTCTGACACAGGCTGGGGCTGCATGCTGCGATGTGGACAGATGATCTTTGCACAGGCCCTGGTGTGCCGGCACTTAGGCCGAGGTGAGTCACTGCATGTGAGTATAGTAAAGGATACTGGGGGTGAAGGGCTGTGGGTTAAGGGATGTTTAAAGTACATCACAGGTAGCACCATACCTTTTCATTGATTGGAAAGACTGACTTTAAAGAATGATGATGTTTTTTTCCTTAGAAATTGTTGTTAAGCCACTGAAAGTATTATCTGCTGTCAGTTTTTTTGATGACTTGATATACATGTACTTGAAATCCTAGAGCATTTGGCTTTTAACTTTAGAAAGTTGAGGAGGGATTTGAGGCCTGTCTGACTCTTGAGCCTGTATAAAGCCAGACTCATTTCTCTGGCTTATGGCTGGACTAATCCCCTGTGTTTATTCTCAATAGATTGGAGGTGGGCACAACGGAAGAGGCAGCCTGACAGCTACTTCAGTGTCCTCAATGCTTTCCTTGACAGGAAGGACAGCTATTATTCCATCCACCAGATAGGTGGGCTGGCTCCATGTAGAAGCAGTGTCCGGTCTGTCCAGGGGCTGCTGTGGTCTGGGTGGGTGAAGCTGAGTGACCCAAGCAGATGCAGAGTGGGCAGTTTTGAGCAATGTTCCCCTCCTAGAAGGACCAAGTGTACAGCTGAGTGACTGGAACCTCCAGACATTCCCTTTCTCATAGCTCCTTTCTAAGTCTCTCTCAAGCATCCCTCTGGAGGGTGGGTGTCCTATCTGTGACCTTCCTGTTAAGTGTTTGCTGTTGCCACATCGCATGGAAAAGTGGGTGGGAAGAGGCCTTAGAGGCCTAGGAGGGTGCATGTTGCTAATCTGGATCTGCTTCCTGCAGCGCAAATGGGAGTTGGTGAAGGAAAGTCCATCGGCCAGTGGTATGGCCCAAACACCGTCGCCCAGGTCCTCAAGTACGTGCTGAGTTGTGCCCTGCCCACTCCTCTGGGTAGCCCGTTCCCCTTGGTGTTTACACTCTTGAGCCCTCATTGACAAGGAAGACAAGGGGCTCTAGGAGGGTCCTCAGAGGTGACCAGGCCAGTGGTTATGGGATTTATGTTTTCTTTGAAATGAATGTCTTACCTGGTTTGTGTTCATGGGATTAGGCCCTTGGGTCTATCTGTAATGGTGATTTCTGGTGGTCTGGACATGGGTGCTGATCTGGAACCACGGCAGTTCTATTGGCTGTCTGGGAGGGTGCTGTGGCCTTCCTCTCTGAGCCTGTTAGAGGCTCCTACCCTCCCTCGTGCCTCCAGTCAGGCCCCATGATGCCCACTTTTGCTGTTTGTGAAGTAGCCTCTTGTCTCACCCTAGTCTGCTGTCCTGGAAGGTCCCTGTCTGCATCCAGCTCCTTTTACTGGCTTCCTTCTCTCCTATATCTGACTTCCTGCTATCTCACTATCTCTTTGGCCTGGCATATGTGTACCCTTTATTGTCCTTGCTCAAGCTAGGCCTGCCCCAGCTGTCACGTGTGGTCCACTCCCAGCTTCCTTCATGTGCTTCCTATGCACATTCGGGTTGCCATGTTTTTGGTGTGTCCAGAGCCACATGTCATCCTGTTAGCCAGCTGTAGTCATTGGCGTGGGTTCTTGGACCATTTCTCAGCCATGCCAAACTTGTTGGCCCCGTTGTCCCTCCTGCCCTCTGGCCTCCTGTGCCTCTTGCTTGTTTTCCTTCCTGACCTGTGGGGTTACAGGGACAGCTCCCAAGTTACACCCTGAACAACAGCTCTCTGTGTGTGCAGCCTCTTCTTAGGGTCCTCAGGACATGTAGCCCTCCATGGCTGCTGCTTTTGCATGGGACCACATGCAGACCAGAATCCAGGCTCATCTGCACCTCTTTCTCATACCACCAGAGCTGTGTCCCATTGCTGACCAGTCCCTCATGCCTTATCTCTCCTGCCTTGGTCTACATTCTGGCCCTACCTCCTCTTCAGTCTCTTCTCTCTTTGAAGTAGTAGCCAGTTTTTTTTGTAAGCTTCAGCAGTCTTCCACAGTTTTCATCAGTCATCTTTCTGGTGCTGAGCTGTCTCTGGTTCCTGGCCACCTGTGCTGTGCCTGCACACTCATTCCCTCCTGAGGTACATGCACATTTGCTCCCTGCAGGCTCCTGCCTCAGGTTCTTGCATGTTGTGACTTCTAAAGCTCTTCCTCTGGTGCTCTCGCCCTTTTTCAAGGTTCCTCCACAGCTCTTACCACATGCCCTGTGGTCTGCTTCTGCAGGTGCCAGCCCTGGCAGGTCCTGCTTTGTCCCTTGTCTCTTGGGATGCCTTTACCCCTACAGCTGGCTGAGGGCAGAGGAAACAGCTGGGCAGGCTCTGTTCTGTGTACCTCCAGACTTTTCAGGCACTGGCCTTTCTTTCTGTCCCCAGACATAGCAGGTATTTGCAGCTTAGGGCTTGAGTATTGTCTCTGTGCCTGGAATAGTTTCTTTCTTTCTTTCTTTTCTTTTTTTTGTCTTTTTGAGACAGGGTCTTGCTATGCAGTTCAGGCTGGTCTTAGGCTCACTTTGTAGCCCAGGCTAGTCTTGAATTTGCCACAGTCTGCCTACCTGAGCCTTCCAAGAGCTGGGATAACAGGAGTGTGCCACCACGCCTGGCTGGAATGGTTTCTTGTTTTCTGATCTTGCTGGGTCATAGCCCTCTGTATGCCGCATGCCCAGAAGTGGCTCAGGTTGCTATGCATGTGCTGCAGGAACTGTGACCCTGCAGCCCCTGTTCCTCTGCAGAGCCCTTCCTGGGTGTTTCTGAAAGGATTCCACTCCGGCTGCCCTCATAGAGTGCTTGGTAGGGTGCTGCACCTCCCTCCTCACTGTGCCACAGGACCCACGTGTATGTATGTATGTGTGTGTGTGTATGCGTGCGTGTATGCATGCGCTGCTCGTGAAGGGCAACTAGGGCACTGGTGGGGAGGAGCAGGGTCCCTTTAAGTGTTCCTGTCTGAGCCTCACTCTTTTCCCTGGGAGGGCACTCTACTGAGACCCGCTGTGGCAGGCATGAGGGACAGCACCTTGGTTTGGGACATTCAGGGTGTGCTCTCTTGCCTTCCTTCTGCAGGAAGCTTGCTGTGTTTGACACGTGGAGCTCCTTGGCTGTTCACATAGCGATGGACAATACCGTGGTGATGGAGGAGATCAGTAAGTGCCCAACTTTCTGTTCATGAGGAAGAGGACTTGTGGGGACATGAATTTCCCTGCTGGGTCGCAGGACAAACACCACCTGCAGAGTTGTGAGTCAGAGCAGAGTAGGGCACAGGATTTGTCTAGAAACCAGTTGAAAGGAGGAACCCAGGTCCTCTTGAGTAGCCAGTTACTTATTATTGTCAGTTTTTTTGTTTCTCTCTTACAAATATGTTAGAGTTTGAAGCAGTGGTGCACACCTATAATCCCAGCCCTCTGGAGGCTGAGGCCAGATGATCACTGGAGTGTGGGAGTTTGAGGCTAGCACATGATCCTGTCTTGAAAAAACAATAAATAATATGAGCTTGGTGATGCATACCTATAATCTGAGCAGTCTGGGAGGTTGAGGCAGGAGGATTGCAAGTTCAAGCCGAGCCCAGGCAATATAGCAGTTTAGACCTGTGTGGAAGTAAAAAACAAAAAAAGTTCTGGGAGTATAACTCAGTGTAACAGTCTGGGATTAATCCCCAGTGATTAAAATAAAGCCAAACAAGCATGTTAAGGTACGCTGTGCTTTGCCAACTTTCCCAGATGCAGGGTCATGTCCACCCTACACACACACTGTGAGCTGCAGACCTGCAGAAAGATGTCTGGGGAGGTCTGGCTCAGAAGGCGAACTCTGAGTGCTTGTTCTGTCCCACAGTGCCTGCTTTATGCTGTGTGCAGCAGAGCCTTCCCCAAGGAGCTCTCAGAACCTAGCTCTGCTTCAAACCTAGTTTTTTTGGAATCTTGCTATCGCTTCAAGCCAAGTTCTGCTTAAAATGCAGTTTACTGGGTGGAATGGCACACTCCTGCAATCCCAGCACTCTGGGAGGCTGAGGCAGGAGGATTGCAAGTTCGAACCTAGCCTAGGCAGGAAAATGAGACCATGTGTCAAAAAATCAGAAAGGTCTAAGTTCAATTCCTACTGCAAAAAAAAAAAAAAAAAAAAAAAAAAAAAAAAAAAAAAAAAAAGAAAAAGAAAAAGAAAAAGAAAAAAAGAAAAAAGAAAAGGAAAGAAATATGAAAGACTCACACAGAGCCATGGCCCTAGCAGTGCCCAGATGGGCAATGGAAATGGGTCTGGCCTGCATGACTGCAGTGTGTACCACCTGTGTACCCATCAGGCCACAGGAAACTGTGTCATTTCCCTGCCTGAGTGATGGAGCCACTCTGTCTCATTTTTTTTTTTTTTTTTCTTTTTTCAAAATGAGAGGTTGACCTTGGGCTTTTACATGGGGCTACATCCCCAGCCCTTTTTATGCTTACTTTGAGACAGGTCTCACTAAGTTTTCCAGGCTGGGCTCTAGCATATGACTCAGCTCTCAGAGCAAGGATTATATCCATGCCTGGCCTCAGTTTCATTTAACCTGACACAGTCAGTGTCAGAGGCTCCCCTTTTACAGTTGATAAACTCACAACAAGTGTTTCTTTCTTCTCCCTTTTAACTTACTCTAGTTCATAAAACTTCTGAAAAATTAAGAAAAATACAAAGAACGTCACCGATTTTACCATTTAGATATCCCACATTACTTTGTTGTTGTTAGTGGTGGTGCTTGGTCACTCTACCACTGAACTACATCCCTAGCATATTGTTGTTAGAATTTTTGAGACAACTTTGGTAAATTTCTGAGACTAGTCTTAAACTTGGAACCTTCTACCTCAGTCTTCCAAGTAGCAGGGGTAACAGGAGTGCACCACCACGGCTGGCCCCATATTTGCTTTGTGCATACTTTTTTCCCGTTATTTTTTGATGCTTTTCAAAAAAACATAATATCTAGCATGCCGGAGGCTAAGTCAGGAGGACTTTGAGTTCAAGGCCAGCATCAGCCTGGTAGGGAGACTGTTTCCAAAAAAAAACAAAAACAAAAAAACACAGATACTTATAACCATCTCATTAACTGGCTATACAGTGTGCTGTTGTACCTTGATCTCTTTTTTCCCCAGCTTCTGGGAAAATTGCTCATCCTGCTCGCATCTATCCAGTCACTCAGTTGGCCTCTGCCTTCAGAAAGGGTGGGAAGGGTGAGGGACAGGCTCCTCCCAGAGCCTCTGTCTAGCTGGGTGTGGGTGGCTTCAGCATCTGGGCCATCTTGAGTCTGGTGCAGCCCAAAGGTGAGCAGCAGAGTCAGGGAAGCGCCCTGTATCTGGGTTCCCAGAAATTCTTGGGGCCATGCAAGATCACCTGTCAGGGACTGCCTGACAGGTATGACAGTTCATCACAGGGACATGGGCACCCCCACATATGGGAAGAATGACATCAGATCAGACCCCGATGCTAAGGCTGGTAGACAAGGGTGGTATGGTATGGTATGGTAAAGGAACATGGATTCATGCTTAGTAACCTTGCCAGTTGCTTCAGGTTTGGAAAGGCACAGAGGACTCCAGGATAAACAGAAAGGAAGTTGCCTTGCTGTCCTACTGTCAGTGTCGACCCAGGCTGTGTACAGCTGTAGACAAAACTTGGATAAGCAGTGCCTTGGCCATTCAAGGGTATTTTTGTCCTAATCTCCTTGCAGAACTGCTTATGGGAAAGCTGGTAATGGGTGTGTACACCTATCATCCCAGCTACTTTGGAGGCTAAGGTAGGAGGGTTGCAAGTTCAGGGCCAGCCTGGGCAACTTAACAAAGCAGTGTCTCAGAGTTTTAAAATCTAAATGAAAAGGGCTGGAGATTTAACTCAGTGATATAGTGAGTAAGGACCTAGATTCAGTCCTCAGCATTGCAATAATAGCATATGGAAGATTTCGGGAAAAGCTGATGACTCTCAGAGATTACACAAGAGCCCTTTGCTTCAGTGAGAGAGTAGCTGGCAATTGGCCCTGCTTGGATTTTGTGTGGAGTGTGCTGGGCAGGAGGGACATCAGCATTACCTTCCCCTCTGTCTCTGCCCACCCACCCTTTGGGGGCCAGCGAGGACATCCATAGTGGCTTCTGGCCTCACCCCATAGAGGTAAACCTGCATCCTGCATTTTCTGAGCAGTGTGCCTCAGCTCATGTGGAGGTCATGGTGAAGCTCTGTGCTTGGAATAAAGATCTTGTCCGCCAGAGGGCACTGTCACCTTGGAGCTTTGCCACCAAAACAGGAATCAAAAAGGTGAGGTATATAATTTCTGTTAGTTAAAAAAAAAAAAAAAAAAACCACAGAGGACCAGAACAGCACTGTCAGAGCTTAGTAGATACACATCCAGCCCTGGGCGCTGACGGCAGAATATACTTTCTTTCAGGAAGAAGAAAGAGTAGAACACATTCTAGAACTGACTTTTGGAAAGAACAATGTATATTTAGACATTAGAAAGTTAACCAACAGAACTAAAAAGAAAGTTAAGACAACTTCATTCCCTAAGTCCTTTTTTCCTGGCTGTTTGAGAAATTTTGGTCCTAAAAAAAATTCAGTGACTCACAACCCACTTTTATTCTCCATTAGTTAAGAAAATTATTTCTTTCTCTTATTTATTTTTTTGATCTTTCATAGCATTGACAGTTTTGAGGAATCCAGGTCAAGTAGTCCTGAGTGCTGGTGTTTCTCCAAGGTCAGACCCAAGTAGATATTTTGACCAAAAACACCACCACTGGGTGGCCCCACTTCTCATAACTCTGCCCAGTTTATGGGGTGACAGTATGCCCAGATAAGAGGAGGAAGAAGGATGCGGAGAAGGAGAGGAAGAGGAGGAGGAGAAAATGAAGGAGAAAGTTTATTCTTACTGCTCTCTCACCATGAAGGAGTCAGGGTCTGCTGGCTACCTTCCTATTTTTCTTTTTTTTACTGAAGTATGAATTTTTCTTGCACTATTTTATGGGTGTGTTTTATTTCACAGTTTTTCTTAAAGGAGGAGAGGTTTAATTTGCCTCATAGCACAAAGTTTAAATTGAGAGCATAGAAAATAGGCTTATTTGCACTTGCCTTTTTACTGCCTTTTCTACTATAAAATGGTGACTCACTTGCATATTGGAGGGAAGCCTTTTCTGCTAAGCCCTGAATCTCTCATTTCCCCTTCAGGGAGGTTGTGCAGGACTGGCCTTCCATGTGCTGGGGCTGCGGCACTCCCCACTGATGCTGACCGGCACTGTAATGGGTTCCCCACTCAAACTGAGGTCACCAACAGGCAGTCACCTTCGCTATGGCGACCCCTGGTGCTTCTGATCCCCCTACGCCTGGGGCTTACGGACATCAACGAGGCCTATGTAGAAACGCTGAAGGTGGGTGACAGTAGCTTTTTGCCCTCCGTGTCCTTGGCCACTCTCAGCATGGTCAGGCAGCTCTGGGGGACGGTGAACAATTGGCTCACGATGAGGCTGGGCGTGACATGTGGAGTGTTCTCAGTTGAGGTAGGCAGGAAGGGCGTTGACCTGGCCTCAGGTGTGGAGAACTCAGACTTCAGCCACTTTGTAAAGAGACCTTCTGGGTCTCAGCTTGCTCCTGGTATCTGTCTTCTGCTCCCCTCAGGCCTCAGTGTCCATTTGGAGAGTGGGCAGGGTTTGAAGTGACAGATGCCCTTATAGTCCCTGGATATCTGACCACCAGCTCCTCTGACGTCCTGCATGACTATCTGCCTACCCTACCCTCTGCCCAGGACAAAAGTGAAACTGCCTCCTTCAGTGGAGACTTGGTCTAAGGCATGAGTTACACAGGCTCCTCACGGTGTGGAAAGAAATGCTTGTCTTGGTCTTTGTCCTCTCCCTCAGCCTTCTGGTTTCCTTCTGGAGTCCAGATTACCCACCGCCCATCCTTGTTCTTTGTTACTGCTACTTCTCCTTGCCTGTCTCAGTGCATCTGACTTGCCTCATGTCTCTGCGCCTTCTTCCCATCATGTAATGCTACTCTTGGCAGTCTGATGAACATTCCTTATGTGTCTACTCCCACATCCTTCCCCTATTCCTACCCCTACCCGCAAGCTTTGCTGAACAGAATCCTGGGTGTAGTGTTCCCTCATCCACTAGAAGCTCTTTGGGTTGTCTTTTCATTCTCTTGGCTCACTGAGCCTGGGGCCTGCTTGTGGCTGTGAGCAGGGCCTTTGTGCTGTGCCTTCGTACGGGCTCTCCAGGAGCATGGTGTGGTTATCAGCCTATCATTCTCTCTCTGCAGCACTGTTTCATGATGCCCCAATCCCTGGGTGTCATCGGAGGGAAGCCCAACAGTGCCCATTACTTCATTGGTTATGTCGGTGAGTCCTATACACCTCTCTGGGTTGCACCAGTGCTCTCCGGTCAATGGGCCTGTTTCCTTTAGTAGCAGTGCCCCCTCTCCTGGACCATCTTGCCCACCATGGTGTCTGTGGACACAGGGCTACCAGTGGACCAGCAGCATGTTCCCACAGTGCCTCTGCCTGGTGCTACATGTTGGCTGGCCATGTGGTCTTCCTGTCCCCTTTCAATGATGGTCCAATCCCACCCCACCTCATGTCTCCTATACTTTGCAGTGGGGCTGTCTGCTTGGGCTGGCTTGGAATGGTGGGTCTAAATATGGCCCTCATCCACTCCATAGCTGACCTCCATCATTTTGCCCCAGGTGAGGAGCTCATCTACCTGGACCCTCATACTACACAGCCAGCAGTGGAGTTGACAGATGGCTGCTTCATCCCAGATGAGACCTTCCACTGCCAGCACCCACCTTGCAGGATGGGCATCGGGGAGCTGGACCCATCCATCGCTGTGGTATGTCCCAGCCATGTACCCCATGCTAAACCTGTTTTAGGCTTAAGAGGGAAACTTGGAGATTCTGTAGTTTTCCCAGCATTTGGAGTGTTGTTTTCTTACGATTTTGATCAGAAGGGTGTTGTTTAATTTCCATTTGTTTATGGAGATTTTTGGTTTCTTTTGCCATTTCCAGTTCATTGCACTATGGTCTGATAATATGCATGAGATAATTTCAGTTCCTTTGCATTTAGTTAAGTATATTCTTTTAGCTAGTATGTGACCTATTTTGGAGACCATCCCATGTGCAGCTGAGAAGAATGTGTATTCTGATGTTGAAGAGTGGAACACTGTAGATATCTATTAAGTCCATTTTTTTGAAAGTTTGGTTCAGTTTTAATATTTCATTGTTGATTTCTGTTTTGTTCTAGTTGATCTATTTGTGACAGTGGGGTATTGAGATCTCTCAATATAATTGTATTAGTGCTAATTTGATGTTTCATGCCCATTAATACTTGTTTTATACGGTTAGGTACACTGGTGTTTGTCACATACATATTTATGATTATTATCTCTTCCTCTTGGGTTGTTCCCTTTAAGGATATTGTAACCTTCTTTGTCTCTCTTAATCAGTCTGGACTTGAAATTCACTTTGTCTGTAAATAGAATAGCTACTCCTGCTTTTTTCTGGGTTCCTATCACATGAAGTATTGTCTTCCATTTGACTTTCAGACTGTGAATTTCTTTTTGAATTACATGTTTTTCTTGTATACAGCATATTGTTGGATCCTGCTTCTTGATCCATTGTGCCAGTCTATTTCTTTTGATTGGTGAACTGAGGCCATTAACATTGATGATTAAAACTGATATGTATTGACTTATCTTTTTTCCCCAAATGTTTGCTTGCCTGGTGGATTCTTTTGTTCGTGTTAAATGGAATTGTAGTCCTTTTTATATCTTTCTAGAATGTCCTTCAGAATATTTTGGAGTGCTGGTTTGGTGTCCATGAATTTCCTCAGGTGTTCTTTATCATGGAAGTATCTTATTTCTGCATCAGTTTTTTTTTTTTTTTTTTTTTTAAGTCTTTTTGAGATGGTCTTACTATGCAGTTCAGGCTTACTGTGAGCTTACTTTGTAGTCCAGGCTGGTCCCAAACTTGCTGGTCCTCTTCCTCAGCCTCTCAAGTGTTGGGATTACAGGAGTGTACCACCACACCTGATTTTCTGTATCAACTTTGAAAGATACTTTTGTGATGGGGTACATCATTGTGGCTTGAAGGTTGTTTTCCTTTAGGAAAATACTTCACTCTATGCTGTCCTTCACTTGAAAGTCTGTGCTGAGAAGTCAGCTATGATTCTGATGGGCTTTCCTTTATAAATGACTTGTTTCTTCTCCTTAACAGCTTTTAATATTCTATTTTTGTGTTGAATTTTTGAAATCTTGACTATCATATGTCTGACTATAGATTTTTTTAAAATCATGGTTAATTGGAGTTCTGTATGCCTCACTTACCTACATGTCAAATTTTTTTTTGACATGGGAAATTTTTTGCCATGTGATCTGTGAACAGTTTTTATTACTTCTTTTAATGGTACTGGGAATCAAACTCATGATACTGTGCTTGCCAGGCAGGTGCTGTGCTGCTGAGCTATAGTCCTGGCCTCTGTGAACAGCTTTTTTTTTAAATTATCATTTGTGCTATCTCCTGCTTTTTCATTGACTCCTGTGTTATTCTTTGCATCATTCTAACAGCTGTTGGATTGACTTCTTGCTATTTTTATGAAATCTTTCTTTTCAGGATTCCTCACTATAAGCCTGTCTCCTTTATCTGAGATTTTTGTCTTCACATTAGCTCATTCTGCCGCAGATACTTTTAATGGAATTTTTATTCTCCTCCTGGGTATCTGCTTGAATCTGTTTTATGGATTTCATTTCTTTCCTGTCTTGGGCACTCTTGGCTTCCATCATTTTCTTAAACTGATTGTTTTTTAATATGCATCACTAAGCATGGTTTTCATTGTGGACACCATCTCTATAGTTATCTGAGAAATTATTTCTGATTTGTTTTTTTCCAGAGTCTCATTCATTTGTATTGTATTGTTATCACTTCAGAGGCCAGGTGGGTGACTTTCAGATTGTCCCACTTTATTGCCCTCTGGGTTTGCCATTGGTGAACTGGATGTCTGGGGTTGCATCTTGTTTAAGTGTCTTTTCTTTTTCTTTTTTTTTTTTTAGTTTAATTCTTGGATTAATGCTTTTAAATTGCCTATGGTGAGTGGCTTTCTTGTTAGTATCTAGAACTCTGAGGAAATGATTAGTTCTGAGAGGTGTCTTCCAGGTGTATTTGGTTTTTGGGTTTTGAGTCTGTGGCAAAATCCTGCCTCTTCAGTTTTTTGAGGATGAGAAGTTACTGCCTCTGCACCTGAGTCCCTGGTGCTTTGGGACTGGCCCACAGTATTTGCTATGACCCTTGGGTAGTCTCATTCTTGAAATACCAGGAAAAAACAGCTGGTTAGAACAGTTACGTTACTTTGACTAAAGTGGTACAGTCAGCAATAACAATAGTATCAAATAGCCTAGAAAATGACACTGAAGTAACCATTAATTTGTGACCTTTAACTATATAAACTAGATTTGTGGTTATATAACAAAATCTAAAACAAACCAGAAAATTACATGGTAAGTAAGTTTTTAATATGTCAGTTTTACTCTCAGGAGAGAAAATTTGAAAGTGGTTAGGCAAAAATTAGTAGAAGAGCAAGAAATTAGAAGCAAGGCTGGAGGACAAAGTGGGAGCATGCAAACGTTTGGAAACTGGGGCAGAAGACAGGACGGAAAGAGGGAGAGAAGCAATGAAAGGAAGAACAGAGCAGCAGCCACACAGAGAAGTTAGAAACCACATTTACACTCATACAAACACAAGATCAAACAATGAAGGAGAAAAAAAAAGCCAACAAGAAATCAAGAAGAAAAAGAAAAAGTCCACTTCCAGATTCATCTCTACTGACACTAGTAAACAGTATGTGCAGACAGAATCCAGATCTGTGTTGATTTATTTCAGCAAGCCAGCAGTAGCTTTGTGGTAGGGTAGTGGATAATCTCAGCAAGCCTGCACCTTTATGTTCCCTGAAATTCACGTTGGATTCTGGCCATGAGACCGAAACCAGATGCATTCAGCTTACATCAGTTAGCATACATTCTGTGGGCTTGCACGCAGCTGGGTGCTGCTAAATGGATCCAACAGTTGTTCTGAGTTCCGAGTTAGTTGGTCCCTCTCCAGGATGGTTCCTGGCCAGTCACTCTCTCCCAAGGGATGACTGAGCCCTCCGTACTCACCCCCAGCTAGTGTAGTGCTTTGTGTCCACTGTTTCCTCCCACTACTGTGTCTTTCTGTGGAGGCCTCTGGTGCTGTCAGCAGTCACCAAGTGTCCACAGGTTTGAACTGCTCCTTTCATGCAGTGAGTCTTGATTTGGGAAGAGGGCTCCCCTGGCTACCTCCTTATTCATTGAAGTTTCTCTTTTTGCTCTCCTAGTGGGCTTCATTCTTGCTTCAGATCCTTGCTGGGTCCAGGGGACCCAATTGTCTCATCATCTTCCCCTTGTTACTATATTCTAGTCATTCTCATAGTTTTGAATTTCAAGACCATGGCATGAACTATGTTGGGCCTGAAGATCCTTCCCAGGGACTGCCACTTCCTGAGCAAGCAGAGTGCATGGGTGTGCACATCTCAAGTGTGAGTGTGCATGTAGACCAAGTGCGCATGTAATGAGTGCATGTGCCAGCATCACTTTTTATCATTTTCTGTTCCTTTTACTTAGTGCATCTGAGAGAGGCTTCGCTAAGAACAAGCTTCTCCTATGCCTTGGTTTATGTAGTTGAAATTCTTGATACGTAGTTCATGCAAACCTGCTAGTTCTCAAACTTTGATGGGGGAAGAGACAAAAAAGAAAACTCACAGGATATGGTGACACACATCTATAATTTCAGCCACTTGGGAGACTAAGGCAGGAAATTGCAACTCTGAGGCCAGCCTAGGTAAGACCTTGTCTCAAAATAAAAATGGCTGGGGCAGTAGCTCAGTGTTAGAACACACTAGGTTCCATCCCAGTATCAAAAAGAAAAAAATAAAAATAAAAAGACAAGTCTATAGGCCATGCCTGGTGGTGCACACCTGTAATTTCAGCACTCAGAAAGCTTGAGGCAGGAGGATTGCTATGGGTTCAAGGCCAGCCTGAATTGCAGTGAGATCATGTCTAAAAAAAAAAAAAAAAAAAAAAAAAAAAAAAAAAAAAAAAATTCAAAAAATAAAGTAAAAGGAAAACCTAGAAGCAAAGCCAAGGCTCAGGAGGTCATCACTTGTATGGGGGCTCCACATCCTGGACACTGGTGACAGAATTTTGAGGCCTGACTGGCGTGGCAGTCTGGTATTCCACCCTGGGACATGCACACTGGTTCCAGGATGTCTGGGGAGGTGCATGGGGATGGCAGCTGGAGCTGCTCTCAAGTTGCCCAGCTCTCTGTGGCTTTCAGTTATTCATAACTGTGCACTCAGGTCAAATAAGAAATCCAGCTTGTAGTCTATGTAGGAGGCTGAGGCAGGAGGATTGAGAGTTGGAGGCCAGCCTCTGCAACTTGGTGAAGCCCTCTCTAGCTGAGTCTATAAAATTGGTGATTAGTGATGTTGCTTGGTAGTGCAGCACCCCTGGGTTCAACTGCAAATAAAAGAAACTGAAGCTGAGTACCACAGTAGGAGGGCAGGTAGGCAGGCCGGTGCCGAGTGCAGGGGCTGCACAAGGATGGAGGCAGTGTGCTGGCCCCACCACCCTCACTGCTGTGGAGAAGCCAGTTTACAGGGTTTCACTCAGACACAGTTCATTACCAGGTGTGGTTTCTGTGTCTGCCTAATGATGACAGCAGTGGGGAGTACTTGCACTCCCTGGCGCCATCCTTTGCCTGCCAGTGCCTCTGATCTTGTGGCTCTAGCAGTGCTCAGGGTCCTCGAGACTGTTGCTGCAGAGTAATTAGACTTCATAGATGGTCCCCATGCAGAGAGGTTCTTGCACTCACCAGTGCTGCTGCCCACAGGACTCTCCTCACTCCCAGGCCTGATTTCTCAGTGTGTGGCTGCCATCACTTCAGAACAGTGTTGGTTACCTCTACTGCTCCATCCTGGGCTGAGGCCAAATTGATGCCAGGTCTCAGCTGCAGGGGGAAACGGCTCTCTGTGCTTCGCCCTCGCATAATCATAGTTATGCCTTCCTCCCAGGAGGCTTGTTGAAGTGAACACCTTTTGGGGAAGGTAAACCCCGGGCTGAGAGAAAGGGGTGTATTTTGCTGCAGGCCTGAGTTGGGGAACCAGATCACTAAAGGTGGTGGGGCTGTGCTGCATCTTGACATGCAGCTCATGCAACATTGGGTCATGCTGTCTCTGTCACTTCATTTTAGGGTTTTTTCTGTAAGACTGAGGACGACTTTAATGACTGGTGCCAGCAAGTCAAAAAGGTCTGTAGCTACTGCCCTCCCCTCCCGTCTGGGGACAAGGAGTGGGGTGGGGGAAAGGCCCATCCTGGTGCCCTGCACAGTTGTGCTGACTAAACACACAGGGTGTTCTGGGCTTCCTCCCCAGCACAGTTGCCTACTGTGTGGCTGGCGCCATGTGGATCCTTCAGGGTGGGATCCTCTGTGGGTGCCTATTGCCCTCCTCCCTTCCTGGCATATGGTGCTGTCACAGCCTTCTTGGTGTGGAGCTCTCGGGCTTGTTCCTGTGATGGAGAAGGAGTCTAACCCATTCCCCGTACCCCAGCCTTGATTCATGGGGTGAGGCTGGCCAGCTGTTCACACCTGTCTCCTGACAGCTGTCCCTGCTTGGGGGCGCCCTGCCCATGTTCGAGCTTGTGGAGCAACAGCCTTCCCACCTGGCCTGTCCTGATGTCCTGAACCTGTCCCTTGGTGAGTCCTGAGCCTGGGTGGCCCCATGTGCACGCTGGTCATATAGACCGGGCCCCTCACTGCCCTGGCTGGTTCACTGGCTTTTAAGCAGTAAAATCTGCATGAATTTGGGTGTGACCCACGGGGGTAATTTGGGTCTGACAGCACTGCAGTTCAGTGAGCCCCCTCCTCTCACCCTGAACTCAGAGTAGCAGAACCTATGTCTTGTCTTTTGTCTGCCCTGGGACATCTGCCTGGTACTATGGGAGCTGGGTGCCTCATTGGTCCTTGGCTCTCTGATGGCCCATCCAGCCCAGGAGCCAAGGGGGCACAGGGAACAGCTCCATAGGCCCTGGCTTGAGGACAGGGCACTGACCCTGTAGAACACTGGCCAGAGCCCCATCAAGCCTACCCAACCCACAGTTCTCTGGCCTGTGGTTGGCAGGAGAGTTGCTGTTCTGTGTCCCCAGCTACCTGATGCCTTGGGGCTAAACTTTGGACCCCCAGAACTGGCTTCTAGCACTTCCTCAGCCCACATTGCAGAGCACCCTTGAGAGGGGTCTGATGAGGCTTTGTTTTTTCTAGATTCTTCTGACGTGGAGCGATTGGAAAGATTCTTTGACTCAGAAGATGAAGACTTTGAAATCTTGTCCCTCTGAGGGTCCTGGGGTTGAAGGGCGGCTTCCATGGCCCTCACTGAGAACCTAGCCACGCCTCAGGCACTTGGTGCCAGCGTACTGCATTCCATCTACCCAGCCTGCCCCTACTGAGCGCCACGCCCATGCTGCCTCTGATTGGAGGCCTGTGCTGCCCAGGGGATGAGGCCTGCACTGCCCTGGACGCCTTATGCTTGGAGCCAGCCCACCGTGCCCAGGGTGTGCCTCCAGTTACCCGCAGAAAAGAGGTGTTTGGCAGGAAGCTGAGTGTGGCAGGCCTGGAGCTTGCAGAGTTCTCTGCTGCGTCTCCACACTGGCTTCAGCCCTGCTCTCCCAGGTGCCAGGTCTGGTTGGTTTGGAATTAAAGCCCTGTTTGGAGTTGTTCAACACAGACATGAGTTTCTGGGCTGCTTCCCAGGTTAGTCTCCGAAGACCTGCAGATTGGCAGTGTGGAGCAAGGGTTACATCTTGGCTTTGTGCTAGGCACCTGCTCTGTCCAGCGCAGTTACTAAGGGCTACTCTCTGGAGAGCAGGTGGAGAGTACTCAAGAGTGGGCATGTGGGAAACCAGGGGCTTTGTGTGCCTGGGCCCAGGTGCAGGTCCTCAAGCCAGCCCTGAGCATTCCCCACAGGTGCAGCTTCCATTCTGAGCCGCAGCATTTGGAGACCCACTGCCTGCTGCTGCTCGCTGTTACACCAGCTCCCCTGAGCGCCTCTCTGCCTGGACACTAATCGGATGGAGTGCCCTGATGCCCACGTTTCCTTTCTCAGAATTGCTGGGCAGGTTGGGCAGCTGAGTGCCCAGCACTCATAGTGAAGTATCCAGACCCTGTCATTTCAGCAGACACCACCTTCACACCCTAGTTTCCAGGCCCTCAGACCTTGTTCTTCTGGCCTGTGGTCTGTTTAGAACTGGAGCCCCACTCCTGCTAGCAGGCGTAGCAGCGGGTGGGGAACCTAGGGTGGCTACACAGGTGCCCTTATGCAGCCAGGCAGGACTGGAGGAGCCTGAGGTGGGTGTCTCAGCTATGGCCACTCACAGCCAGCCCACCGGAGGGTACACCCCAGGCCCCAGGTGTTGAAGATATAAGTTATTTCGTCCCTTTTCTCCTCCCTCCCACCCTCTGTCCTTACCATGGCTGTGGGAGGAATGGGCAGCAGGGAGGGCTGGGACCATTTCTGTTTCTTTGGGTTCTGCTTCCTTCCCTGCCGCTGGTTCTTGAGGAGGGGACAAGTGTTGGAGGAGCTACCCTCTCCGTCTGGAGAAAGCTTCCTAAAAGGAGGTGGTCCATTCTTAGTATAGTTCGCAGTTCTTAATGGCAAATAACAAGTTTCCATAGAAAACAAAGTATGTGTGTGTGTGTCTGCTGATTTCCCTTAAGTTACAGCTGACTGTGATCATCAGTCTTTTTGTTTTTATAGCATGACAGGTAAAACTCTCAGAGCTGGGCAAGTGTAGTCTCCCTGCTCCTGCCTAGGCCATCTGAGGAGCTAGACATGGAGCCTGTCTCCACTCCAGTGCTGGGTAAACATGATACTAAATCTATAAAGAAATACATAGAGATTTAGTTTTAGGATGATGACCTAGTATTTCTTCTGCCCATGTGTGAGCTGGGCCTGTAAGTAGCCTCACCTGGGGCCAGTACACAGCATGGAGGAAGTCAGGACTCACTGGTTAGCACCTTATGCTATACCAGCAGGACAACCCTGCATCATCCCAACTGGTCCACCCTTCTGGGTAGGTGCCAAAGGCCCAAAGAGAGGAAAAGGTTTTACTCACTACCTGGCTGAGGGGACCCAAGGGTGAGTCAACCCTCTCAAGTACCCATCAGTTCCTAGAATACTTTTGACTTATTGAGGCAAGGTTTCATTATGCCACCCAGGCAGGTTTAAACTTGTGATCTTTCTGCCTCAGCCTCCTAAATGCCAGGGTTACAGGCATGCACCACTGGCTTACAAAACAGATTTTTCCATATGGTCCTGGAAGATGGAAGTTAATACTGTGATAGGGATGGCCCCTTGCAGACTCCAGGGAGAAAATAGGTCCCTCCTCATCCTCACAGCCTGCAAACACTGTACCTTCCAATCCTTGTAGGGACACTGGGGACATAAAGCCTCCCTGGAGGATCCTGGACAGTACCATCTGCAGATCTTGGGCATTTACCCAGCATCACTCTCACTGTACATGGCACTGCCTTCCATCCCAGCCCTCTACCCAGAGGCTGCAAGGTAGGGTAGGTGCCCCTAGAATTGCTATTAAGCTCTAAGGTATATTATAAAAACAGAGCAAGATTAACATCAATGCTCAGAACACAGGACATCGCATTACTGCAGTTTAGTCTGGCATATCCAGCGAGGTCTACCCTGTGGTGAGACCACAGACCTGGAGAAGCCTAGGGCAGGCAGGGTCTTTTCCAAGCAGGCTCTGGTTCCTGCTCGAGGCTGTCAGCCCGTATCTAGCATCTGAAGACAGAAAATTGCATGAACATGTTTTATAGGTAAGTTTTTATTGGAGCTTGTAAGAGATGCCTGTAGCTTCAGCTACTCAGGAGGCCGAGGCAAAAAGACTGAAAGTTCAGGGCCAGCCTGGCAACTCAGTGAGACCCTGTCTCAAGGTAAAGTTAAGCAAAGGGCTGGGGTGGTCGATCAGTGGCTTCCCTAAGCAAGTGCAAGGCCCTGGATTCACGCCAGAGAACTTAAAAAAAAGTAAAGTAACTGATATTTCTGACAAACTGCTCAGTTCTCTTTTTTAACCACTAAAGTTAAATAAGAAAACAGTATATAAAACATCTCTAAGACAGGAAGACAAGTCCACTACTGGGAGCCCACAGCCAGGACTTCATGAGGCATGTCTGGGTACAGGCCTGCCTCAAGTCACAAAGGGGCCCTATGGGTCTTGGGCACCAGAATTGTTCTGGAAATCACAACCTGAAATGCCATCGGATGTCTGAAGGGCCTGGTGTAGGTGTCTTGGCCAGGTTCACTGCCACAGCTTCCCTAGGGGCTTCTGTGCCGCACTGAGGATGGCAGCCTTGGAGAGTGTGCAGATCTCCTCATGGACCTCCTCAATTCTTCTGGAAGCATCCACCACCTGCTCCCACAGAGGACACAGGAGAGGGTCATTACCATTTTTTGTTCTAGTGTTTGTGGCTCTTTTGAGGGTACTAGGGCATGGTGCAAGGCCTCTGAAACTCTGCCTATGGTGTGCTAGGTGCAGAGCTGCCCACACTGCTGCCACCTCTGAGATTCAGGAGAAATCCCCTATGTTAAGGGCTGCCCTCACTCCCGCAGCCCACCATGCTAACCAAGGTGTGTTGTTGATGTGGAGCCTGAAAAAGACCACATTACCAAATACCTGGGGGCTCAAGAGGCTGTGTTCCTGGTCTACAGGATGCCTCCGCAAAGGCAGCCCCCAGCAACATGAGGGCCCAGCAAGCCTAGGTCTCCTCCCTGCCCTCCACCTGTGCATTGTACTGCACAGCAGTGCTGGGAGAGAAAGTCCTCCCAGAAGGCAGGCAGTGGGGAGAAAAGCCCAAAGGGTGCCAGGATTTCCAAGGCTTCTGTTTTGTTTTTGGTACTCAGGGCTTCTGCACTGAGCTACATCTCCAGCCTTTGGTTATTTTGAGATGGTCTTGCTATATAGCTAAGCTGCACAGATAGGGGTCAAACTTGGACTCCTGTCTCAGCCTCTCAGAGTGCTAACATACAAATGTGTGCCACCATGACTTGTTAGAAGTCATTTCTGCTATAGGGCTGGGGGGCACCAACAGCTCTGTAAGCATGGCCATGGCCCTCAGCAACAGACTATAAAAGCTCCTTGGGTTGCAGAGGTCTCTGCTTCACAATACATGGCTGCAGCAAGAGCAACCCTCCTCCACGCTATCAGCTAGACATCACCTGTTTGGCACAGCTCTCACCAGCCCTGAAGGTGACCCTCACATCTGGCTCACTGTCCACAAAGATGGCAACGAAACACTAATACAAAACTTAGAATTTTAAGATAAATTTCAAAATGATGGGGAAGTATAACAGGTGCAAAGGTGAGACCCAGCAAGGCAGACTATGCTATCTGCAGGCAGAACCAAGCTGTGGACATTTGACACCAGCTCTGGTGCTGGCTGAACCCCAGCTCCCACTCTAGCAGAAGCCCAATTAAGCCTCACAGGCTGGGTCATAATATGGATGTGTGGTGCCACCAAACCCACCAGAACCTGCTGCTGTGCAAGTTGTGTCCAGGACAGAGCAGAGGCCAGTAACCTGGAGAGGAAGGGTTAAAGTCGACTCTTGCGACAGCGCCGTGAGGAAGCAGGACCAAAGGGACACCTGGTACAGCTGGTATCCTGGACACAGGGAGGGGACCCAAAAAGGAGAGAAGGAGGACCCAGGTTGTACCTGTGTGTGGGGAGCCAGCAACACGACAAGAGGTTGGTACACATGACACGGGATAGGAAGTGGTTATGGCGAGGGCTGAGGACTAACACCACAACTGGCTCCTCTGGATAGCACAATCCAGAGACAAGGACTTCTGGCTACTCCAGGATCAGGAAACTGCAAGGTGAAGTATAGAGCAGCTCCTGGGACTCAGGTTCTCAACCATGTGGGTGGCTAAGGTCTTTCAGGGGACAAGATGCAAAGGGGATGGGGCTCAGGTCTGAAAGGGGCCCATAGCTACATACGGTCTCGTGGATGAGGTGCCAAGGCTTCATATTTTGGAGAATCTACCTGGAGGCCTGCAACTTGTTACACAGGTGGGTTGGGGGCAGAGTCCAGTGGAAGACACTTGCCTGTAATTTTAAGGGCCTGGGTTCCACTCCCAGCACCCTCAAAAAGAAGGGATGTAGTGACTTGCTGACATCTGGACAGCTGCCTGAGATCCCATGGAGGACAAACTAGAGACTGCAGCAGCTGTGCTGCTGTGACCTCAAGGCAGAGTGGATCCCTGCCCCTGAGCAGTCTGAGCTCATCCTACTTTCAGGGCCCTCACCTTCCAGTTCAAAGTTGAGTCCCTCATGAGCTGCTGGAAGCCACACAGTGCACGTTCCTGGAAGGTTTTCTCTTCGTACCGCTCATGGCCAAACTCCCCCCGTGTGGCAGCATCTGTCAGTTGTAACTGAAGGAACAGGATGAGATCAGGCTTGGGCAGGCCCACATCCGGCTGCTTGCACCAATCTAGGGAAAAATTCTGCCAACAAAGAATAGAACGGGGAAAAAGTAAGCAGTGTCTAATTTTGTCCAAATCATAAAAAAGGGAGAAAAGGAGATGATGTTTGGTGCTGTACCAAGAGTACACAGCAATGGCTTTTATGGTGGTAAAACCTCACATTTTGCATTCTCCCATGTCATCTCTGATTTTTCTCTTTGAATGCACTGAGAGGATACAATGGCTCCTGTCCTGGTATGCATACTCCTACAGTGGCCCTGTGACAGGTAGCTCTAGGTAGCTCCTTCTGTCGAAGAAGAAAGCACAATCTAGGCACATAGATCCTTGAGGCCCACTGGGCCCAGGAAACACAGGTGGAAGGGACAGAGTCTGCTCAGGCACAGGGCTGTTGGCCATGACTGGCCTTTCACTGACCCCACTAAGAAGACGAGGACTAGACTTTGCTGGACTATGCTAGAGCTTGTGGGTAGGGTCCTTCTTACACATCCTGCCACCCTGCAAAGATGGTGTCTCTCTTCCTGGAGGGAGGACAGGGCCAAGAACTCCCAGCCCATGCCATCCTGCCCTGAGTTCACAGGCCCAAGGGGCCTGCAGAACCAGTTCTCAGCAGTGCTCAGCATGTCAGGACAGGAGTCCCACTGCATCTTGGCTACCTCTTATCCTCCTCATGCAAACCGACTACTTTACAAGGGAAGGACTCTGCCTAACATATGAAGAAAGATAAAATTCAAATGCTACCACTTTGCCATTAATTATCACCAAGGGCTGTTTCTACACAAAAGATAAGCAGGGAGCTGGAGTGTGGCTTCATGGTATGACAATTGCTTAGCATGCATGGGCCTCTGATCTCCAGTACTACCCAAAAAGAAAACATACAAGCATGTATCATCTGTCTCATAAGAGCAGAGCCCAGCACTCCTTAAAGTGCCCTTATAAAAATAAATTTTTTGGTGCTAGGGACTGGATCCAGTATCCCTTGCATGCTAGACACACGCTCTACCACAGAGCTACACTCCCATAGCCTGCAAAATAAAATTTTGAAAAACTTAGCTGAGCAGGGTGGTAATTGCCTTTAGTTCTAGCTACCTAGGAGGCTACTAGGGAGAGGAATGAAGGAGGGAAAGAAGGAAAGGATATGTTTTGAACATGTTAATGCAGCTGGGCGTGGTGGCTCATGCCTGTAATCCCAGCACTCGGGAGGCTGAGGCAAGAGTATCGTTGAGACCAGCCTGGGCTACAATGTGAGCTCAAGGCCAGCCTGAACTGCATAGTGAGACCCTGTCTCAAAAAGACAAGAAGAAAAAAAAAGGTTAATGCAAAGAAGGAATGCAGAAACAAATACTTCAAGAGATTTAAGAAGTATTTCAATATGTGAACCTTAATTGGATTTGAGTTCATTGTGACTCAAAATACAAATAAGACAATGAAGCTGGTACAACAGCCTATTCCTATAATCCTAGCATTGTAGGAGGCTGAGGACAGTCACTGGGCAATTTAATGAGACCTGGTCTCAAAATACCAAGTAAAAAGGTGCAACTCAGTGGGAAGACTCTATGTTCAATTCCCAGTACTGCCCAAATAAGAAAAAAAAAAAAAAAAAAAAAAAAAAAAAATCAAAATAATCAGTTGTTGAGAAAGCGCTCTGGGAAATCTGAACAATGGTAAAATGACTAATTTTTTATAGGTAAAACTATTTTAGCGGTGTAGCAGCATACATCTACAATCCCAGTGTTCAAGTGGCCAAGGCAAGAGGATCACTGCTTGAGGACAGCTGGGCTACCTAGTGATTTTAAGGCATTATGAGACTCTGGCTCAGAAGACAGAAGTTATTTTATGGATGGCATTGAGACATTTATGAAGGAATTGATGAGGCTGTCTAGTGTGAGATGGAGGAGACCAGAGGGACACCAGGACTTGTGATGGCGCTAGGTGGTTTATCATTTTCTCTGCTGGTTTATGTTTTAAATTTTCAAAATAAGCAGAAAAAGAAGCAGTATGGTCAGAACCATTATACATGTGAAGGCCCAGCTCTGTAGAGCAGGTAAGGAGGTCAGGAAAGGAGAAAGACACCATCCCAGTTCTCCCTGACACATGGCTGGAAAGCAAGACACTGGATCAAGTATATGCCAATTTATGACTTTCAAAAACTCTGGGAAAGCAGTCTCCCAAGTAAAACACAGTTATGTCTGTGAAAACACTGTATCCCATGATGAATGCAACCAATATATATACCTAAAAACTAAATTGTACCAATAAACTTACTTAAAAAAGAATTTTAAAAAACATGTCTTTTAAAATTTAAAAAATACATGTTTGCTCTTAGTAAGAGCCAAATTAACCCAGAGGTAACAGGTACACAAGAATCATAAAATCCCAAAGAGTAACTTTAATGTGTGCTGCTCATAACTACCACAGGTGCCAGACAGCCTAGCAGTACTCACCTCCTTGGCACTTGTGAAGGCAACACCAGAAAACGCGTATCTATCTACAACAAGGGTCACACCCTGGTACAACTTCTCCTTAATTAATGGTCTGAAAAACAGAAGAACGACAACTCAGAGATCCTGCACAGTGAGCATGGTGGCACGTATTTGCAATTCCAGCACTCAGTAGGCTGAGGCAGGATTGCTGCAAGTTCAAGGCTAGCCTCGGCTACAAAATGAGCTCAAGGGCAGCTGGAACTATATAGTGAGACTTCTGTCTCAAAAAAAAAAAGAAAAATCCCTCATAATAATCATTCTTGCATTCAAAGCTTACAGCATTCAAAGCTCTGGATCATCTCCTTAGAAAATGCCATGTGGACTCTACCAGCAAAGCCCTGTGTGTAACAGATAACCCTCTAGACAGTAATCACCTACATTCCTTAAGCCCAAGACAGGAACAAGTCCCCAGGTGTCAGAGCGCCAGCACTGGCCCACTAGGGAAAAGGAGAACCCCAGAAAGAAAGAACAAAGAAAGGCAGAAGGGTGGACCAGGCTGGCAGCTAACACATCAATGACTGTCCCCTCAAGCCCTAAAGCCTAAACTGCTAGGACAAGGATGGATAGGATATAAGGACTTTTACAACCAACTGCAGGCCCACCTTCATCCCCAAGGTGCCAAAATCTTAGATATGCATAGTTGAGGGGCATGAATTAGCAAAGCCAGAAAAAACAATCTGCTCTGTCTGTCTCACTGGGGACCCTCAAATGGTAGGGTCACTCATACAACAGATAATCTTTGACAAAGGAATAGACACTATGATGGGGCAAATATAGTCTGCAACAAATGTGGCTAGGACAACCAGATGCTCACATGTATAAGAATGAATCCAGACCCTGATCTTTCACACCACAAAATTAGCTCAAAATGGACCACAGACCCAAAAGCAAGAGGTCCCCAGCAAGCACACACATAAAAAAATAGCCACAGAGACTACTATAAACTCTGGCAAGTGTGAGATCATGGGTGCAATTCCCAGCACTAAAGAAGGAGAAGGAAGAAGAAGGAGAAGGAAGAAGAAGGAGAAGGAAGAAGAAGGAGAAGAAGAAGAAGAAGAAGAAGAAGAAGAAGAAGAAGAAGAAGAAGAAGAGGAAGAGGAGGAAGAGGAGGAAGAGGAAGAAGAAGAGGAAGAGGAAGAGGAAGAAGAGGAAGAAGAAGAGGAAGAAGAAGAAGGAAGAAGGAGAAGGAAGAAGGAGAAGAAGGAGAAGAAGAAGGAGAAGGAAGAAGAAGGAGAAGAGGAAGAGGAAGAGGAAGAAGAGGAAGAAGAGGAAGAGGAAGAAGAGGAAGAGGAAGAAGAGGAAGAGGAAGAGGAAGAAGAGGAAGAGGAAGAAGAAGAGGAAAAGAAGGAGAAGGAAGAAGAAGGAAGAAGAAGAAGAAGGAGAAGGAAGAAGAAGAAGAGGAAGAGGAAGAGGAAGAAGAGGAAGAGGAAGAGGAAGAGGAAGAGGAAGAAGAGGAAGAGGAAGAGGAGGAAGAGGAAGAAGAAGAAGAAGGAGAAGGAGAAGAAGAGGAAGAAGAAGGAAGAAGGAGGAAGAAGAAGAAGAAGAAGAGGAGAAACTATAAACTTGGGTTAATAATGTACTGCGAGTGGCTATCAATTGTAACAAATTAACATTAATATCACATACAAGTATCAAGAAAGGCTAGTCAAATCTGTAACCCCAGCATGGTGGATAGATGATTGCTGTGGGTTCCAGCCCAGCTTCGGTTGCATAGTGAGTTCAAGGCCAGCCTGGACCCTAGAAAAGAGAGGAAAACAGGAGGAAGGGGAAAAAGAGACAGGAGAGAAAAGAAAAGGATAGGTGCAGGAACTCTTTTTGATCAGTATAACTTAAAACTATCTGGTTGTCTGGGCAAGGACTCATGAGCCTCATATTACAAGTGGAGGAGGAGATGAGCAGGAAGGAAAAGCAGTAAGTAATCAGGGCTCCCTAGGAACCGTGTCACTCCTGCTGTTGGGACAGCTATAGGCTGAGCAGCCTCTAGGACATTCAGGTCCTGGCCCACATGAGGTCAGTGTCATTCAGAATCCAGAGCCCATGCTCGAAAGATCCCTGCGATGGAGGCAGAAAGGGTTTGGGCTTTTACACTTGTTCCCAGCGGTTGGCAGAAAAAAGTAGGTGCACTGAGTGATCCTCAAGTTCACTTTTCTTTTCCAAGTAAGAACTAAGAAGTTTGCCAATTTCCGTTGATCGATCTAAAAAAAAAAAAAAAAAAAAAAAAAAAAAGTTAGGTTTTTCAAAGTAGAATACATACTATAATCCAGCTTTCAGGAGGCTAAGCAAGAGGATCATCTCAAGTTCAAGGCTAGCCTAGGATACATGAGTTTTAAGGCTAGGCTGAACAATTACAGTGAGACTGTCTCAAAATAAGAGAAAAGTAGAATATAAAAAAAAGGATGGGGACGGGTTGTACCGCATTAGCAAGAGACAAAATATACGTTGCACAGAATTTGGCCCCCAAATCCATGCTTGTGGAACTTTCGGTCTTACTGAATCTGGGCAAGTTTGGACGTCATCCAGAGGCTAAAGGGGTTTCCCTGAGAAAAGGTACAATGCGTAGATATGTTGCTGAAAAGTGCCTTAGGGTAAGAGTCAGAAAGCCTTTAGTTCAGACGAATTACTAGTAAATTTGTGGACGTGTTGGCAAGAAAGCTTTTTTCCCCCCTCACTGCTCTCTTGTACCTCTTGTCTATAAAATTTCTTGATGGTGGTGCTGGAATAAACGCTGGTCCTTCGCAGAGCTACATCCCTCGCTCTTAAAAGAAAAAATATTTTTTGGAAAAGATCTTCCAAATTCACTAAAGTGTCTAGGCTGGGCCTGAAATTGCACCGCCCAATGCAGGGATCCTAGGTATGCACCACCACGCGTGGATTCACTGTTTCGACGCTACGTTCATCAGCATTTTTCGGAGCTGATGCTTTATTTGAAGGCTAAACACACCACTGAGCACGCAGGTCCGTTCCCCAGCACCCCGAACCCGAGCCCGGCCCGCGCCCGCCGCCGCTCAACCCCGCGTCTCCCGCGCACCAGGAAAGCGCAGAAGTTCGGCGCGGTGGCCGGCGGCGCACAGAGCAGACACCAACTTGCGACTCTGCGTACTCTTGCCCGCGCGGTCCACACCCTCCAGCACGATGAGAGCCCCCCGCCTGCCCGCCATCACGCCAGCAACGCGCGCGCACCGACGTTTACCGACAGCCCCCGCGCCGGCGTCTGCAGCGCGCAGCATGATTGGCTGGGCCTGGGCGGGGCCAGTTCCTGCGGCTCCGCTCCGGATGCACCTAGTCTTCCCGCGTAGGTGGCTTGCAGGATGGAATTCTCCTTGGAGGCTTGGCTGCGACGAGACGATTCAGGAAGACGGGACGGCGCTGAGTCACTAGGCACTAGGCCAGCGGTAATGAAAGAGCCACGTCCCCATCCTTTTATGTTTATTCTTTACATTTTGAAACAGATTGCCAGATTGCCCTGGTCGGCCTGGAAATTATCCTCCTGTCTTAGTCGTCCGAACCGGTGACGCTACAGGGATGCACCACCACGCATGGCTTTATGGGAGTTTTATGTCTCGCGGCGAGAGGAGCCCTTGGAATTGAACCCAGGACCTTTGCACTGAGCTTCAGCCTTATCCTGTTTTTGTTGTTTTGAGACAGAGTCTGGCAAAGTCACTAGATTGTCCAAATTGGGCTCAAATCTGTGATCCTCCTGCCTCACCTCCTGGAGTGTTAGGACTACAGGTGTGTGCCAACACATCTCACCTTTTCTTTCTCGCTTCCCTCCCTTTCATCTTTCCTTCTGAGGACTCATGCGGCATAGCAGCGTAGCTCGAAGTTCTAGGGAGAAATTAGGGAGAGAGGATGGGAAAATAAAAGAGAAAAGCTGAGATCAGGAAGAGCTGTCTCTCCTGATAGGAGAAAAGGAACTGCTTGTTTATTTATGCACTCAAGAGGATGATGTCAATTTCATCCCCTCTGCCTAGCAACATTTTTTCTGCTGGCCTGGGCACCTTGCCTTTTCCAAGCTGGAGAAGCTTGATTAATGTGGCTTGCTTTGGGCTTTAGTGTTCTCTGGACTGGCCTTGCTTTAGCCCCACATGAGTGACTGATTTCCAGCTTCAACCGATCCCTACAAACTGAACCCACAGTCTACTAAACTACACTCTTTACCCTTCAAGTTTTTCAATATTTTTCATTTTTGAGATCAGTGTTCTACCATGTTTCCCAGCCTGGACTCAAATACAAGATTCTCCTAGCTCAGCTTCCCGAGTAACTGGGGTAACAGAGTGCATTCCTGTACCCATCTTCAGGCTGTTTACCAAGCTTTATTTTTCCCCACTTTGGGGACTGGGGATCAAACCTAGACCCAGAGCTTGGTGGGCCTGCAGCCCCACCCACCTGTACGCCTGATCCGATCTGCACTGATAGTGTTTAAGGAGTTCTTCTACTTCACTGCCAGAGGAGAGGGGGCAGTGTCTGGAGGTGGAATTGGCAGCTTTCTGTCCAACGCACACACCAGCTCATGGGCAGCAGCATCCTGACCTTTCCAGACAGCCAAAGCAGCGTTATCCTTTCCTGACTGAATGATGCCTGTGTGATTAGGGTTCGGGAATTGGGAGGGGGTGTCATTCCCAATTACAGTATTTGCTTCCTTCCTGGAGCTCAACCTTGTGCCTCCCAAGGTCAGTGTACTCTGCTCAAGCAGAAGCTTCAGAAGTCACTCTGTGGTTTCCTATCTCCTGCCTTGCAGGGTGCAGTTAGGCCTGGCTTTTCACCCTGGGTTCTAGAATGGAGGCACAGTAAGCATGGTGGCATCTAGGGCAGTGCCAGCCAAGTGAGCTCTCAAGTGTGGAGCCCAAGACTGGGGATCTGGTACCATGGCATACCCTGGGGAATACTCAAGCTTACTTCTGTCTAGGCAACAAATAGCAAGAATATTCCTTTTTCTGCTTAGTGGCTTTTGTTCTAAAATACCAATATCACTGCTAAGAACCTTTATATCACTGCCATTGTTAACTCCCTCCAAATTCCCCACCACACTGTCACTTCCTGTGTTTCACAGGAGAGAGTTGGATACCTGAGTGTTTCATGCAGCCCCTACTGACTGCTGGCTCAGTTTCCGAGGGCCTCAGACTTGGTACACCATGATTCTTAGGACACTGCCTCTTGTCTACAGCTCAGTCAAGGTTTCCTGGGTTGTGAATGCAACCAGGGGACCAGTGAGCAGCAGCAAGGAGGACCCAGCATGCCACCCCAGTGACTCTTGGGTGATTAAAAAAGGAATAGTAATCACTGGGTGTGATGGTGCATGTTTGTGATCTCAGCACTTGAGGCTGAGGTCAGCCTAGGTACACAGTGAGACACTGTCTCAAGAAAAAAATATCAGGTGGGGAGTGGGGTTTAGCTCCGCAGCACAGTGTCTGCTCGGCAAGTGTGAGGTCATGAGTTCAATTCCCGGTACAGAACACCAACAACAAAAATCCAAAAAGTAAAAATAAATAAGAAAGAAACAGTGTAACATCCGTCTTATTACCTATAGGAGGATGAGGGGTTATGGCAAAGGAACAACTGCCTGGGTGCCACATAAGTTCCCACAATGGCCTTGCACCAAGAGGACTTGCTAGACATGGAGAATCAGCTTGGATGCAGAGCCTTCTGATCACAACAGGAGTCAGGAACCTGGCCGTTTGGTGGGGTGGCGGGGTCCAGCTGAGGTGGCAGAGGTGGTGGTGGTGGGGTCCTCTGATGCAGGTGTTTCTTTCCTCCAGCACCAAAGCCCTCTCACCCAGATGCCATCTCAGCTGTAGCTTCATCCACCCCCCAGAGACAGGGTCCCAAAGTTTACGCCATGGGAATGGCTGCTTCTCAGGTTGTGTCCTGTCCTTATCTTGTTCTGGCTGTTCCTTCGTGGACAAAGGACACTGTAGACCCAGACCTGATCTACGGAGGAGAAGGCTTTTGGGGATGAGCACTGTTTCCAGTGTACGTCTGCCTCATGGACAGGAGCCTCGGATCTGGTGTCCACTGCATCAGTGGGAGTCAGGCTCTTCTTACAGCCATGCAATCCTGGTCAGTGAGACAAAAACCAGCCTTGGTTAATAGCTGCCAAAGCTGTCAGTGGACAGGAACATGGGCTCATCAGATTCTCTTCACTCCCATGGGTTTAAAAGTTTCCATTTAAAAAAAAAAAAAAAAGCAAAGCAACAAGCCACATGTGGTGGCACACGCCTGTAAACTCAGTACTTGGGAGGCTGAGGAAGGAGGACTGCCATGAGTTTGAAGTCCGCCTGAACTACATGGTGAAACACTTGTCTCAAAAAAAAAAAAATAAAATAAAAATAAAAATAAAGGACAGTAAAACCTTGTTTTAATGTCTCAGTGCCCTGTGGCTTCCAGCCCATAGCAGTTATGCCATGTTACAAGAATCTGTTGGTCCCTCATCCTGTTTGTCTGCCTTGGCTGCCATAACAAAGTCCTAGAGACAGGCAGCTGAAACAGCAGAAGCACATCTTTCTGGGGCTGTGGAGGCCAGAATTCCAAGGTCAGGTGAGGTTGCCTGTTGCCTGCGAGGGGTCCTGTTCAGTTGCCCAGGCTACCTGCTGGCTGAGGCCTTGCTTGAAGCTCTGGCTCCACAGGATTATGCCTTCATATACCTTGTTAATTGACCTTAACTACAGCCACAAAGACGGTCTCCAAACAGTAACAAGGAGGCTTGGGCCTGCCACATGAATTCTGGAGACAGAATTTCTACTTTTAGAATAGTGGTGAACTCGTGGTGTAGTAGGTTGTTTGTGTCTTTGAAAGCTCTAAAAAGTTCATCATGACTGTTCTAGAAGAACCAGGATCGCACTGGCCCACGTCTGCCCAGCTGGACTCCCATCCCCAGTCTCCCTTGAAGCTGGAGGGGGCCAGGCCACTAAGTTACCAGTGCCACATGGGGAGCACCTCAAACCACGGGCTGTTTTCTCCACCCTCTCCAACATGCCCTTGTCCTGCAGAAGCAGGAAGGCCCTAGGAAGCAAACACTGTTGGAAGGAATTGGGGTTCCCAAATCAAGCCTCCCAATCTAGAGAATGACTGCTCCCCTTCACTGTTCCCACACAGAGATGCAATCTGTCTTTTCTAAGCCTGGGTTTTAGAGTAGACTAGGCTTCCTGTAAAACACAGATTATTGGGCCCAGGATTCAGCTCAGCGGCGCAACCCCTGCCTGGCAAGTGTGAGGGCCTGAGTTTCATTCACTGTGTCGAAAAATAAATAAATACATATGGGTTGTCCCATGTGGGTGATGTCTGGGGACATTCCCATTGCCAGGTTTGCAAGGGGACTGCTAGCCCTCACATACCAAACGCTGCTGGACTGCCACATCTTACAAAGCACAAGATGACGGCCTCCTGGCAAAGAGTCACTGGTCTTTGGAGCAGCAGGAAGAGGCAGGGAATCCTCCCTCTGGCTGTCTCTAAAGTAATCCTCCCAGGAGATATGGTCAGTTGTCTAGTATGAATGACAAGGACAAACATGTCTGGGGGCAGTTATTTTCAATATACATCATCATAAAGGACCAATATGTTTTTCTTTTGATACTGGTAACTCAGGGCTTTGTGCATGCTAAGCAGGTGCTGTATCACTGAGCTCATCTCAGGCCTCAACATCTTTAATAATAATCTCGTTCTGTGACAGGGTCTCGCTATGCAGTTCAGGCTGGCCTTGAACTCACTATGTAGCCTAGTCTGGCCTCAAACTCACAACCATCTTCCTGCCTCAGCCTCTGGAGTGCTAGGTTACAAGTGTGTACCCCTATGTTTTGCTAACAATATTTTTTTTTAAGATGACAGACATAATAACTTCCCGAGGAAGAAGAGGGAAAGGACACACAGAAAAAAGTGATAGAAAAACTATGACTGACCAAGAAATATAAAAAAATAAGTGTCTAGCTCCTTAAAATTTGAAGAAATACACCTGGCATGGTGATGAAGAAGCACTCTGGAGACTGAGACAGGAGGATTGCTGTAAGTTTGAGGGCAGCCTGGCTACATAGTTCAAGGTCAGCCTGAAGTGCATGGAGAGACCATGTCTCAAAGAAAAAAGAAAAGACATCAAACAGATAAAATACAATGAAAACAGAGGTTGGCTTTTATTGTTATTTCTTCCAAATTAAATGCTTTTAATTTTTTTTTGTTGTTGTTGTCTTTTTGAGACAGGGCCTCTCTATACAGTTCAGGCAGGCCTTGAGCTCACTTTGTAGCGCAGGCTGGTCTGGAATTCACAAGGATCCTCCTGCCTCAGCCTCCTGAGTGCTGGGATTACAGGCAGGCATGAGCCACCACACCTGGGTAGTTTTTTTTTTTTTTTTTTTTTTTTTTTTTTTATAGAAACCTGATGAAATTTAAGGGCTGGTTCATTCATGGGAGTGTCAGTAAGTATAATCTTTCCCCTGAATATTTGAAAGAGTCAGCACTTAAAATCTGCTATGTGGCCTGTGATGTAGCTCTGTAGATTACATGCTTAGCATAGTCCAGACCCTGGGTTTGATTCCCAGCATCACCAAAAAACAAATGGAAATGAATAAATTATTTTGTGGTGGCACATGCCTGTAATCCCCGCACTCGGAAGATCACGAGCTGCATGTGGTGCTCTAGTCTCCTTTGCAATCCCACAGGACTGAAGAACCACACACTGGAGCCCTGCCTCAGGAAACTACGCACAGAAAATGGTTTCTTTAAACCTTGAAGTTTCCAGGTGGTCTGTTTCACAGCAATAGTTAACTGGAGTGGGTAGACCCAGCTAGCTATGTACAAACAGCTTGTGCAAGCTGCATTATTTATGTGAATGAAAAATTGGAGGGGCTGGGGGTATAGTTCAGTGGTAGAGCACTTGCTTAGCAGACAAGAAGCCCTCTGTTCAATGCCTGGAACCTCAAAACATAGAGCAATACTCTTTGGACTGAAAATTCCTGAGAAAACAGTTCCACACTAACCACTTCTGAAGGTCATGGTAGTGAATGACTGTCATCAATATTCATGAAGGTGAAGCAGGTGCATCACAAGTTTGAGGTGAGCCTGGGCAACTTAGGGAGACTGTGTTTCAAAGCAAAAAATTAAAAAGAGATAAGGACGCAGCTCAGTGGTACAGTGCCCTTGGGTTTAGCCCTCATTATAGAACAAAGAAAAATAATGTAAGGAGTAGAAAAATGGGTGACTGAACTCAACAATCAGAAAATGAATAACCCAATTAAAAAATGGACAGAAATCTGAAATGACAGACACTTCATTAAAGAAGATATTCAGATGCTAAATAAACATACGAAAAGGTGCCCCCGGTCAATGTTATTAGAAATTGCAAATTAGGACCAGGTATTTGGCTCAGCAGCACATACACCTGCCTGGCAGGTGTGAGGTCATAAGTTCAATTCCCGTACCAAAAAAAAAAAAAAAAAATTGCAAATTAAAAGAGCAATGAGACCCTGTGTATTTAAATGGCCCAAACCCAGAGCTGACAACAGCAGATGCTGGCAAGTATATGGAGCAACTCTTCTTCCCTGCTGATGGGAACACACAGGTTCTTCATGTCCTAAACAAAAAATGGAGCAGGATACGCAAAGTAGTAGCAAGAACAAAGCTTTATTTGAAAGATAAAAGAAAAGATGCTCCATGGGGTGGAAGCTGGCCAGCAAAAAGAGCCAAGTAGCCTGGTTGCAGTTTTTTGTTGTGTTTAGTTGCCCTGACCTGGCTAGTCAAACTCAGAAGGTGGATTGTTTGCCAGCCCTTTCCTTAGTTGCTGCCTGCTAAGTATGATCACTTTAGGAGATAGATTGGCAGTGCTTTACAAAACTGCAGGCACTTAACCATATGGCCAGTGTTTACCCAGATGAGTTGAAAACCACATCCATAGGAAAACCTGCTCACAAATGATGGTAACAGCTCTATTCACAGTTGTCAAAAGTTGGAAGTAATCAACATATTGCTCACTAGGTGAATGGGTAAACAAGTGTATCATACACTGTGGAGTAAATTTCAGATTTAAAAGAAATGAGATACTAAATCACAAAAAGAAACTCAAAATGCACAATGGTAAGTAAAAGTAGCTAATCTGAAAAGGGTACATATACTATGACTCCAGCAACATGACATTCCAGGAAAAAAAGCAAAACTATAGAGACTATAAAGTAAAATAGCATTTTTTGGGGAGATAAAAATATCATTATGTAGTTCACGCTATTGTTAAACTCTGTGTATTCCAGGTAGACCTTGAATTTGTGATAATCCTCCTGCCTCAGCCTCCAGAGTGCTGGGATTACAGGATTGAGCACCTGGCATCATAGATTTTTAGGGAGGTGAAATCATTCTGTAAAATGCTGTAATGATCCAGGTGTAGTGGTGCATGCCTGTAATCCTAGCACTCAGGAAGCTGAAGCAGGAGGATTGCTCTGAGTTCAAAGGCAGCCTAAACTACAGAGGGAGACGCCTATGAAAAGGAAACAAAACCAAACCAAGCCAATCCATAAAGATGCTATAATGGGGAACACTTGACATGCACTGTCAAGGAGTAACACACCACAATGTACCAGTATTGTTTCATCAATTGTGATGTTACAGAAAGGGAAAAACTATACAGAAATTGTGCTTTTTGAAACTGCCTAGCTCTGTAACTATGTTGTGGCTCTGTAATTACTTTCTTGACCCCTTAACCATGACAGGGTAACAAACATGCAGGATGTCTGATTGTAACTGATGATCATTAGTCTAGCCTCCAGTTGATCTCACCCTGCTAGCTAATCAGAAATTCCAGACTGTCTGTCTTGCCTTTGTGCTTCCTGCTATGCATCAGATAAAAGCCCTAGACCACCAGAAATGAGGCCTGATATTTGGGAATGATCCCAAAATCAATGCCCATTGATGTCAAATAAATCTGCCTTCAAATCCTGGGTGTTGTTTCGGTGTTTTTGTTTGCTGTCACACTACCACTAGAAGGTAAGTTATTTTTATTTTTAAAAATTCTTTTGCAGCACTGGGGTCAAACTCAAGCGCTGCTGTATGCTAGACAAGAGCTCTACCACTAAGTTACATCTGCAGCTTTCCTAATACAGGATCTCACTAAATTGCTCAGGCTGGCCTTAGACACATGAACTCTAGTTTCTCTTCAGATTTTCAGAAAACCCCTACTGCTTGAAAAAAGTTTATTAATAATAACATGTAGCTACTTAAGCAAAAAGCAGACAGTGTGAAGTTCTGTGTTTGCTTTTTCATTGGGAATAAGGTGGGTCCAGGAATACCTACCCAAGCTGCTAACATCTAGACATAAAGCTGAACATGACCAAGGACCATGTTTGTTTCTTTTTGTTTTGAGACAGAGTCTCACTATATGGTTCAGGCTTATCTTGAACTCACTAAGTAACCCAGACTGACTTCCAGCTCATGGTGATCCCCCTGCCTCAGCTTCCTGAGTGCTGGGATTATGTGGTTTTAAGTTTCTATAGTTTTTTTTTTTTTTTTTTGTCTTTTTCCTTTTTATCGGTACCGGGGATCAAACTCACAACTGCCTGCTTGCAAGGCAGGCGCTTATGCCGCTGAGCTAAACCTCCAGCCCCTATAGTTTGAATTTTTATAATGAGCACAGAATCATCAAGAACAATAAAATCAGGCATGGTGGTACACACCTGCAATTCCATCACTCTGGGTGGCTGAGGCAGAAGGGTCTCAAGTTACATTTCAGCTTGCATAACTTAGTAGTTTGCAGTAGTAGTAGTTTGGCTCCACCAAAAAAAAAAAAAAAAAAAAAGGAGAAGGAGGAGAAGAAGGAAAGAAAAAAAGGAAGAAGAGAGGAGGAAGAAAAAGACGAAGACGAAGAAGAAGAAAAGGGCTAGGGAAGTAACAGTGCAAAGGCTCTGAGTTCCATTCCTAGTACTGCAACAAACAAATGAAAAAGTTTTTGTAGTTTTCAGTATTTGAGATTTAGGGGGAGGGTCAACGCTAGGTAAGATAAAATGCATTTTATTTTCGATTGGGGATCAAATGCAGGGCCTCACTGTACCACTGAACCACAATCCCAACCCCATTAAAAATGCACTTTTTTTCCTTGCGATGGTGGGGATTTTAAACAACACATTTTAAATAATGCAACTCCTGCTTCTGGGGGGTTATGCTAACTTGTACAACCACACCCCTGCACCGCGGAGGGAAAGAATGTAGGTGGCATGTAGGGCTGTGGTGTCCTGGATCCATTCAGGGGCAGCAGTCCCTCGAAGGGGATCCTATACCCTGGCGCACACGCGATAACTATAAGGAGAGGCAGGGTTGGAAGCTGGCAAATGGCCACCTTCCCAAGACGTGCGACACCACGCCTCGGTTCCAGTACGGGTCTGGGGGCGAAACGACGGAGCAATGAGCACTGGCCGGCGATGACTGCGCAGAGGCTCTAGGTAGAAGGAGCGCTCTCACCCCCCAACATGGGCTTGGAGGCGTTTTAGCGTGCACTTATACGCAGTCGCGACACTGAACTGCTGAGGCACCTGCAGAGTGCGAGGCGCGGGGGCCCCCTCGCGGACAGACTGAGGCAAACTGGGGTTCGGCAGCGCACAGGCGCCGGCAGGGGCCTTGCGAGGTCTGGGAATGAACCTGCGGCGCGTCCTGGCCTAAGACCTACTGGGCTCGCGCCGGGAAGCGGGCGTTGGGCTATGCTCTGGGACCAGAGCGACTGCCGGGACAGGAACTGTTGCCTGAACCCGAGCACGCTTCAGGTCGCGGTGCTTTACTCCCCGCGCGCGCCGGAAGTGGGGGGGCGGACCCACCTCGCCCCGCCCCCATCACGAGCCAATGGGCAAACGCGGCTCATGAATAGTGAGCACCGCTCCGCCCCGCCCTCCGCGACACCGCCCGCGCGCAGACCCCGAGCGCGGCCGGCGAAGATGGCGACCGCCATGTACTTGGAGCACTACCTGGACAGTAAGCGCCGCACTGTGCCGCTGCCCGCGCCCGCCCGCGCCGCCTCCGCCGTCCCCCGCACGCCGCAGCCCGCGTGTGGGCCTCGGGGACCGGCGACCGGGAGGCGGGGGCGGCAGGGCGCAGGCCCGGGCGGTCGGTCGGCCACAGGGAGGGGCGGTCGCGGGGGGCGCGGCGCGGGGTCCCGCCGCCTCGGTCGCGCCAATTCCAGGTGCGTCACGGAGGGGCGGGGCTTGAGATCGCTCCGCCCCCATCTGGTCCCGCCTCTGCGCCGCAGGCTGGGCGTACCCCTGTGCCTTGGGCTGCTCACAGCTTGCTGCTTCGGCCCGGGTGTCTTCCCGCTGCCTGGGTGCTGTTGCTGCGTGTTTGTATAGGGACGTCCAGTGAGGCGGGCTGACCCCTCACTGTATCTGCGAGAGCCGGACTGGGCCCCCAGAGATCTGAGTGATTGTTTTCTGCTCTCTGCAGAGAGGAAATGAGGTCCGGGGGGAACATGAGGGTCCCCCAAGGGATATCCAGCTCTGTCATACGCGTTGCAGTCTTGGCTAGGTCAGAGGAGTGGGCGCCCCAGGGTGGGAGATGCCAAGAGAGCCCGTTTCTTGTCCCAGTGCCCACTCGACGGACCTCCTAGCAGGTTCAAAGTGAGCTCACTACTCCCTATGTGAAGGTGTTCTGGTGGCTCTCAAGCGCCAAGCACCTGCTGCGTGCATTGTTGGGCTAGAGCCTGCAGCTAGTGTTACCGCAGCTCACTGTAAGGTGGTGCACGGGTTTTGAAAAGTTTACAAAAGAGTAAGGGCTGAGAATGAGCGCATAGTTAAATCTCCAGCGATGCAGGGTGAATGAAGTCCAGCGGTGGGCAGAGGTTCCACTGGCCAGGGCTGGCGAGCTAAGGCTGGACAGGAGTATGCAGGACTTCTAGGACAGCTGGGAAAACCATGGTGCTTGAAGCAAAAGATTTGTAAGATCAGATCTGGGTTGTGGAGAGCAAATGATGGCAGGATGGGATCAGGGAGCCTGTTGTCCATATGCCAGATAGAGGGGTGCAGTGCTGTCAGGCAGCAGCATGGGCATCACTCCCTTCCTTGAAAGGTCACCACTAACCATAGGGTATATTTAGCTACTGTAAAGTTAAAAATTGAGTTTCACAAGGTGTGGTGGTGCATGCCTGCCATCTCAGCACTCTGGGAGGCTGAGGCAGGAGGCTACCAAGTCTGATCCCAGCCTGGGCAACTTGGTGACTTAGCAAGAACCTGTCTTAATAAAAATTAAAAAGGGTTGTAGCTCACTGTAAAGGTCTGGGGTTAAGTCCCCCAGAACTTTAACAAAAGAAGAAGAAGAGGGAGAGGAGGGAGAGGAATTGAGCTCTTCAGTTGTACAGTTACATCTGCATGGCAGCTCCTGTGTGTCTAAAGTAGTCCAGAGCATACACCCATACTTGCACCAGGTACTCTAGGATAGCATCAACCTCAGGGCAAAGTAGGGCGGATCAGGGAGAGCCTTGTGCCTCACAGAAGATAGTTCTCCTTTTTTAGGGTGACCTATAGAAGTGGAGACCTAGGCCAGGAGTCACGGCTGTCTCCCCCTCTATTAACAAACTGGATATGTGCCACCTCAACTCCTGTAGCTTCTGGCCACACCTGAAGTATGATTGTTGGCTGTTGGCACTGGTCATACCAGGCCCTGAAAAGAAGCCTTAATTCATACTGTTCCCTTGCACAGAAATAGAAGAGAGTGGTCCAGTACCATAGACTCTAGACATGAGGCCTTGGGGGAAGATTTTTTCCTGCTTCAGGGAGAAATAGGAATTCCATGTCTGTTTCAGGCATCGAAAACCTTCCCTGTGAACTTCAGAGGAACTTCCAGCTGATGCGGGAGCTGGATCAGAGGACAGAAGGTAGGTTCAGCCAGACCAGCAGTTCCCAAGGTCAGGGAGGCTGCAGGGGACATGCACTTGGCAGAGGTTCTGGAGGGGACTTGGTGTAGTACTGTCACCCACATGACCTCATGTCCTATAGAGTCAGGTATGGTTTCTTGGATTCTTGAATGTCACATCACTGACATCATAGCTTCTTAGCTGTTGTCTTTTCAGCCTGTTGTCTTTCTTTTTCTGTTGAAAAATTTGTGATCCCAGCTACTCAGGAGGCTGAAGCAGAAGTACAAGCAGATGAGCTTTTGTCAGTGTGGACAGCATCATTGGGCTCACTTCCAGCTTCCATACTGCTTTTGGGAAGTCTGACACCTCTTGAATTCTCGATCCTTTGAATAAGGGGATCTTTACTGTTCAGAAGCGTTTGGAATCTCTTTTCCCTGATGTTGTGAGTTCACGATAGTGTGATTCCCTGTGGGACTTTTCTTGTATGTTGTGCTGGATCTGTGTTTGCCAGTGAGGTGCTGTGGCTTCATGTAGGTGCAGCATCCTGGGACTTGAGCTGCCTGTTGTGAAATGGGGTATTTATGAATGAAGAGCTGTGAAGGCTTACAGATGGGCTAGTAGATGCCTCTAGTCAGACCTCTGTCAGACCTGCTTCCTAGGTAGAGAGAGGGTGCCTGGCACCTGAAGGCTGTGTGCCTTCCATGTCATGTCACTGAATTGAGGTCCTGATGATCTTTCCTACCTGTGACTGAGATGCTCACTCTCAGCAGGAGCTTAGGGCTGTGTCTTGTGGTGCTATGGATCAAACCCAGGGCTGCTCGTGCCCTGAGCTACACCCTCAGCTGTTATTATTATTTTGCGACACAGTCTTCCTGAGTTTCCTGATAGGTTTTGAACTCCCATTCTTTTGCTTCTGCCTCCCTCCTTGCTGGAATCACAGGAGTGTGCCACTTTACGTGGATCTGGCATGGGTATTAGTGGAAAGGGTATAGCAGGATTCCCTGATTTGTGCTTTCGTGGGACTGACCCACAGAGCTATGTGTGGCTATGCTGTGGACTGCTGGTGGCACTCTGTGTGTGAGGTATATAGTTTGCTTTCTGGTCTTATTGAGCATTGAACAGAGAGTGGCCCACTGTGTTTTGTGATCATGAGTGTTTTTCCATGTGTCTTCTGGTTCCCAAGTGCACAGCTGTCTTTGGGGTATGAATGTGAGAGCAGTACTACCAGTGCGACCACATGATTTAGTGTCTAGATGATGCTGGATAGTCATAGAGGGTACTGTGATCACTTGGCAGACAATGCCTAACTGGGCCTGTTCCAGGCCAGTGCCTCTGCTGATAGCAGCAGCCTGGCTTGTGCTTGTCCACCTCTTGCAGAGTCGGCTGTTACCCCGGTGACATGTGGTGTGTCCTGGGTGGGGGCCAGCTTCTTACCTGTGTCTCTGCCAGATAAGAAAGCGGAGATTGACATGCTGGCAGCAGAGTACATTTCTACTGTGAAGACTCTGTCCCCGGACCAGCGTGTGGAGCACCTGCAGAAGATCCAGAGTGCCTACAGCAAGTGCAAGGAATACAGCGATGACAAGGTGCAGCTGGCCATGCAGACCTATGAGATGGTGAGGTGCTGGCTGGGGCTGAGGTGCAGGGATGGTGGGAGTGGCTCCTGGTGATGCTTCCAGCAGAGTCCATGTTAGGAACCCTTTACTTGGGACCAGGCCTGTGATTTGGCTTTCTGGGCTCCTTTTGTTTGTTTGTTTGTTGAGTCATTGTGTTTTTGCTTTCTGTTCTGTTGTGCTGGGAACCTACAATAGGCAAGCATTCTGCCTATACCCCATCTCTGAGCCCTTGGCTTTGTGGTGTTATGCAACATTTTGTTTTTGTCAGCTATAGATAAAATTGTAGAATTGATCACTTAGACTCACCCAGTGGCATCAGGCTATTGTTTTACAGTACCCCTGAGTGGCATCTGAGAAGGAAAAATACCCCATCTCTGAGCCCTTGGCTTTGTGGTGTTATGCGACATTTTGTTTTTGTCAGCTATAGATAAAATTGTAGAATTGATCACTTAGACTCACCCAGTGGCATCAGGCTATTGTTTTACAGTACCCCTGAGTGGCATCTGAGAAGGAAAAGTTATTGCCCCTGTGCTTTTGATGTCCTACTCTGGTGGCCCTTCTGATGGAGTAGTCTGCTTTGTTCCTGGGCTATCCCCAGGCCCTGTGAAGTTTGGGTTTAGAGATTACTTCTAGACCCAAACAGGCAGTGGCTCTCCCACTGTGGACTGCTTTTTCTGTTTAGTTAGCTGTGAGGGCCCTGATGACAGCCAGGACTGTGTGCTCAGAGGTCCATGTGGCTGCTTGGTAGGGTGTTCATCTTGTTGCTTGACTGTGCTGTGTTGTTTTTTTTTTTTCCTTCCAGAGGCCCATGGAGGGATTTCTTGTGGTTTTTTTTTTGTTTGTTTGTTTATTTTTTGAGACTGTGTGTTCTTCAGATTTTAGGTTGAGGCCTAGGATTAAATGTTTCTACCCCTTATTCAGATGTATTTCTCAAGATATTGCAACTTTCTTTCTTGTCATTTCATGCATTCTTGGTTTTTCCTTGTTTTTGCTCACTGTGTTGTGCTGGAGGTGGGCTGGGGAGGTCACAGTGAGAGGGCAGCAGGTACCTTCTGGGGTTCCTCAGTGTGGTGCAGGTTCCCAGGTGGCTTCGCGATTCTTGGGAAGTCACCTGCGAGTGTCCCTCCGCAGGTGGATAAGCACATCCGGAGGCTCGATGCAGACCTGGCTCGCTTTGAGGCAGACCTGAAGGACAAGATGGACGGCAGTGACTTTGAAAGCTCTGGAGGCCGGGGGTTGAAAAGCAAGTCTGCTGATGTTTCCTTTGTTTTACTGTTACTAACTATGGGGTTTTGAGGAGTTTTGTCTAATAAATGTATCAAGGACTTGGAGGTGAATACCATGTTTGAGTGACTTGTCCTGCTTCAATGAGTTTTGTGGAAATAATGTGGGTTGTTACTGTTTCTTAGAAGGTCGGAGTCAGAAAGAGAAAAGAGGCTCCCGTGGCCGAGGCCGGAGGACATCAGAAGAAGACACCCCAAAGAAGAAGAAGCATAAAGGAGGGTGAGGCACTTACCGGCTCCTGGAAATGTGCTGGTGCGCGCGTGGGGCTATGAGTTCAAGGGGTGCTTGTTAGCTACTGCAGCTCTGCCTGGCACTTCGTATGTACAGCCTGTCTGTCCTTAGGATGACTGGCGGCTGCCAGTGTCCCCAAGAGTGGTCTGATGCTGCAAGTTTTGTTCTTGGTCTTGTGTGATAGGAGGGTGCATTAGTGTTGCTGGCCACATACAAGTGCTGAGTTTGTGTTCATCTATTGGGATTATGTTTGTTGTTTTGGTTTTTTGAGACAGGGTCTTGGTATGTTGTTCACACTGGTCTTGAGCACACTGTGGAGCCCATGCTTGAACTCACAGTGATCTTCCTGCCTCAGCCTCCTGAATGCTGGGATTACAGGTGTGCACCACCATGCTTGGCTGAAGCAGCATTTAGACTAAAAAAAATGTGGTGCCTGCCAGTAGGCTGTGGTAGGTGCCTGACAGTTAGGGAGAGGTCTTCAGGCTTCTTTTTCTTGACAGAAATGTGGAAAAGAGGGGAGAGTCCTAATCATTAAACTCGGCATTTACTTTTTCTGCATTTTGGTGCAGTATGGAACCCAGGCCTTTGCCATGGTCATGTGGGGTCCCCAGCCAAAATACTTATCTTAAAAAAGAACCCCAACATCCTTATATTTCCAAGTAGTGTGTGGATGTGAGAGCCTCACAACAGTCCCTAGGGCAGTGAGTTACTCTGTGACTGTCACCTGCTCTGTGACCAGCAGTCCCCCCCCCCCCCCCCGCCACTAACTTTCTCCCTGTATCCCGGATCAACACAGTCTACACTCCTAGAGCAGGTTTCTTGTTGTTCCTTTAGTGTCCTGTTTCTCAGGTGTGTATTCCCACATAGTACTCTTACTGGTTTTATCTAACATACACTTACTTTATTTTTTTGAAGTAAAGTCTTATTGTATTCCTCAGGGTAACACTGAACTTTAGGTCTCAAACCATCTTCCTGCCTCAGCCTCTTGAGTAGCTTGGGCCACAGGTTTGTGTCACCATGCCAGGCTTTTTTATTTAACCTTTTATTTTATTACTATTTTTTGTGTGTATGGTGCTAGGGATCAAACCCAAGGCCTTGCACATGGCAGTAATACTCCACTACTGAGCTACATCTCCAGTCCCCATTGAACCATTTAAGTGGATGATATTAAGAGGAATTAAATTCCAGTGAAATATTCCAAGTTTCATGTGTAGTTCCATGTTGCATCCAATCAGTTCTAGAAGTTTTCAGGTCCTCTCTCCTTCCCTGCTTCCCTCCTGTCCTCCCTTTCCTTTTTTGTTTCTTTCTTTGTGATACTGGGGATTAAACCCAGGGCTTTGTGCATGCTGGGTAGGTATTCTCAGATACATCCCTGGGCCTTATTTATTTTATTTTATTTTATTATTATTATTGTCTTTTTGAGACAGCATCTCACTATGCAGTTTAGGTTGGCCTTGCATTCACTTTGTAGCCTAGGCTGACCTCAAACTTTCAGTGATCCTCCTGGTTCAGCCTCTTTAGTGCTGGGATAACAGGTGTGCACCATCATGCTTAGCCCTTATTTCATTGTTTATTTTGAGACAGGACCTAAGTGTATTACCTGTGCTGGCTCTGAACTAGCAGTCCTCCTACCTCACCCTTCTCAGTAGCTGGGATTGTAGGCATGCACCACCACAATTTACCTGGATTTTAATTTTATTTTATTTAAAATACTTAAAAATTTTCATTCTGACTTTCCTTTATATAAAGTTTATGTGTAAGTATGTGTTTTGATTTCCAAATAATTGTGGGATTTTCTAGATAACTTTGTTTTCTTAGTCCTGGGGACTGAACCCAGGGAGCTCTAAGCTACATTCTCAAATAAAATTTATAAATTTTATTTGAGACAGGGTCTCACTAAACTGCCCATGATAGGTTCAAACTTGTAACCCTCCTGCCTCAGCCTTCCAAACACTGGGATTATGAGTGTCTTCTGGGGTGCAGGTGGCACTGGCCCATGGTGTGATGTATAGGTGCATTGTGGTGGCCACACGTTTGGAACATGGCCTGTGGTGGAGTTCCAGACAGGGTGTGACTCGATATTCAGATGTCTACTGGGGCTGGAGAAACAAGGACAGCGTGTGTTAGAAGTCACCTCTGCCAGCAGGAGGCCCACTGGAGGGATGACAAATTCCTGAGACTTAAGGAGCTGTTGAGATCTGTGATTTTGGGGTACAAGTGCCTATGGAGGTTCATGGTAGCCTGGGCACAGGAGAACCCAGCTTTCTCAGAGAAGAGAGGTTTTGGGTCAGGTTGGCAAGGTGAGGGAGGGGAGTAGGCAGGTTGCCCAGGGTCAGCTGGCAACGGGAAGAGTGCTTTGCCCCACATGGAGGCTGAGGTGAGCCAGCTCTTAGCAACAACGCCCCTTGTCCAGCGCACCCTATTGTTGGAGGGCCTGGGACTGGAGGGTCTTGTGGCTCAAGCAGGATTAGCTGTGCCATGTGAGTCTGTACCCACAACAGCTGTGCTACATCCCCGCTATCCTTGTCAAATGACATCTCTTCAGCTGATGGTTCACATGGCCCTGTGGCTGTCAGGGTTTGGTCTCAGGTATGAGGTTCTGGTTGGAAATGCACCATGGTAACAGACCCCCGGTAGCACTTTCCATGGTGAGGTGGCTGGAATGAGCTTAAGAACGGCGACTCACTGCAAACCCATGTGTGTGTTGTCCCCGGATGCTTCCTTATATTTGCAGTCAGTGTATGGGAATGAAGACAGTGATGCTCCCACCATGTGTGACATCTTTGCTACCTCTGCAGATCTGAGTTCACTGATACCATCCTGTCTGTGCACCCCTCTGATGTGCTTGACATGCCTGTGGACCCCAATGAGCCTACGTACTGCTTGTGCCACCAGGTGTCCTATGGGGAGATGATTGGCTGTGACAATCCAGATGTGAGTCTGGGTCCTGTGGGCCATGGTGTGGCTGGTGTGGGCAGAGGTGAGGGTATGTGTGTACCACTCTTCCCATGTCTGGTGTGTAGTATTCTTGGTGTGACTGCACTGTCCTTTGCTTTGCAGTGTCCAATCGAATGGTTTCACTTTGCCTGTGTGGACCTCACCACGAAACCCAAAGGAAAGTGGTCAGTATGGGGGTGCTGTGGGGCGCCCAGTGCCTGCTTCCATGGAGGAGGCTCTTGATGGCTGGGTGGGGGGCTGGACCACAGGGCCATGGGCAGCTTGTCCAGCACTCTGGGTGTGGCTGGGTGCACAATGTCACTGGAGCACTGGTCCTGGCTCCTGGCAGGTTGAGCTTATCTGGATTTGTGCCTGTCAGCCCTGAAGAACAACCGTCTTGCCCCTGCAGTGAGGTAAAGGTCAGTTTAAATGAGGTTGAAGAATGCAAGTTCTTGTCCCAGGGAAGGTCAGGGAGCAGGTGGAGAGTACCAGTTGGCCTGTGGTTCTCTGCCAGGGCCACTACCTGAGAAGTGGTGTGAGGACTTGCACACGCCAACCCAGCCTTGCCTTCAGCAGGCAGTGCCTGGTGAAGGTGTTCCTGAGACTTCATGATTTGGGTGACCTGGAAATGGGTGCATGTTCTTGAAAGGCAGCCATCTGAATATTTCCCTCCTACTTATGGCCAGAACCTCTTGAAGACCCACATGCGGTCAGTGCAAGTGAGTTATCCTCTGGTGTTTGGTACAAGGACTGTAGAGGGAAAGTGGGGGTGGATGACATATTGTGCCAGGCTCCTGCCCTGTTACGGTGGTACGAGCCCTCTTGTGGGGGCACAGGTGACTGTGGTACCTAATCCCATGTGTGTGGTGCTGCTGGAGTCTCCAAGAGAAGTAGTTCAGCCTCCTCCATGCTGGAAACTGTAGGACAGCATGTGCCATGTGCAGCCAGTAGAGAACACAGCAGTTTGTTTGTGGCTTTTCTCTCTTTTTTTTTTCCCCTTTGTGGTGCTGAGAATGGAATCTAGAACTGCGTGCTAGGAAGGCTCTACCCTGAGCTGTACCCCAGTCCTCTGACCTGTTATAGATCATGCGAGTGGGCATCTCCCTGGCAGTGAGACAGCTCCTTGCTAACACAGCCGCCCACAGGCCTGCACCTCCTTCTCCCTGCACTGGAAGCCTTGCCTACAGGGGTCTCTCGAAGTGATGTTAGTGAGCATCCCCTGCACAGGGAATGCAACAGTTCTTGTAATGTCCCTGTGTGTCATGAGCAGCTCCAGAGCTTATTCAACCTAGAGCACTAGCAGCCTTTGTGAGTTGTGCAGGTTGCAGGGCCCAGCCCAGCTGAGCCAGGGGCCTGGGATTGAGGTTCTTGGCATGTCCAGCTCGACTGGGTGCATCTCCACAGTGGCATAGTAACCCAGTGCCCAGCTAGCCAGGGAGGACCAACTAATCCCCTTGATCACAAGTAAGGTAGTCGTGCCTACTGTTTTGACATCTGTCCTCCAGCCCTGTCTCTCCAGTCCACCTGTTTTGGACCTAGTGGCGGAGTCTGGTGGCCGTATTAGCAGGGGGGTTGCAGAGGCCAACCCTTGTGTTTTTTCCCCAGGTTCTGTCCACGGTGTGTTCAGGAAAAGAGGAAGAAGAAGTAAGGAAGACTGCCCGTGTGCCCAGGTCGAAGAGCAAGTTAATATATTCCTTCATTCATGTTGCAATATTTTCTTTCATTTTTAAAACTACCTTGTTTTGACTGATATTTAAGAACTGAGTGGCCAGTCGTAATTCTGGATATTTCCTAAAACAAGAAACTACCGCCCTGTGGGCACTTGTGAACTTGGGCAGCCAGGCGTCATGCATATTGTAACCTGGTACACTGCCACCACTCTGCCTCTCCACTGGAGTGGCCTCTGTGGTTCTCTGGGACCATGCACAGATCTCTGAGAGCACACCTATCATCCCTGAGCCGACCTGACCATTAGACTAGGCCCTTGCCAAGGCCACTGCTGCCGTCCTGGCCGGGCTGCCTCTCCTGGGAGGAGGTAGCCTTGCCCCACCACGCACTGCCTCTTTAGCGTGGACTCTGGCTGCCATGCTTTGCCAGAGTAAGCGCTCCTGTTAGCCCAGGCTGTTGTTTACTGTGACCAGCACCACCACATGGTGTCCTGGCAGCCAGCTGACGTTCCTTCCGTTTTTCTGGGAATCCCTAATGTTTTTACTGTGAAGATGAAATTAGTGTAACTGCATGAAAATTGTGGGTCTATGTGTCTGTGATGTGAGTCTGTCTCCTGGGGGCTGACTTTGGAACTTGTGCTGCCCACTGCCAGGCCTGCGGCTTTCCCCAAGAGGATGACAGTTCTGCAGCCTGGTGGGTGGCTGCTGTGTTTGGAAATGGTTCTGGGCTGAAGTGAGGAATCCAGAGTATACTATTTAGTGACTGTTTGCCAAACTAGTGTTGGGGTAGCTTTGGTGAAGTTGGGGAACATACACACATTTGATCTGATGAAGTGTGTTGCAATAGTCCTTCCAGTGTGGCCTCTGAGACACCCGTAGTCTGAGATTCACTTGTATACTCACCATCCACGGTGCCAGAGAACCATGGAAAAGTGTTTCTGTCCTCAGTGGGGGTATGCACTAGTTTCTTGGATAGCCACCTGGGTAATGTCTCGCCCTCATTCTGGTGTTCCACTGAGGACAGGAGATGGCAGGAAGGTATTGTGCAGGGTCCCCTCATGGTGCTGTACTGTGTTTGGCCCATGCTCACAGATGAGGATAGGCCCTCAGAAGACCTGTGGCTGGGGAGTCCAGGCTTGTGTTCTCAGCACAGAGACCTTGCACACAGTCTCCAGAGTAACCCTGGGCTGGGCTCACCCTGCTTTGGGGCAGTGGGTTGCGGGTGATGACCTTGCCCAGGTGTGTGTGCTGGACAGGTAGGTGGGCAGTGGATGGTTGATGGTGGTCCCAGCTCATCCCTGTGGGATCCACCGAACAGAAGTAGCTTCCTAAATACCCCAGCTAACCTCGGAGGAAGAGGACTGCTTAGTCTTAGCCAGAGCGCTGAAATGAGAGATGCATTTTATTTTGTAACTTAGTTTGTATGTTTTGTTTATATGCTTTGTTTGCAGTACTGGGGATTGAACCCAAAGAGTGCTGAGCTATGTCCCCAGCTGTCTTTCAAATTTTTAATTTTGGGACAGGGTTTCTCACTTAAGTTGCTCAGGCTGGGCTCTTGCCTCAGCCTCCCAGAATGCTGAGATTATAGCCATGTACCACCATGCCTGGCTATAATTCTATAATTTAATGTTCTTTCCTTTCCCTTCCTTTCCTTTCCTTTCCCTTTTCCTTTCCTTTCCTTTCCTTTCCTTTCCTTTCCTTTCCTTTCCTTTCCTTTCCCTTCCTTTCCTTTCCCTTTCCTTTCCTTTCCTTTCTTTTCCTTTCCTTTCCTTTTTTTTGGGACACAAGGGTTTAAATATTGTGGAGAAAGAATTTTTTTCTTCTTTGTTACTTTTTAGTGCCGAGGGGTGCTAGGGAATCCACTGAAGATTTTTTTGTGTTTCTGTTTACTGTTGTGTGAGGCAGCTTGTGAGGCAGATCAGATACTGCCAGATAGTTGCCCCAGCTGGCTTAGCACCTGCATGTCCTTCTACAATGCACCACTCACAATCAGTGGGTGAACAGCACTTCTGTTGAAGTCCTTGGAGACAGGTGGCACTCTGCCCCGGAGAGAGGGCTTCTGTGTTGCCTATGTGTGGCACAGCCTGCTTGCCACTGTGCATGGTCTGTGTTGACTTGGCCTTTCAGAAGTTTCTGTGCTTAGTTTTATTATTTATTTTTGCCAGTTATATCATTAAAACAACATGCGTCTACCTTTGGAAAGGACATAGAAAATACGAACAGAACAGGAACACTCCCTGGAATGTTGTTTGACCACACCTATCTTGTTGTTGCTGTTCTGAGCATGGGACAGACCCTGGAATGGGCCTGGCTCAGCTGGGGCTGGTGCTGTATGAGTGCTGCTCCACAGGACTGGTGGCCCCATCCTTGGGTCCTAGCCTTGGACCCCAGACCTGCCAGATGGGTCTTTCCTCTTAGATGGCGATGGAGCTTATTCTGGTTCTTCGACTAAAAGACCCTGCATGCCACTCTGGTATGGGATCCCCCTCTGAGGAATGCTTTGCTCCAAAGAAGATGGATCACTCTGTCTGTAGTTTGAGGAATTCCTCATTTTCTTGGAAAAACGAAGCTGCATTGAAGAAAAGGTTCAACTGATCCCTCAGATCTGTAATTGCCAGAACAGTATCAGCTGGGCTGATGCGTGGCAGGGAAGTGCCACTTGCTCCTCACCTGTCCCTTGGAGCCCTTCAGGATCCATCTTGGTCTTGAGCAGTGATGCTGTCCAGAAAGCAGCTTCGCCTTGGATCCTGTTGTCAGGTATCTGCCTTGTCCTGGGTGTGACCGTGAGGGAGCAATTGATGTAAGACATTCTTGGGTGTTTAGTGACAAGATTGCCTGTGCTGAGAGGAAGTCTAAGCAGATGCTCCCTAGCAACCCGTGAAGTTCTTGGTGTGTACTTTGTGGTGTCCTCTACCATATTTCATCCAAAAATATGATGCAGCTTTAACATGAATGTCATGTTTTATTTTCAAGAAATTGTTATCTATGACCCCTTTGTAAAAAAAAAGATACTATTGTAAATCTTTTTATTAAATAATGTAAAGATGTATATCTGTATTTTTGGATCATGTTATAGATTATGGATATATTGTTTAATAAATAAAGTATTTTTTGGATCAAACATTTGAAGAGTGTCATGGTGGGAAGCTGGTGTGGCCTTCCTGGGTTTGGTAGAAGTGGCATGTGTGCCTTGTGTCAGCTTTGGAGGCTCAGGTGCTGACCAGAGGACAGTTGTTTGGGGACTTTGTGGGCACTGGGGCTCACTGGGCCCAAGCCTTTCCTTGGTTGGATGTTCAAGAAGGTCGGGCAGCACTGAGCTACGCTGCAGGACATGTTAGAAGTGGCCCCCAGGTTCCTGGAGAAGGGCTGTGCATACGGGAATGCTGGGGATACATGGTTGCTCTGAAGGAGCTCTGGGCCTTCCCCCAAACAGGATATAACAGCTTCTTTTTCACAGTTCTAGAGCTTGGAAGCCCCAGTTTGGTGCCTGCTGGGCTCTTCTTTGACTTATGTTTAGTTCCCTTCTCATGGTTTGTTTGCATGGCAAATGGATCACTGTGCCTCAGTTGTAGGACCATACTTTATTTCTTCCATGTAAGCTCTGTCCCCAGATACAGTCACTTGGGGTTCAGGCTTCCCTAAAGAACTTGTTGGAGGTGGGAAGTGGGGCAGTAGCTTAGTGGCACTTGTTTATTGTACAAGTCCCTGGGTTCAAGCTCCAGTACCATAAAAAAAAAAAAAAAAAAACAGGGAGGACACAAACCTAGCAAGTTGAGTGGGACTTGGGACATTTCCCCTTGAGCAGTGTTGATACCACAAACAACTTGGTTGTGAAGAGAGTTGCACTGTCTTTACACCACCAGCCAGGTGAGACCTGGGGTCGTCCCTGGAAGAGGAGGGTTTGGTGAGATGGGGCTGCTACACTACTGCATGTATTTTGCATGCATACCCCGGGATACCTGTAGCCAGTTGTCAGGTGAGTGCCCTGGGAAGGGATGGCCAGTTCTCTTCTGGGGGATGGGTAGGTAGTACTGGCTCTGAAGTGTTTTCATCAGATGTCAGAACAGGGGTTGTGATCAGGTGGCAAACAGCCTTTGTGACGCCCACACTCCTTTGTGATCTCTTGCCTGGGTGTAACTCAAAGACATTTCTCTCTCTCTTGCTCGCTTTTATTTCTTAGGACATATTCCAGACTGGCCTGAAACTTGAAATTCTCCTACTGTGGCTCCCAAGTGCTGAGATGATAGGCCTGTGCCACCACACCAGCTAGACCTTGATAGCCATAAACTTCCCGTGTGGGCATGTGGGAGAGGACTATGGACATCTCTGAAATGTCCTGACCAGGCTAACAATCCTCAGAGGTCCTTGACCTGGAAGATACCAGGGTGATACATACTTGACACACCTGCCTGACCTACTTGTGCAGGAGGTGGGCAGACCCTAGGGGTGCAGTCTATTAAAGGTAGGGGTAGAGCCTCCACTTGCAACTGTGGCTCTAGACAGGGCAGTGCTGTCTTGGCACATGGATGTGGCTGCCAAGCTGTCATGCTGTTTTCTCTATGCCAGTTTGCAGGGACATCAGGACCTGCTGGTTTCCTTGGCAAAGGACTGCATTTCCACAGTCTCCCCCAGGCTGCAGTAACTCTCTCCTGCTGCTCTCTGCCCCAATCTGGTTCAGAGATCCAAACTGTGTGTCTTATGCTGAGGATCAAACCAGGACCTCCTCCATGCTAAGCAAGTGCTCCCCCTAAGCCATCTGCCAATCACAGAATGGCCTGGTAAATTTCCCTGATGACAGTAGAATAGGGTAAGGCAGGAGGAACAGGGACTGATGATGGGAGTCAGTGTGGAGATATGCCCTGCTCTGGACACCTGGTACTGTCACCCAGGATGGTAGGAGTCATCATATTCTAAGGATTAAGTTGTGAAGGCTAAAAGCAAAAGGGAAAGCAGGGGCCCTCGAATAATTGGCCAGGCCTGAGAGGGGCGGCACTTCCCAGGGAGTCTCAGCCAGTCTGGTGTCTCTGAGCTGCTTCAGTGGGGTGGTGCCTGTGAAGCTGGGGTGCAGCTGCTGAAGAATGAGTATGTGGCTGGCCTCAAGGCCTTGCGAGGAGCCCTTGGTGGAACTGGCCTGGCCAGGGGAGGGTGGGGCCATAGGGGGCGGGGCCTGCATGGTATCAGGTGGGGCGGGAAGGCGTCAGTGCGCAGGCGCCACTCTGCCCTGCCTCTTGCGTCTCTGGGAACTTGGGGTCCTGAGTCACGCTGATTGGAACAGGAAAATAGAAAGGTGGTCCGGTTGGTCCGTGTGCTCGCTTGGGTAACTGTGGTTCCTGACAACCGCGTCGCCTGAGTTTCTGACCTTGAGCGCTGATCGCACGCTGCACAGGTTCGTTACACAGAGACTGAGTGTGCTGCGCATGCTCGGCTAGCAGGACCGCTCGCCCGGAATGAGGCGCAGGCGCTCTGAGTCCTACAGAGGCGCAGGGACTTGAGTTGAGAGACACCGCGCCTCGCGCTTGTTTCCCTAAGGGTGACCTGACCACGCTGGAGCGACAGTAACGCCCACTTGCCTTACGTGTGAGACAGGGTTTCGCTCGTTCACTTGCTCAGTTTCCCAGGTTAGACAAGAATGTGTTAACCTCCTGTCCAGGCCTCCCAAAGTGTTGGGATTACAGGCGTGCACCATTTTACTTGGTTGAGAAAATTTTTTTGATTATGTGACATTCTTTATACTTGTGGCATAATTACGTAGAACATGAAATTCGCCTTTCTGGCCCTCATGGTACCTAGTTGAGTGGTACCTTTGCTTTCCTTTTAACGTCTTAAAAGAGGTTATTTGTAAATGCTGTAAAGCACACTGCTAAGAGAAGACGCTCGGCCACTGCTTGCACCCAGTCCATGAACACCACACCTCTGCCTGGCTCTTGCCCAGCGTGGCTGTGTTCCTGGGCTGTGAGGGGCTCGCTGGGCTACGCTGTGTTCACTAGCCGCAGGTTCACTCTTCCTTTGCAGGGCAGGAGCAATGGTGCTCCATCAGATGCTGAGATGGTCTGTTTGGATCTTCCGGGCCTCTCCAGGGTGGTGGAGGACAACTTACACCTTTGGGGCCTCGGTGGGACAGCAGAGGTGGCCGAGTTTTGCCTGGGTAATGTCCAGCCCTCTGGCCTTCAGAAGCAGCTACTCCACGGTCCCCCACATCCCCAGCGTGATGCTTACCTCCGAACGATACTCTGTGCAACGACTGCCCTTCTCCATGGTATCTGAGGAGGACCTGGCGTCCTTTGAATGCATCATTCCCGGTAGGGTCATCACAGACCCGGAGGAGCTGGAGGTGGCCAACGTGGACTGGCTGAGGAGTGTCCGGGGTGAGTCAAGACTCGGGAGTGGGTGAGTGAAGTGAGGAGCGTGGGGCCAGGAAATGGCTTCACCATCCCTGTGCCCTTTCATGCCTTTGGGGACAAACTTTGTGAGGATAGGCCTGAAGTTAGAATAAAATGTGGCTAAGTTTACAGGTGGTGTGTGACATCTGCAAATGAAAAGGTGATTCGGTCCTCTGGCTGCCTGCAGGATGTGAACTACTCCATGCTCTTCCCAGCTCCTGTCTTGGTGTCTGGGTTGCTGTCACCCAAGATCACAAACCAGGGGACTTAGAAAAGGTGAAGCTTCCTCTCGGATTCTGGAGGCAGATGTCTGCGTGGCTGTGCCCTCCAGGTCTCTGGCGTGGGGCCTTTCTGCCAGTCCAGCTCCTGGGGCCAAGATATGCCAGACTCTTGGTGGCACTACTCCAGCCTTTGCCTACTTTCTATCCACCTTTACTCTTCCTGTGTCTTGTGGAGACCTTGGCATTGGGCTTAGAGTCCACCTAACCCAGAATGAGCTCATCTCAAGATTTTTTTTCTCCTTGAAGATTTAACCTAGGGCTTTTATACTGAGCTGTATCCATCTCCACCCCTTTTATTTTTTATTGCGAGACAGTGCGACTGGACAAGGTCCAAAGGGGGATGTCAAAGAGGAGATAGGAAAGGTAAACCTTTTGTACCTGCAGAATAAGTGTGCAGGCTCACTGATTATTGTGGAGAAAGAATTTTCAGGATTGGTTAGTAAGAGACATGAAAGATTTATTAAGCAGAATTTTAGACACACTAGAGTAGGGTGTGGGAATTCAGAGAAATGGGAAGCTTTTGGAACTGGAAACATTTATGCTTCTTTTGGGAGGAGGGGTGGAAACCTGTGAAAAGATGGCCCATCTTGCAGAAGGATAATGGCCTGCTGTAGAAGTGAAATATGCCCTCATAGTTTTTTTTTTTAATTGGCTGAATAATTTAAGCATTCTTTAAATTTTCTCTACCTGTTTCTTTGTGTTAAGACCAGCTTTCTGCTCTTTGCTTTTAAATTAATCCAGTTATGGATTTCTGAATTTGGCATATGATAGGTCCCGAAGGAAAAAAGCTAAGTTAACCTATAGAACTCTGATATAGATAATCTTTTTTTTTTTATCTACTACCAGGAATCCAACTCATGACCACGCGCTTGCAAGGCAGGCGCTTATGCCGCTGAGCTAAATCCCCAGCTTGTGATATGGATAATCTTGTGTAACTTTGTGTCCCGGAAGTTGCAGTCTTCTTAAAAGTAAAACTTTTAAAAATACGGTTTTCCATGTCTCCTTTTTACTCATCTTTATTTATTTATTTATTTATTTTTGAACCCTGCTTCGTCAAAGTGTCACCAAGTTGCTAAATTGCTGAAGCTGGGCTCAAACTTGGGATCCTCCTACCTCAGCCTCCCAGAGTGCTGGAGTTAGAGGGGTACACCATCATGTGTGGCTTCAAGTTCATAATTATTCTGTCACTAGAATAATTCTGTCTAAGGTGCTACCCCCAAAGAGGAGGTAGGGACCTCAGCCACCTCTACCCACAAAATAGGTTCTTGGTTTCTCATGGAAAAGAAATGGCAGACTTGAGAAACAGCTGCCAGATTTGTCATGAGAGACATATATAGATTTAGTAGGTAGAAAGAAGTACACAAAAGTATTACCAGGAAGCTGGGTCCTAATGCTACAGGGACTAGTGATGTTGCTCTTGGGATTTTTGTGTGTTTGACAAAATGCTTCTAGTCCTAGTGGGGTGGACAGCTGTCTAGAGTATAGGTAAAGTTTACTGGAAAGTGATGGATTTTCAGAGTGATGCAGAGAGCACATATACCTTCATGTGTGAAGATGAGCAAGCACTGAGACGACAGTTACATTGAGTTAGGGCTCAGGGTACATTTATAGGATTAAATGGGGTGTCAAGGAATAGCCTTTTTTTCCTCCATGGTGACTGTTCTTTTACAAGGAAAATGAGCTGTTAGACTAACTTTAGAGAGGAAAAGAGGAAAAGTTTCCTGTGTATTCCCTACGTGAAAAGTTTCATTTAGTTTGTTTGAGGGCTTAAGGATTTTTTTTTTTTTTTGTACCAGGGATCAAATTCAAGGCAGGTGCTTATGCTACTGAGCTAAATCCCTGGCCTGAGGCCTTGAGATTTTTCTAACCCTTTACCCATGTTGGATTTCATATGGGCTCTGGACCTTAATCACCGTGCTCAAAGGAGCTGACATTCTTTTGGGCCAAAGTTTTAAACCATAAACTTATTTGGATTCTATCTGTGCTAACAGAAAAAAGAAAACATCATTAGTTTTTGGCTTTTCAGGTAACCCCCAGCAGACTGTCTCCTAACTTTCTAACAGAAGAGTGTGTGGCTACTCTAGGGTGAGAGGCATTATGGTCTGTAGGTGGCAGAGGTTATATGTTTGTTGGGGTGGGAATCTGTGTAATTTATTAATCTATAGAAAGGAGGGCTTAATTTATTAGTGAAAGGCAGTAGTCCTATTTATAGGTGAAAAACTAAGAAAGGGCACATTTTATAGCCTTGTTATGCCTTTAAGATGCTTAGTTTTGTTGTTGTTGTTGTTTATTTTTTGTGAGTTTTCTAGAAGGATAAATAGGGCATTATAACTTTAGGTTACTTTGATTGTGTCCTTAAGCTGCACTACATTAGTCATGTTCCTTGTCATTAAAACATAGTACCTGACACTCATGTCTTAAAGAAAGAGAAGTTTATTTTGGCTCACAGTTTGTAGAAGTTTTAGTCCATAGTTGACTGGCTCCAAGGCAGGGTGGCACAGTAGAGGAGAGCGACTCACATCATCATGTCCAGGAAACAGAGAGCCAGAGAGCAGCAAGGGAAGAGCTAAGGAGGGAAATAAATCCTTCCAAGGCCACACCTGTCTCCCAATCAGGCCTCATTTCCTAACAGCAAGTTAGCTATAACCACCCGTAACCCATTCACCTCCCAAAGGCCCCACCTATGAGACCATGAGGCTCTTGGGAGACATCTAGGTATATAAACCATATCATTCTACTCTTGGCTTCCAAAACATCTCTTTAGACAAAATGTATTTGGTCCATCTCTGGAGTTTCCAGAGTTCTAACATTGCTGAGAAGTCTAAGTCCAAAGTTTTCTCTGAGACTCAAGGCAAACTCTTAGCTGTGAGCCCTTGTAAAAATCAAAAAGAAAATTAAACACTGCTGACCTACAACAGCCCAGGATAACCATTCCCATCCCACAAGGAGGGATAGGGGATAGAAAGGAATGGGACTAAAGCAAGACTGAAATCCAGCAGAGCAAACATTGAATCCCATAGTTCTATGTCCAGTATCTGGCGAAAAGCTGTGGTAAGACGTGAACTCTAAATGGTTTGGGTGGCCCTGTGGCATTGCTGGTTCTTGTGGAACTCAATGACTCTTCTTATTTTTTTGTCTTTCTCATTTTTATCGGTACCGGGGATCGAACTCACGACCACCTGCTTGCAAGGCAGGTGCTTATGCCGCTGAGCTAAACCCCCAGCCCCAATGACTCTTCTTCTTGAGTGACTTTGCTCACTCTTTGTAGTTTTCCTCAGACATTTCAACTTCCTGTGGTCTCTACTGCACTTTCGCTTCACTCACAGTTTTATGAATGGTCTCTCAAAGGCACACTGCCTGGCCCCCCAGGCTTTCCTCTGAAATCTGGGTGGAAGCCCCACTGACTTCACAACTCTTGCATTCTGCATGCCCATAAAACCAGCATCATGTGCTTTGGTGGTGGAGAAGCCTGTTGGATACCCCTCAGCATGGCCCTGGCTATCTTCACCCCAGTGGAAGTGGAGGATAGCAGGATCCACAGTACTACTACGTGCTGACTCCCCACAATCAGACCAGCTCCCTGCCCAGCATGTCACGGGGTCCCATCTTTCTCTTTCTATCTTATCTTTGAGCATGTGGGGCCTGAAAGCTATAGTTTGTGGGTCATCCCTTGGGAAGGGCAGGTGCTTGGAGAGAGTATCCTTTTCCATGAGCTTAGACAGGCATGTCTGGGTCTCTCTCCTGGTACCAGTTGATATGCTGTTCTGTGTTCCAGGATGTAGCAAGGTACTGCTGAAGCCCCGGACCACGGAGGAGGTGTCCTGCATCCTCAGGTAACACTGAATGTGGCGTGCCAAGTAGAGATTCTTGGCATGGTCATAGAGTCACACTTGGAGCACTGTCTCTAGCATGCTACCTCCTGGGGTCTGTTTTGTGCACCCCTTTCCCAAAGCCCCTCCCTGTTGGAGTCCTTGCTTTAGATCTTTGCAGAGTGGTCCTTGATGGAGAGGAGATGCTCTTGCTAACCACAAGACATGGTTGGGGGCTGTGGGTCAGGGATGTGGGGACACAGCAACAGCAGAAGGACTGATAAGAGTAAGAGCAGTAGGATGTGGGCACTGTGGGAACTTGCTGCATTCTTAGGATTCCCTCTTCTTAGAGGTGAGGCCCCCTGAGGATGAGTCAGGTCACACTCACTGCTTTACTGTGATGGGAGAAAGCATCAAGCACAGGGCCTATGCAGTTTCATGGGAAATGCTACCTTCCGTGAGTGTGGTGGGAGGAGCTTTGGAGGCTGAGGGCAGGGACCAGGTTTGTTGGGGCAGTGTTAGTCCTGTGACATGGCCTTTGGGAACAGTGGCCTGGGAGTGGAGACACTGGCCTGATACCTGTCCTGTGCTCATCTCAGGCACTGTCACCAGCGGAACCTGGCTGTGAACCCACAGGGAGGGAACACAGGCCTGGTGGGGGGCAGTGTCCCTGTGTTTGATGAGATCATCCTGTCCACTGCTCTCATGAATCAGGTCATCAGCTTCCATGATGTGTCCGGTAAGCCTGTGCTGCTCGTCTGTGTCCCTCTCTGTGCTGGTCAGGGTTGTCCTTACTTGTCAGCCACCTAGACTGTGGTCAGGTGAGCAAGCATCCATGTCCCAGGCTAGCAAGCAATGGAAGCTGGAGTCAGTTGCTTGTCACTCTGGTCCTCTTAGACTCTTGACATGTTGTGGCCACAGCAATCTTTTCCAGGGTGTGGTAACACAGTAGCACCGTCTCTGTCCCTGGGGCATTTGGCCCAGATCTTTCTTTGTGGTTGGGTGCTGTGACTATTAGGGTGCTGAGCAGCAGCCCCAGACTCATCCCACTAGATGCCAATAGTGTGCACACCAGTAAGTACCTTAAGAGATCATCGGGCTGCAGAGCAAGTCCCAGTGGAGGACACTGCTTTTTTTTTTTTATCGGTACCGGGGATCGAACTCACAACTGCTTGCTTGCAGGTGCTTATGCTGCTGAGATAAATCCCCAGCCCCTGAGGACAATGTTTTGTAAGTGATCTTCTCACTCCATCAGTGTGAATGCATGTGTACATATGTGAGTGCATATGTGTTTTTTTCGACTTTTGCCTTTCCAATTTTTTTCTTAAAGGTGACTTAGAGGCTGGACAGGATGGACTGGGAGGCCTCTTCCTTGACCCTGCCCTGTGCTAGACATTCTTTCAGGATGGTTCACATCTGCAAGGTGGCAGGGCTGGACTCCTAGCCATGACAGTTCTTATGTGCCCCAGGAGCTATGGACAGTGGCAGCACTTTTGTCTTCCATAGGAATCCTAGTCTGCCAGGCAGGCTGTGTACTGGAGGAGCTGAACCACTACGTGCAGGATCGGGGCTTCATCATGCCACTGGACTTGGGAGCCAAGGGCAGCTGCCACATCGGGGGCAACGTGGCGACCAATGCAGGTGGTGTGCGGTTCCTGCGCTATGGCTCGCTGCGTGGGACTGTCCTGGGCCTGGAAGTGGTGAGTTGGTGTCAGCTTGGGCAGAGCTGTGGAAGTCTTGCTGTTAGTTTGATTTTCCAGACCCCAGGCAAGAGGCCACCTGGGGGGATCAGAGCCACAACCCAGATCAGAAGTGCCATTGTGCCAGCTCCTGCATCCTACATATCACTCGGAGGCTTGCTCTGTTCCTCATGCCACACATGGCACATGCACATGAGGAGCCACCAGGGGACACAGCACAGCAGTGTTGTACCTGAGCTGGGCCCTCCAGAGTCATGATCAGAGCTGGATAGCTAGGGCCACCAGCACCAGCTTTTCCCCAGAATCTACTCAGTCCCGAGTATCACGTTACAGTTTCTTCCTTTCTTTTTTTACAGTTTCTGAAGGGCAGAGCTTTTGTCCTATTTATCCTTACATCCCAGTAGCTTTGCTTTCAGATGGCTGCAGTTTATTTTGATGGTGCATCATCTTCTCTTGTTCCCAAGCTGTCAGTGAGGCTCACACTCAAAAAACCAGCCAATAAACTTGAGGCTCACAGTCCAGGGACCATAGTGCTTCTAGGGGAAAAGGGACTGAGTGTAAGGGGAACCCCACTGCAGTACTCCTTCAAGTGTGTTCCCCAGGTGTGCTCTCTGGCTGTGCTCCCCAGTTGTACTCCTCCAGGTGTGCTTCCCCAAGTGTGTTCTCAGATGTATTTCCTAGATGTGCTCCCCAGTGTGCTCCTCTGAGTATGATCCCTGAGTGTGCTTTCCCTGGCATGCTCATCCCAGGTATGTTCCTCATGTGTGCTCCCTCAGGTGTGCTTCCGCAGGTATGTTTATCCCAGGTGTGTTCCCCAGGTGTTATCCCCTCTTCAGGCAAGCCTCCCTCCAACAGCTGCACAGTGACCTTCTAGGGTGTGTGGTGATGGTAAGGTTGGGGGAATCTTGCTCCAACCAGGAAGAGAAATCCTCCCTTTATCTAGCCAGGCAACTCTTGGGTCACTTTCCTTCTGGGCTGTGTGGGGGCTCTGGCTATGGGTGGGGTGGGAGAATGCTGTGGATTGAGATGCCGCCCTCAGTGTGGAGACTGGAGAAATGCAAAGGTAGATGTTGGAACTGGCCAGCATGAAGTTCGGTGTATCCTTCCTGCCAGGTCCTGGCTGACGGCACTGTCTTGGACTGCCTGACTTCCCTGAGGAAGGACAACACAGGCTACGACCTGAAGCAGCTGTTCATCGGTTCAGAAGGCACCCTGGGGGTTATCACGGCTGTGTCCATCTTGTGCCCTCCCAGGCCCAAGGCTGTGAATGTGGCCTTCCTTGGTAGGTGTCCTTGGCCCAACTGGCCTGGGTGGTGGGAAGCAGCCCTGGGCTACCCAGGGCTGGCAGGGTGGTGGTGGCAGAGGCCTGTTTGTCCTGGCTTCTGTGATCCCTGAGGGGTCAGAGTCTAGGACCTAGCATCTCAGGAACTCACAGAGTGTAGCCTCCAGTCATAAGCCTTTCCTTGTCCTGGGTTGAACATACTTTGTCTATAATCAAACTGAGGTTCTCTTGTGCTCTTTTGCCCCATTGTGCTTGGGTTTAAATAGTATACAGTGAGGTTCAAGGGAAATGATGTCATCTCTTGTAGATTTTAGGGCACTGATTTTTTTTTTCCTTTTTTTAGTACTAGGATTGTACCTGGGCCTTCACAAGGTCCCACTCTTTAAGCAAGTTATAGATTCTGAAACAGGGTCTTTTTTTTTTTTCTTGTATTTTTTGAGACAGAGTCTTGTTATGCAGTTTAGGCTGACCTTAAACTCACTTTGTAGTCCAGGTTGGACTCAAACTTGCAATGATCCTCCTGCCTCAGCCTCCAGAGTGCTGGAATTATAGGCATATGCTTGGCTTGAAACAAGGTCTTTCTAAGTCATTAAGTTGTCCAGGTTGGGCTCAAACTTGTAATCCTCTTGCTTCAGTCTCCCAGAGTGCTGGGTTACGCTGTGTCCCCCAGCATCTGGCTAAAACACATTTTTTTTTCTTGGCAAGGCTTTTTACTTTTGCAGAAGGGCACTAGCACACCTCAGCAGTGAGGTAACAGGTGCACAGGACAAAGTGCAGGTGACGCAGCTGACCTTTGTCCCCACTGGTTGGGTTGAAGGTTTATAATGTATCCTGAGTAGCTAATATGAGGGATTGATGAGCAGGGTTTTTAGGGAGAGGAAGGTGAGGTATGGGGCACTGAAAGTCCTTGGGTGTTGGTAAGTTATCTTCAGCTGTTAGCTGTGTTCCTGGAGTCTAAATTGAGCAGGCATTTTTAAGTGTTCTTTTTTTTTTGGTACTAGGAATCGAACTCATGACCTGGCACTTGCCAGGCAGGTACTATGCCACTAGGCTACCTCCCAGGCCCTGAGCAGGCATTTCTAATAGCTTGGTGTTTTCAGTGTTTTTTGGAGGGGTTCCAAGGGTGTACTAGAGTTCAAAATAGAGGCACGCTTTGTTTGATAGAAAAGACAGAGCTATTGTTTCTCACAATTCCCTTCCCTTCAAATATCTTCACTCTTTTCTTCAAATTCTATGAACAGTTTATTCTTTCTGTTCTGTTTCTTTACCCAGGACTATGTTAGCTGGATAAGGTGGATTCATCATTTCCACTGGTGTGGATGAACCAGGAAGTCAAATGGTGGGGTTTGAGATAGAAGTCACTTTCATCTGAGATAATTAAGGGTGGAAGATAAGCCAAGTAAAAGTACATCATCTCTTTACTAGGCAAGAATAAATAAACTTTAGCGCATGTCTGACCCAAACATGAACACTAGAATGGAAAACCAATTGGGAGAGAAGTCATGTCTAGGTATTGTTTTTATTTATTTTTTTGATGCTGGGGATCAAACTCATGCAAGGCAGGCACTTACGCTGCTGAGCTAAATCCCCAGCCCTAGGTACCATTTTTAAGAAACTGGAAGAGCAGTTGTAACCAGTAATTATAACCAGTTGGCTCTTAGACTTGTTTACCAGTGTGACCCCTGTTAACAAGGATCAGTGACTGGGGCCCCTTTTATTGTTTTGTCTATATTATTATTACTTTAATGTGTCTTTGATATTTTTTGCTGACTACCCAAGACCAAGTTAAAGTGAGATCGGTATTAATCAAAATTAATTCCTCTGCCCCCAATATCAAGATCTGTTAAGGCTCTTTGCTTTTGGAACCATGTATAGAGCCTCTTAGCTCCTTTGTTAGTGTCAGCCACCAGGATGGATCATGGTCTTGCTTAACCATGTAGCTTCCTGCAGAAGCAGAAGACAAGTTTTTCTTTGGTGACTCTCCTTTTTAGCACACAGTTTAGTGGTTGATTTTGTCCTCTGGGGCCCAACAATCTCCTTGCTCAGGAGGTTGTGAGACTTACCAAAGTTGTAGGATCTTGTGAGATAAAGCCCCTCTTGTAGGATGCAGTGTCAGTCACCATAGGTAGTGAGTGCTGTGCCTGAGGAGAGGCCCCTGGCCCAGAACATGCCTGTTACAGTGTTTCCACACTCATGGCCCACGCTGTCAGATCAACTGCCTTTTGGGAGGAAATTGGCATGAACTTCTATCCCCTTCCTGCTTTCCCCCAGCCACTTACCTTCTTTCCTGCCTTCATTCAAATGGGGTAATTATCTGTCATTTCCTCTGGCCTCTTCTAAGGGACAGAAGGTGTTCTGAGCATCCCAGGTCAGTTCAATTCATGCCCTGTCCTGCATGGAGGCTTAGAAGTGTGGATTCTTGGATTCCACCTCTCTCTGACAAGCTCTGTTTGTCATGGGTCTTACTTCTGTCTTGTCTTTTCAGCCCATGTCATCCTAATTATTGTGACTTCGTGGGCTGCTTCCTCTGCTCTCCATCCTTCTTTTTTTTTTTTTTTTTTTTTGTCTTTTTCATTTTTATCGGTACCAGGGATCGAACTCATGACCGCCTGCTTGCAAGGCAGGTGCTTATGCCGCTGAGCTAAATCCCCAGCCCCTCCATCCTTCTTATGTCCAGTGTGCCATTAAGATTGATCCTCGTAATTCAGGACTAGGTGACAAGTGCCCTCAAGGCTCACGCCCTAGCAATCCCATCTGTGTCACTCCCTTCACTCTTGCTGTCTTGAGGCTGCCCCTGCTCTCTTCTGCCCGTGCTGGTCACATCAGAGGCTCTGGGTTCATTGTTGCTGGAAGTTTTTGGATCCTTGCTGCTGCCCCCATCCTGGGGCATCTTAAAAATTTTTCTTTTTCTTTTAAGTATAAGTAGTTTCATTAAGTAGTATAGTTTTTATTTTGTTCTTATATCGGCCAACTGTTTAAAAAAATGGGAACTGAAGAAGTGAGAATCTTGCAGAATCAAAACAAGGTACAAACACTCTTAGAAGGTATATAGGATTCACATACTTGTCAGTAATAAAAAGGCATACCTCAACTGACCTAGGAATTTCACTCAAGGAAATTATCCTACAGATATACTCTACCTGCAAGAAGCATTCCACTGATGCTTCTTGCAGACAGACAAAACTTAATCTAACTGCCCATCACTGAGGTTGTAATGTACAGTAGAAGCTTGTGTTGTCATTAGAAAAGGATGTAGTAGCCTATAATCCCAGCACTTGGGAGGCTGAGGCCGAAGGGCCACTGTAAGTTTGAGTTTGAGGTTAGGTTGGGCAATATAGCGAGATCCTATCTTTAAAATATTGGAAATATCTCCAAGACTTAAATTATTAGCTTTTTTTTGGTATTGGGAATTGAACTCATAACCTTGCGCCTGCCAGGCAGTTGCTGTGCCGCTGAGTTATAGCACCAGCCCACATTGTTAGCTTTTTATAAGTACAGAACAGAATTGCTATGTGTTCCCATTTGTGACAAGGAGATGTGTCTACATACCCACCAATATAGACATACAAATGCAAACATATAACACAAGAATATAAATACACATAGAAGTTTTCTGAAAGAATATGCAAGAAACTGTTGAGAACTGTTCCATTTAGCAAAGTTATTTCTTTTTCATTTTTGCACACCTTGAATATCTCACTGTGAATCTGTGCTTTCTTTGTAGAATAACCAGTCCTTTAAAGAATGAGCTACTAGCAGCTGAGTTTCTAAATTCCAGTCATAAGAGGACATAGATGCAAGTCCATTAGAATGTCTTTGTCTTCTAAGAACCTTTACAAAATTGATTTCAAACAGGTTTTCCGCTCTAGATCTCATTTCTGAGGCATAGAGCAGTTCACTGTGGAGCTGGTAGGAGGCTGTGTTTAATCTTTCTCAGACACTGGGTTAACTGCTGGTGTTTTCAGTGTGCATTTCCTCAAGGCACTGATTTTCAAACACCAAGCAGATCCCACAATGATCAGAGTAATCACAAAAGGGAAAATGATGTGTTGAATTACAATTTTTCTGATTCAGACCCATGTATGAACACCTGATGCCAATCAAATGAAGAACAAGCAGATCACTTGGATACATTGCTGTCTGCATAGCTGTATTTATCCCCAATGTCAGTGTCATTGCTGTCCTTCCTCAAGGACACAGTCCCCCTTGAAAGTCCAGAAGATCTGAGTAGCTGGCTTGCCTGCAACTGCCTGGCACACTACAGTTTTATTCTTGTTTGGGAAAATGATTGCTTTCAGGGGCACTGACTCTTGGCATTGATATCTAGTTTGGAGAGCCCCATCGTAGGCTTCCATTTCACAGCTGTTTCCCCCATGGGTGACTACACTGCATGAATCTGGAGGGGAGGGCCCAGGTCAGATCCGGAGCTCTGGTTGTCCTCTGTCAGCATAGCTGGCGTGGGTGGTCCCCTTTTGTGTAGGAAGGCAGTCTCTGGAGTTGTTTCCATGTTTCTATACTGCTCTTGTCAGTGGGAGAGGGAGAGGAAGCAACAGAGTGCAGCTTTTGTACTTGTCTGTACACATAGCGAGGTGTAAACTTCTGTAATAGGGGATGGGCTCTTCTTTGTCTTCTGCTTTCATCCATGCATAAACTATTGCACTGTCATTCTGGACACAAACGCTGACTTGTACTTCAGGATTTTCAATCCAAACCTGAGAGACATCACAAGGTCAGAGAGCTTCTCTGCTGTTATCACTGAGAACCCACTCATACCTCAACCCTGTGACTCATCCCCATTGTGTCTCAGACCTCTCTCTTTTAGTCTTCTGAAGTTTTCATTTTCATCTTTCTCTGAAATTGTTGAACTCCTTAAACTGTGGCTCAGTAGCTTGTACAGTTTGGGAAATTCCTGTTACTGCTTCAGATTGCACCTGTTTCTTCTACTTTGGACAGTGGCTGTATACCAGGTGGACTCACAGCTGTCTATGTAGCTCCTGAGCTCCTTCTGACCTCCCTTATGTGGCCCTGGTGCCATGTGCTCAGTTCTCCTAGCCATCTTCTTGTCCATAACCACTGTGCTTTGTAGTTCATAAACCCAAGCCTTTTTCTTTTTTTGGTACCGGGAATCAAACTCACGATCTTGCACTTGCCGGACAGGCGCTTACACTGCTGAGCTATATCCCCGGCCATCCACTGTGCTTTGTGGTACTGCCTTTGTGGCCTAGCATATCCTGGAGGACATCTCCCTGTCCACTGGGTTTAAAATTTGGTGGTTATAGTTTTTGTTTCTAGAAGTTTTATTCATTTTTTTCAAGTGTGTACTATCACTTTTTGTAGTTGTCTGTACATGCCAGATTTTTTTTTTTTTTTTGTCTTTTTGAGACAGGGTCTTGCTGTGCAGTTTAGGCTGGCCTTGAGCTCACTTTGTAGCCTAGGCTGGTCTCAAACTCGCAATGATCCTCCTGCCTCAGCCTCCTAAGTGCTGGGATTACAGGCGTGAGCCACCACGCCTGGCTTTATGCCAGATGTTTTAAATCTCTGCTTGTTTTCATGTACAGCCAGTGTGATTTTCCATGGTGTATGGTAGGCGGCTTAGTATTTAGGGTCTGTGGTCTGTGGCTCCACTTTGGAAAGTGGCCACCCAGGCTTCCTTTAGTATAACTGACACCTGGTCTCATCTGCTCTTATAAGTTTCTGGACACCCCAAGGTCCCTGCAGTGCTCCAGGCTAAGTGCTACCAGCACAGCCCCACCCAGGGAGCTGACTGACCACTTCCCAGCTGTCTTGAGGCTCTGCTTGAGCTACCCTGTGTCCTGTGTGTGAGGCAGTGCTGGCTCATTGCCATGAAGAGCTCCGTAGAACCCACGGAGGCCGAGGTGTAGGTGCCCTTTTTGGGGCTGCCTTTCTTTTGCTGGCTGTCACTGGTTGCTCTAAAGCCTGGGTATGTGTAGCTCTCCCATTGCGGGGTTTCTGGGGCTAACTATCGGGCCCTGACCTAGATCCCTGATTTCCCAAACAAGTATATAGTGGAAATTTAAATAAAATGAGACAAGTTATATGATTTTAGGGTTCCAGGAGAGTCAAAAGCTGAGCGTGAGACTCTGAAGGTTAAGACAAAGACCTCTCTGGATCAGCCTACTTTTATTAGGACAAAGGACAAAAGATGGGGAAACTGAGGAAAGTGCGGGAAATGAGCAGGACCTTGGGAATCATTTCAAAGACTTTTCCCAGTAGTAAATTATGCCAATTTAGGAGAACTGTTCTATCTCTATTTATGGTAGGAGTGCAACTGCAGGAGTGAAATTCCTTCAGCTGCAGTCTCTATTTACTTAATAAGTGTTGGAGCCAAGGTGTCTTCAGCTGTGGCCTTGTCTTGCGCTTTGAGGTATCTCTGGCCTCACAGGCCACTACAGGCCTCAGCCAGGACCAGTGATTCATAGAGATTCCCTTACTATGAATCAGCTCCCATCGCCAGGCAAGGGGCTGAGGCCTAGGATAGACTCACAGATAAACAGAAAGCCAATTAGTTAATTTTAAATCCTGCTCAGAGCCACTGGGTCATGGTCTTCAACAGCTAACATGTTGTTTTTGTCTAGCACATCTGCTTTTGTCACTCATTCAGTCTGCTCCCTGGTGGTACTATGCTGGTGGCCCTTAGCTTGGAGCACTGTGGGAACCTTGGGGTATCCAGAAACTTATAAGAGCAGTTGAGATCAGGTGTCAGTTATATTAAGGGAAACCCAGGCAGCCACTTTCCAAAGGCTCCCTCTTGCTGGTTTGCATGTGCAGACTCTAGGTGTGTCCCCTCTACATCTCCCTGCTAGCCAAGTGCTGTGTGGCAGTTCTGAGGCACATTTCCTGTCCTGAACTATACTTTGGAGGTAACCTTAAAGCAGACTTGTTGGTCAGCATGCAGGTATCCCCTGTAACCCGGGCCTCTTTTCTATTCCTGGCCTTGCAAGTTGCGTGGATGTTGCTGCTGCAATAGGGACTTAGCACTTGGGCACAGTTCTGAGTCCCACTGTCCTTGTGTTGTCTGACTATGATGCCCTGTGACCTGTTGCAGGTTGCCCGGGCTTTGCTGAGGTCTTACAGGTCTTCAGCACCTGCAAAGGGATGCTAGGTGAGATCCTGTCTGCATTTGAATTCATGGATGCCGAGTGCATGCAGCTGGTCGGACAGCATCTCCACCTGACCAGGCCAGTGCGAGGTACAACCACTTCTCCGGTGGTCAACATGGTCCCCAGGTTGGAGAAGGGCCCCCAGCACTAGCAGTGCTACTGAGGCAGTGGGAAAGGGCTCTCTCAGGGTCACCCTGCGGCTGACCATTTCCAGGGGTGCCTTGCCTCTTCCAGGAAACTTGGGCTTGGCACAAGCCTGCTGCTCACAGGCCATCTTTCCCCCAACTCTGTGACCCAGAGCCTGGCTCACTGTGCATCTCTGCCTCTTCCAGAGAGTCCATTCTACGTCCTGGTTGAAACTTCAGGCTCCAGTGCAGACCACGACATGGAAAAGCTGGATGGCTTCCTGGAACAGGCACTGGGCTCTGGCTTGGTGACCGATGGCACCGTGGGCACTGACCAGAGCAAAGTACAGGTGCTCATGTGTGACCTTGTGGGTCCTTCCCTCCCCAATGCAGCCAGGTGTCTGGACAGCATAGTTTGTCCTACGTGGTTGAGACATGACCAGAAATGTGTGGAGGGTGAAGGTGTATCCATAGGGACCGGATAATTTTCCTCAGTAAACAGTATTCCTCTCCTCCTCCCAAGCTGCAGGGTGAACAGAACTGTGCACCTGCTGGGGAGCTGTGAGTCAGTGTCACTGGACCCTGGCTGGTGGGGAGCTGTGGGGTCACGGAGGCACTTGGGAGTTTGGAGCCATTGTCACCTTGTCCTTGTCTGCAATGTGACGAGTCGCCAGCAGGGGGCAGGGTGGCTATGCATGTGGTCTCTGGGAGGGTCTGGATATCTGGCATGAAGCTGCATCAGCCTTGGGCTTTTGACTTCTCAGGTACAGGACTCCCTGTATTCTAGCCTCTGAGGCACCCAGTTCTGAGGACGCATCCTTGCCCTGCTGTGTGATCCTGGGACTGGAGATTGGTGATAGGATAGGAGCTCGCTTTGGCCAGCCCCATGCCTTTGTCTCCTCTCATCCTGATATGGTGGTGTTACATTTGTCTGCCAGTGAGAGCAGGAATGTGGATCGCTCATGGCTGTGTCCTGGGCATCTCCTGCAAAGCCTACGGGGGAAATGAATCTAAGTGGTGGATACTGGTCTGCTGTGTGCTGGCCCAGTATGTGTCCAGCTGAGGGCACAGAGCAGTTCTTTTCTCTCAGGGGTCCCTGATTCTCTGACCACATCGTCCTTAGCCCTGGCAGACTGTCTGTGGTAACAGATACACTCTAGCTTAGCAGCCACAGGCACAGATACCCCTTGCCCACTGCCTTATGTAAGTCTCTTCACCTATGGGGACCGTGTATAGTGGCTGTCTGACCAGGCCAGAGCTACCTGAAAGGCACTTGTGATCCTGCACTGCCCACTGTCTCCCTGGGTGCCTGTCTGTAGCCCCTCTATGTTCTGCACTCAGGGTTCCACAGTTGGCACAGAGCCAGCAGGTGTGGGCATGGTGGCAGTGTGGTCCCCTTTGTTCCTGCCTACTGAGCTTGCAGGCTTCTCAGGAAGACCCTTGAAAGGTCCACCCCCATTCCTGCGCCCCCTTTTGCTGGTGTTGAGTCTGCGGTACTGTGTGTTGGCTGTGTGTATGTGCATGGTACAGACTGTGGAGGCCTCTCACAGCCTCTCTGCGAGCCTCACGTGGGACAGGCTCTGGAGAAGTGCTGCTTACGTTTGGGTTCTCCTGGGATTTTTTTCTCTGGAAGCTCTGGGTTTGTGATCTGTCTTGCAGATGGGTCCCATGTGGGTCTAACAAGAGCCAGTGTTGTATGATTAGGAGCAGCCTTTGGGCACCCTACCTGACCACCTGCCCACACCAGCTGGTTGGAAGTATGCTCTGTGCCAGGGCTGTGGAGCTATAGCCAGCAGGTGTGGTCTGCACACCTGTGCTTCTTCCACACATTCATTCATCAGCCATCACTGTCTGGATATGCCAAGTTCCTTCCTGGCTGGGCTATGACAGTGGCCTGAAGAGCAAGGGCTGTGTCCATGTGGCCTATAGTCAGCACCTCCTCTCTCACCAGCCTCAGGGTAGTGAGGCCTGGAGGCTTCTGAAGGGCATTTGAGCCAAGTCGGGTGGCACTAGGGCAGAGCACACATATTCTAGAAAGTTCCCAGGGTGGAGGGACTGGAGCAGAGTCAGGTGGTCAGGGAGAGCTTGGGTGGCAGCATTTGTCATGATCCCTGAGATCTTCAAGGCAGGAATGATGGGGTCTCTGTAGGGCTGGTGCCCTACCAGATCCAGGTGGGTCAGTACCTGGTGGGGTACAGGGCCCCACACCTGGGAGATGCAGCTCTGTCCTCCCGTGAATGCCCAAAACCAAACGGAAACTGCAGAGACATTTACTTGGACAAGCTGCCTCTCCTGACCCAGTCCTTGTCCTAGAACCTCTCCTTGGGCCCCACTCTGCCTCAGTTTCCGTGCTCCAGTCACTAGTCTGTCCCTTCCTTGCCCACAGATTTCCCCAGGGCCCTGGGTGCCAGGCCTTTCTCCACCAGCAGTTCCTGCCTCTGCTTAGCTGTCCCAGGGCCCCTCACCTTGCAGTAGATGGATTCCAGGCTGGCCTTGTGCTCTATCCCTCCTTACTTAGCCCTGTTCTGGGAGGGATGTGCTGCTGCCTGGCTTCTTCCAGGAGGACCCCAAAGTCTCAGTGTTGTCCTGGAGTGAGCTTGTGGGTGGCCTGGGTCATGGCCCAAGACCCACATGCTGTGGACAGAATGTGCTATTATGCTTGACCAGAGCCTGGCTGCCTAACTGTGGTGCAGGTGCAGTCATGGTGATGTGTGACATCTCTCCCCCGCTAGGCACTGTGGGCTCTGAGGGAGAGGATCACAGAGGCACTGAGCCACGACGGCTACGTGTTCAAGTACGATGTTTCTATCCCTGTGGAACGGTTCTACGACCTTGTTACTGACCTGCGCACCCGCCTTGGCCCACGAGTGAAGCATGTGGTGGGCTATGGCCACCTGGGTGAGCTGTGTGGGTCTTCAGTGTTGACTTTGGCAGTGCTGGGGACCTGGAGGCTGAGGAAGCACTGCCTGCCTTGTGTCTCTTGGCTGTTGTGGAAAAGACCATGCCATACACTTTCAGTGGCTATACTTGGCCACTGGGGCTTGGGGCTCTCAGCATGCTTGCGCATGGCAGAAGAAATGGCCCTCAGCTGGGAGCCTAGAGCAGTATTTGCTTCACAGATCTCACCTTATACATGGGTGTCAAAGCCCGTGTCAGATGACAGGGTGTTGTAGGTCACACATGGTAGGGAGGAAGTGGTACTGGCCTCTCTCCAGTCCCAGCAGCCTTTTCTGCAGGGCATCCATAGCCCGTTTTCAGGGTGGCATGGGAGTAGGTGCGGTTGAAGCTGTGAGGTAATCTGGGGTCACATTTCTTTAGAGACTGTGTCAGCTCAGGTTATTTCTCCTTTGAAGGGTGGGTGAACAGAACTTGACAGTGAGGATGTTTGGGCCTAGCATTTTTGTGTTTTGTTTTTCTTTGAGGGGGCCCATGTTTTTGATTGCAGATCGGTTTTTTAATAGTTCTAAGAAGGCCAAGGATTTAGTTCAGTGGCATAGCACTTGCCTGACAAGCACCAGGTCCTGAATTCAATTCTTGGAACAACAAGAACAAAAGTCGCTCTTGGACTGTTCAGGTTTTCCTTTTTTTCTGAATTAGTTTGGGGAAATTTTTCTCCAGGAATTTGTTCATTTCTTCTAAAATTTCAAATATACTGGCATAAAAATGCTGGAAACAGTGACACACCTGTAGTCCTAGCACTCTGGGAGACTGAGACAGGAGGATCTTCAGTTTGAGCACAAAACAGGCTGTGTAGGGGCCATGAGGCTTGCAACTTGGCAAAACCGGTTCAAAGAAAAGTGGGGAGGGGGGGGGAAGGGCCTTGCAGCTCAGAGGGAGGCCCTGGCCCAGCCTCCTCCCTGCTGTTGCTGTCCCTAGCGCCTGTGGGTGGATCTCTTTCCACTTGCTCAGGGTGTTGGGGTGTTTCTCAGCTTCAGTCTCCTGGAGAACCGGCTTCACACTGTTAGTTAGTCCTTTCCGTTGTTTACTTGTTTTCTCTCTCATTATTTTGTGTCTTTATTGCTTTCTCTCCTTTCTCATTTTTATTTACTTTAAAATTTTTATTTTCTCAATCAGATTTTATTGTTACATTTAGATATACATAGTGATCACACTCATCATAGAGAATTGGTGCCTGTGTATGATATAACTTGTTTTTTTCCCACATCTCCCTACTCTTCCTTCAAGCTCTCTCTCCTCCCTATTTACAGAATCTTTGTTACCATATTTCCCTTCTTTCTCTCTTTCTCTCTCTTTTTAACTTTTCCCTTCTTTCCTTCCTGCTGCCTTCTCTTTTGTTCCCCTCCCCATTTTAACATTTTCTTCCTATGTCACAATACCTATTTTACATTTTGGTCCTTGTTTACACTTTCAGTTTCTCACACCAGAGAAACTGCATTGTTTCCACATGTGTGTCTGATTTATTTCACTTAAGAGTGTGGTCTCGGGGCTGGGGTTTAGCTCAGCGGCGTAAGCACCTGCCTTGCAAGCAGGCGGTCATGAGTTCAATCCCCGGTACCGATAAAAATGAAAAGGACAACAACAACAACAAAAAAAAGAGTGTGATCTCAAGGTGTATCCATTTTCCTGGAATGTTTTGAGTGTATCCTTTATGTCAGAGTAGTGCTCCATTGTATAAAAAAACCACATATTCTTTATATATTCACCAGTTGATGGGCACTTGGGTTGTTTCGAAGATTTGGCTATTACAAACTGTCGCTATAAAACATAGGTGTGCATATATTGCTGTGGTGTGATGCTTTTAATTCTTTTGGGAAGATACCCAGGAGGGGAATGACTGGATCAAGTTTTCTGTGGAATTTCCACACTGACTTCCACAGTGGTTGTACCTGTCTACACTCCCCCTAACCAGGGAGAAGAGTTCCTTCTTCCCCTCTGCATTTGTTATTGGTTGATTTCTTGATCCTGGCTGTTCTTTCGGAAGTGAGATGGAATCTCAGTGTTGTTTTAATTTGCATCTCTCAAATGACCAATGGTGTTGAACATTTTTCATGTATTTATTTGCTGTTTGTACTTCATCTGAGAAGTGTGTATTCATCTTAGATGCCCATTTTTGGACTGGGTCTTTAAATTTGGAGGGGGTCTGATTTTTTTGAGTTCTTTATATATTTTCAATAGTAGTCCTTTGTCTAAGGAACAACTGGAAAACATTTTTTTCCTATGGGTTGTCTCTTCACTTTGTGGTTTCTCTTGCTGTGCAAAAGCTTTTAAGAAAATGAGATCCTAATTGTTGATTTTTTTGTGATATTTCCTGTGTGAATTGGGGTTTTATTCATAAAGTTTTTGCCTATACCAATGTCTTAAGACATAGGTATTGTCTTTAAGAGTGTCTGTGTTCCAGCAGATTTAATGTTTCTGTTTTAATTCTTAGATCTTTGATCCATTTTGAGTTTAGTTTAATGCACAGTGAAAGATATGGGTCCAATTTTAATCTTCAGCATGTGCAAAGCCTGTTTTTCCTGCACCATTTATTAAAGAGGCTGCCTTTCTTCCGGTGATACATTTGGCACCTTTGTTAAAGATAAGTACACTAAGTGTGTCTAGAGTTGTTTTAGCATCTTCTAATGTGTTCTGTTGATCCTCAGGTCTGCTTTTTGCCAGTGTATGCTGGTTTTGTGTGTGTGTGTGTGTGTGTGTGTGTGTGTGTGTGTGTGTTTAAATCACAGTAGCTTATTTGATTTTTTATTTTGTTACTATTTTTTGTCTTTTTGAGACAGGGTCTCACTATGCAGTTCAAGCTGGCATTGAACTCACTTTGTAACCCAGACTGATCTCGAATTTGCAACAATCCTCCTGCCTCAGTCTCCTGAGTGCTGGGATTATAGGCGTGCACCACCATGCCTGGCAAAGAATTTTTAATTTGGATATCTGAGTCTGTTTCATGGATTCTACTTCTTTCCTATGTTACTCATTCAAGGTTTTCTTAAACTCCTCTTCTTTTTTTTTAAAATGTATTTCTGTCACTAAGTATAGTTTTCATTGTGGTCACCATTTCTGTGGTTATCTGAGAAATTATTTCTGATTTGGTTTTTTGTAGAGCCTCATTCATTTATTTTGGTGTCACCACTTCAGAGAGGCCGGGCAGTGGCTGTTGGGTTGTCCCACTTCTTTGCCCCCTGGGTTGCCTTTGAACTGGATGTTTAGGGTTGCGTCTTGCTTAAGTTGACTTCTCATTTTGTTTTCTTCTTTCTTTTTTTGTTTTTTCTTTCAAGTTTAATTCTTGGGTTGAAGCTTGTAAATTGCCTGTGGTGAGTGGCTTTATAGCTAGTATTCAAAATTCTTAGGAAATGACTTCTTCTCAAAGGTGTCTTCCAGGAATAGCTGGTTTTTGGATTTTGAGTCTGTGGCATGATTCTGCCTCTTCAGTTTGTTGGGGAGGAAACATTGCAGCCTGCTCAGCCTAGGCCCTGGTTCGTTGGCACTGGCCCACAGTATTTTCTGTGACAGTCAGGCGATCTCAGTCTTGGAATACCAGGAAGAACAGCCCTGACTAGCGCAGTTCTTCATGTTCACTGTTCCCTTCCCCTGCTGCCGCTGTGGAGGGCTCTGGAGTTGCCAGCAGTCACCGTGTGTCCTCAGGTTTGCCTGCTCCTCCCACGCAGTGAGTGCCTACTCAGGAAGAAGGCTCTGCTACCTACCTCCTGGTTCTTCCTTGAAGTTGCTTTCTTATTCTCCTCATGGACTTTAGGCTCTTCCTGAGTCCAGGGGATCCAGTCCCTGCTTTTTTTCTTCTTTCAGTGGCTATATTCCAGGGTCTGGATGGCAACTCTGTCTTACAGAGGCTGTTTCTCTGCTACCTACTAGTCCACTGTCTTCCCGGAAGTCCTCCTCTTTCCAGGCCTGTGAGAGACTGGGTTCAGTCCCCAGGTGTGGTTTTGGATATGTTAGGAAACAATTGGGCTCCATTCCTGTTAGGTTCAATCATCTCCCTTCTGTTCTGAGCTCAGAAAGGTTACATCGCTGGCCTTAATGTGCTGGCCAGCTGTGCAGGGGATGGGATGATTCCTGGTTCTTAGCAGGGGCCATACCCACTCCCAAGGTTGCTCCTTTGTGCAGATTTCAGGCACAAAACACTGGCTTTTCCCACTCCGCCTGTCCTTGCCCACACCCCACTGTACCCTGTAGAAGGTCTGAGGTGCCCAGATTCTCTAGTGTAGAGGGTGCCCAGATGCCCTAGCAGAGGGGTGCAGAGCCTATTTATTTTTGAAAATGTGGTTACTTTTCTTTCTTTCTCTCCCTCTCTTTCTTTCTCTCCCTCTCTCTCTCTTTCTTTCTCTCCTTCCTTCCTTTTCTCTTTCTTTTTTTTTTTTTTGTCTTTTTCTTTTTTATCAGTACCGGGGATTGAACTCCCGACCACACACTTGCAAGGCAGGCGCTTATGCTGCTGAGCTAAATCACCAGCCCCCTCTTTTTTTCTTTTTGAGACAGGGTCTTACTATGTAGTCTGGCCTGACCTTAAATGCACTGTCTAGCCCAGGTTCTCTTCAGTCTTGTAGTGATTCTCCTTACCTCGGCCTCCCAAGAGCTGGGATTATAGGCATGTGCCTGGCTCCATTCCCATTTTTTACATTTATTTTCTTCTTTTTGTGTCTTTAACAGTTAAGTACTCAGCTTGCTGAGCTAGGCCCTGTGTCTTTATCTCAGTTTTCCCTAAACGCCAGTCCTGCAAGTGGTTGGTGCTACCTTTAAGTCTTCTGTCAGCTGCGTCAGGATGATGGCAGGTGCCACCTAAGCACGCAGGCAGCTGACCTAGGTCCCAGTGTTGTCACACACAGGTCTGTGCCTCTCTGAGCTTTGGCAGCACTTGTGTGTGTTCCTTTCTGTTCCTTTCTGTTCAGCCTTGACCCAGCCTGTGGCCTGGCTGTGGCCACGCTCCCAGGGTAGCAGTGGCAGATATGAGGAGGCGAGTGGGAATCCCATATGTTTGGAGAGTGCTTTCATTGTCTTCAGTTTTAAGTCTCTCCCCTTTCCTTTATTGTATCTCCTTTGACTCATGGGTTATAGAAAAGTGTTTCTTCATTCTAAACATGGCAGGGGTTAGGGGTGTCTTGCTGTGTTAAGGATTCTGTATTTGCCACTCATTGCCCCTTGGTTACCTGGCCTGGTCAGTGTCAGCAGAGGCCCTGTGCTGGTCTGTGGTGCATGTAGCCGTCTTGTCTGGCCGAGCAGGCCATGTGCCTGCAGTTGCAGCTTGGGTCACAGATGGGGCAAGCATCACACCTGCTTCCCATTGCTGTGGCTGCCTCTGTATGACTATCCTATTTCTCCTGTGCTGTCCCCACTTGACAGCTGTTCTGAGGGCTCTATCTGATTTGCCCCAGCCTCGGATGTTGCTCTCAGGGATTCCAATTGGTGATGGAAACGGTTCAGCTGACAGCTCTGAAGCACTCTGTTCCCTCTCCTGGGGACCTCCATCCAGGTCCCCAGGCCTCTTAGCCCCGCTGTCCTGTTGCCCCAGTCTCTGCCTCTCTGTGTTTCATTTGGGTGATTTCGTTTGATTTGTCCTCCAGTTTGTGGATTTCTTTGCTGTGTATAATGCAAACAGTTAAACCTGTGCACTGAGTGTCACTGTCTCTGAATTTAGTTTTCATTTCCAGAAGGTTGGTTGAGACCATTTAGAAAATGTTGGTGACCAGCCTTGGTGATGCTGCTCTCCCTTCTGTGATTTGACATGTAAATTCTGTGTCTAAAATCAAAGCATCTGATGTCTTGGTGGATCTTACTGTTTTCTTATCTATGTGATTTGTGACATAAACTCATATTTATTTGTTTTTTTTATCTTCAGGAATGATTTAAGGTCAGGTGGGAGGGGTGGGGACCAGAGGCCTGGCGAGGGCCTCTTTAGTCTTTCTCTGCTCAACTCAAGGTCTTAGGAATGCTGTGGTCTCGTGCATTTGGCTGCAAGCCTGTTTGGCTGCTTAGTGGCCCTCAGTGTGCAGCTGTAGTGAGGGGCTCTTCTGCTCATACCAGCTGTCCCAGCCACGCCTTGGTGGGTGTGGTTGAGTAGCTGTTAACATTGTATTGCCTGCACTGGTGCAACCCTCATTTTTCTCCTCTGGGGCAGTGAGGCCATTCTGTCCTTGACCTGGTACCTGATTGGAACCTCATAGAGACATGGGAGCAGGAGTAGTCTTGAATGACTCAGTGTCTCTCATGGCTCTGATTCCAGGTAACAGGACAGAGGCCAGCTGTGTCTCAAGGAGGATGGGGGCACACATCCACCAAGACAGCTTAACATGTGTCCTGTGTGCCATGGGTTGTCCTCAGGGACCCACTGTGGTCCTTCCTGTGCTCTCCAGAGTGGATGGGCAGGTGGGGTTCTGAACCTGGCTGTGTGGGGGCTGTGGGACGCTGGGCCACCACTTAGTGTCTGTGTCACTCATGGCTCCTCCTGGCTCCTTGTCTGTGCCACATCACTGCCTATGTCTGTTCTCCTGCTGTGACTGCAGTCCCAGGGTCTCAGTGCTGGGACCTGGACTGGAGGGCAGTGGGAATGAGTGGACAAGTGGGGAATGGGGTGAGGGGGCAGGCTGGGCTCTGTGATATAGGCTGTCACAGGCAGGGCGAGGCTCCAGCGGCCTCCAGGGTGGCCACTTGAGTAGTTTCCAGGGTTAGGGAAGCAGTCCAGGGCTGTGAGGGAAGGGGATGGGAACAGCTACAGAAAATAGGGGTGCACCAGCCTGGGAGGGGGTCCTGGTGGCTGCTTTATCACTGCAAATAGAAGTGGGGCAGCGCAGGCACCTGTTCCTGTATATGGGGCTGAATGAGACTTCTGGAGATCCCTGGCGGGGTATTGCCCTGCCCAGCCTGACCACTTGCTCTTGCTCCCAGGGGATGGCAACCTGCATCTGAATGTGACAGCAGAGGCCTTTAGTGCATCGCTTCTGGCCGCCCTGGAGCCCTACGTGTACACCTGGACAGCCGCACAGCAGGGCAGTGTGAGTGCTGAGCATGGCCTGGGCTTCAAGAAGAAGGATGTCTTGGGCTACAGCAAGACACCTGCCGCTGTGCAGCTCATGTGGCAGCTCAAGGCCCTGCTGGATCCCCGGGGCCTCCTGAACCCCTACAAAACACTGCCTGCCCATTTGTGACTGGGCTCTGCCAGCTCTGCGGGGCAAGGACGTGGCTCCTGGGAGGACCTGCGGGTGGCTCTGCTGATAGAGATGAACCCAGTACCTCCCGCTGGCTTGTCCTTGGCACTCAAGAGGGTGGCCACTGGCCACTTGATGTGATGGGTGCCAAAGGCTGTGAGAAGAGCTGAGGTGCCCCAGAGGCCCTGAACTAGTGACCACAATGACCTGGAGTGCTGGGATGGGGCTCCCCAGGTGGGTGGGTGACCATGGTCACGGCTTCACCCTAGTGACAGGTGTGCACATCTCCTCTTACTAGGGTGAGAAGCCATGCCTAGTGTGATGGCCATATCTGGTGGCCTGGTGTCATTGCCACGGGTTCTTTTATGAGGGCATAGACAACCCACCCCTCTTCAGCCATGGCTTGGAGCCTCATTGAGGTTCCCAGTTGCCCTGTGGTCCTGCCATCAGGGAGGTGGCACATACTCTTACCATGAATTTGCAGTAAAGGTGACTCAGGCACAGCTCTCTCCACATTCCTGTCACTGGATACTCATCTAAGGGGAGCTGTGAGGCACCTGCTATCATGTCCCCAGTACCCCAGTGTTAGAGATCAGTGGTGCTCTCAGGACTGGCTATCCTCATCCCTATCACCTCTCCTTGGAGTTAAGTTCTGGTGGCTGGATTGCAGAGACCAGCCAGCAGAGTGGCTTGTGTGTCCCTCATGGTGGCCTGCAGGGGACCTGAGGCCTTTCTTGCTACTTTGTGAGGCCACCTGCTGCCAGGGTCTTGATGGAGGTGAGTGTTGTCCTGGGAGCTCTCCTCCTTAGCAGTGTCAGGACACAGGTCATTGTCAGGGGTCAGTGTCAAGCCCCTGTGTTGGCCCAGGTGTGGCTGCTACTAGAACTTAGGGTCCTTTTGCCCTGCCTGCCTGGAGCTGACTCAGTCCTCTGTGGGCACAGCTTCTGTCCCCTGTCCCTGATCAGGTTCCTGCCAAAGCCCTGTGGCTTGTGTGCACAGGACGGGTCCTGACGTGAAGCTTGGCTGCATGCGTGTACTTCCATGGTCATCTGTGTCTCAGTGCTGTCACCCTCTGTGGGAGATGGCTCCTTCCCCTCTTCTTTGATGGCTGTACCCTGGCCATACAATCTAGTGCTATCTGTCTACACAGCTCCTTGCCCAGCCAACCCTGGGTGAGGCCCTTGACTCTCCAATTTGTCCCCAGCCATGGTCTCCAAGCTATTGTGGTCTGTTACTATGACAGTGGGATGAGGCCTGCGGCCTTGGGAGGATGCTGATGCCTGATGTAGGTGCCCATTGAAGGCAGAGGATGAGTCCTATCTTAGTATGCTGGGCCCTGGGGAGCAGGATCTCCCCAGAGTCTGGTGTGTGTCTTCTGTGTGGACTGGGAAACACCTTAGCCTTGCCCTGCTAACCACGGTACAGATCCCCAAAGCTCACAGGTCTGAGGAGTTGCCCCCACCGTTGCTGGCTAACGTCTGTCATCCATGGCTGGGGAGGGGCAGCTTCAGGACCCCTTCCACTTCTTTTTTGTGCTGAAGTTACATCCTGAAGTCAGTGATGTCCAAAAAAGGACATACAGTGAAATACAGCCTAGTAAGCATGGCAGAGCGGGGCAGAACTTGGAGCTCACCACCATCCTGATACTTAACTGAGGCTCACGCATGACAGGGAGGATCCAGAAACGCCTATTAGATGCAGTGGGAAAATGACAAAACCATATTTTAGGTGAAGGGCTTGTCTCTTTGGACCTCCTGGTGATGCAGGCCAAAGGACAGAGACCACCTGGAAAACATTGGGAGTCCCTGCCTAACCTCACACACACCCCCAGGTGCTGTGGGACAGTGTCTGGACTTTGCTGTGATGTAAGGTGGGATCCCCACCATCAGGTGCTGGCAAGACCTCAGTCCCGGTTAGCAGGAAGGAGTAGGCTGTGTTCAAGGTGAGTCTTATGAACGGTGTGGGTGGCTGGAGCTGCCTTTGTATGTGGATTATGATTTCCCCTCTAGACTAAGCCCTGCAATGTAAGACCTCACATTGCATAATCCAATGGAGTTGGTGGTTCCAGGTGAGCAGGTAGTGGCCAGACCACACCAGCCAAGAGGGGAGAAAGGGTATAAGCATGGTCTCAGCCCTGGGTGTGGGAGTGATCAGAAGCCTCCATCCCTGTGGCCTTCAGCAATGGGGGAACACAAGGAGTACAGTGTCCTCCAGGAAAGCTCATGTCCTATAGAGGACAGATGCCACCACTGAGGTTGGGACCCAGGATGTTGTCATCAGTAAGAGCCCCTGTGCTGGGCTCCCAGAGTCATGCCTTGCTGTCTCTGGCTGTGTGACCCCAGGTATCCTTGCCCTTGGCCTAGATCCCTCTCATTACTGCCCACCTGGGCCCCTGAGGCCATGTGGCTGTGTATGCTACAGGGCCCCTGCCCTTGAGGTATGGCGTTGGATCAGGGTTGAGGCCATCTTGCAGGGGTCCTCCTATGCTGAGTGCCCCATCTACCACTCTTCCCTGGGACTACAGCCTGAGCAGCATGAAGGTAGCCGTAGCATCTTCCCAGGTGAGGCCCCAAACAGGTGACTATGTTGGAGCCAGGGTCTGTGTGTCAGATGTCTGCTATCACCTCTGCCCATTCCTGCTCCACTCAACGTAGGCCCCTGGTATGTAGGGGTCCCACAAAGGCTCAAGGGTCACAGCCCTGCTGTCTTACTCATGGAGACCCTACCATGTACCACCCCTCAGTTCCACTTGCCCTGCACAAGAATGAGAAGTTTCTAGACTGGCACTTGGTGAGGCACAGGGAAGATGGAGCCTCCAGATGTGGCTGAGCTGTGGCTGGACTGCTTGGTGCCTGTAAGCACATATACACTCAACCTCATGCTCCTGACCTGCCTGTCTACTGGGCTGTAGCCACTCATCCCCACCAACCCAACTTACACTGGGTGCCCCGACTCTACTAGTCTCATCCACCCTGGATATCCCTGTCTACTCTGTGTCCCTGATGCTGCCAACTGTGTCTACCCTTGGTGGCCCTCTACTCACTGGCCCTGTCCAGCAGGTGTGCAGATGGGTGGGGTGGGATAGCCACCTAGGAGTCAAGTGGTGCCTCTCTACTTGTGGGCAGGGTATCGATACCCAGAGCCACTGTCCAGGTTCAGTACAGTGTCCTCCAGGAGAGCTCATGTCCTGTAGAGGACAGAGGGCCGCTGGAGATGGTGGCGTGATGGGATGTAGGACTGCAAGAGTTGGTGATTGGTGGTAGGTGAAGCATTTTCAGCCTGAATGGGACTATCTGCCCTCAGAGGAAATAGAAAGCAGAGACCTGGTATGGGTGACATGTGGATGCTGGGGTCTTAGTGAGGTGGAAGGGGAGTGGCATGGGATCCTACTCTGACTGTGTCTGGCACGAGTGCACTGGCCACAGGTGCCTCTGCTGTAGGTCCTGCAAGTCTGGCCAGTGCCCAGTCTGCTCCTATTTGATGCGGGGAGGCATTGGACTTAAGGTGTCACACCTCCTACCCAGAAACCAAGAACTGGCTTCTATTGTGCTGTGGTCTCCTCCAGGATGATGCTGGTTTGCCACTGCCCAGCTTGGCAGTGCCAGCTGAGGGTGGACACTCCTTGGGCTCTGCAACCTTCTGTGGCACTCTCCTTTCTACCCTATCTCTGGTCTAGTTTTGATGTACCCCTCTCCAGTTAGCAGATGTGTGCCCAGCACCTGGGATTGGCTGGCTCAAGAAGAACAGAGGTCTACATATGGGGCTGTCCTTCGTTCCAAACACCTGGGGGTTTCAGGTCTGGCTGGAAGTCCTGTGTCCTTAATAGGCAGAGACACATGCACCTGTCTTCACAAACTGCATATTTTGGTGTCTGAGTTGCTTTCTCCCTGGCTGCTACCTCCTTGAATGGGGCTGGGGCTCAGAGATCCTCTGAAGCCTGTTCCAGGTCACAGCACTGCCCTCCTGTAGCCAGCAAGACACCTATCCTGAGTGTCACTGTCTCTGGGCTGTCAGATGCTGGGCTACCACTCCATACCACAAGGTGCCCTCATCTGCCCTCAGAGCACAGAGCACTGGCCCATTCCTGGTGTGCAGGTCCCACACGTTGCTGACAGTCTAGGAACAGAGACCTCAACTTGGGAAGCAGACACTGGTTTCTGGCCTCATAGGCACACCCCTCTGGACCATACACTGGCTGAGGTGTTGCAGTTGCTTGGTGACACCAATTGTGTTTCTGGCTGAGCCTGTGCACTGGGCAGGAGGAGCAGGGAGGTACCCTCAAGGGGGAGCATATCCCATGGCTCTCCTCCCTGCATAGTGGGATGAGCAGCTGGCTGAGCCATTACTACCCTACCTTCACCACCACCAGGGCTGCTCCATGCTCAAAGACTGGCTCTGGGGCTCGGAGGGTGAAGCTGGCAGCATCACTGGGGAGTATAGGTAAGGGAGGCAGAGTGGTTCCATCTTCCTGGCAGTCCAATGGATGTGGGAGAGGAGCAGTTGTTTGAGGCCTGGGCCCTAAGCTGGGGAGTGGTTGTGGGGCTCTCTGCTGCTCTGCTGGGAGGATACAGGCAGGAAGAAGCCTCATGAGTCCAGGGAGCTGGGAATGGTGTCTGACCTTGGTTGTCTGGAGATCGTGTTGGGTGGGGAGCCCTCTTCCTTTGTCATCCACAAGGAGGACCTGAGGCCCCTGCCTAGCAGGATGAGGTCCTTGGCTGCCTGGGGTCCAGTGGGTAGAGTGGGGTCCCACATGTTACCACATATCCTGCGAAGAGTGGGGCACCTAGGGAGCCGAGGAGATGCTGGCACTCACACACAGAGCCCAGAGGCCCAGTCAGAGCTTGCTTGCCGGGGAAGGGTTCATTCTATGTCATTCAGAGCCTCGACCCTCAGGATCACACATCTCCCATGCGCCCACTGTGGGTGGGCCATGTGCAGGTGTTCCCCATTTTTCTGGGGAGTCAGCCCAAGCAGTCAGAGCAGGGAGCTCTCCGGGACAGTGTAAGGACATTTTTCCAGTAGGATTAGAGGTGCTACAGTGAACTTGGGAATAACAGAATATATGGAAATTGAGTCAGTGACTTCCAAAGAAAGGCGAATAGAGACAGTGAGGAAGATGGGCACTTGCTGAGAGCCAGGGCCCTGAAACTGTGGGTAGGGTCACCTGGCTCAGCCCACAGGAAGGTGTGTGAGACTCCCTGGGGAAAGTGGTGTGGGATTCACATCCAAGATGATCCCATGCACAGGTACAGGAGTCCTTGCAAAGGGAAAAGGTGCAAGAGGAATTTCGGTCAAGCCAAGAATGGGAAAAATTGCCACATGTTGAGGAAGATGAGCTTTTCAGCGTGAGTTCCTGCTCAAGCACCAGGCGAAGTTTGCAGCTTTCAGAGAAGGTGGGTGTGATGGGAATCCAGAGCAGGGAAGGACAACCTGTCCCAGAGACAGCAGGGAACTGTAAGGAGGGCCTGTGCAGGCAGGCAGCCATGGCCCAAAGCCACAATGTGTGACACTGC